AGACGTGCCGAGTGTTCGGTGGGGAAATCCGAAGCGCGCTTATTACTCCGCTACTCCGATTTGGGTCTCTTAGCCTACCTCTGGTACCTGGCACACCCGATCCTCGCCGAAGCTCGCCGAGTGAACGTATTAATGTGCCGGTTCACCGTAATCTATCCTCTGGAACGACGACTCCGTAAATCGCCACCGGCTGTCCCGCGCGCGATCTCACCACCTTGGTGACCTTACCTCATCTTTGCCCGCATCTATTCGCTCAGAGAGAAAGAGAGAGAGAAAGAGAGAGAGACCTCGATCCGTCATCTCGCGCGTACATCTTGCTCTCGCCCGTTCGTCATCATCATCGCGGAGCCGATCCCCGGAGGGACCGGACATGAGAAGCGAGTTGTCCGCCACCGCGTCGGAAGTGTACAGTGCCAGTGTATAAGTGCCTTTTAATGGAGCGTGCCGTCGACGTATAAGCCGCTCTCGTCGTGTTTCTCGTTACTCGCAACAGGTACGTCGTCCAAAGTTCCGTTTCACGCAGGGGGAAATTCACGAGTCCCTCTTCCTTCCTTCCTCACCTTTCCCGGGCTCTCTCCTGGGCTGAATTGTTTCGGCGATCGAGGACCAATCCGTCAGATTCTTATCCCGGGGTACCATCGGGGTCAAACGGATCGAAGGCGCGGGTTCCGGACGAACAAAGCGAAAGTACACGCGTACGAACTGCGACGAAAATTTCGCTTTTTCGTTTTTTTCACGGTCCATGAACGCGCCATTGCTGATTCGGACTCGAGGATTATTGGCGTTATTAAGAGTTTGGAAAGAGTCGAATTTTTTTAATTGAGTTTTTCGATACAACTTGAGCTTTAAAAGGATTGTCATGGAAAAAAAGTGGTCTTATCTAGCGTCGCGTTTATCGATAGACACCGGAATTCTTGGTCACCGGTTTTTTATAATAACAAGATTATGAGATTGCGAAGTGAAAAATGAGTAATCACAATTAACGCTAAACTTTATACCTTCTTATTACAAATATCGCGTCGACGAGTTGAATAAATCTTTTTATGACTAGAAAAAGATAAATAAAAAAAAGGGAAAAAAAACGTAATGAGTCGCACGGATTGTCATGCGTGAATATCGCACGGTAGTGCTGTGATAATAGTAAGAGATAAGTATGTAACTATGTGAGATAAAGTTATTGATAAACTGATTTTTCAAACATATTACAGCTTTACATACATTATCACATTTTGCAATACATACGTTATTACATTTGTATTTCTCGAAAGATAAATATTACTCTTTTCTAATAATTATTTTCAATAATTTTTTAATGTATATTGGATTTGCAAATATTAATTCAATATTTTGCCATCAATAATTCATGGAAAAATATATCACTTGTGATTTGTATACTATTGCATTAATAAGTCGTCAAAATCATAAATTTATTTTGTTTGTAATTGATTATTCACATACTCAGAACACATATAAGAGAGAGAGACAGACAGAGAGAGAGAGAGAGAGAGAGAGAAAGAGAAAGAAACATAGATAAATATTGATAACTAAAGCACCAGTAATGTGTGGAAATATATTGTGATCTGCATATTAATGTGTTACTAAATTGTAAAAATTATAAATTTCTTTATTATTATATATATTATGTGATTATAAATTTATTATCATTATTACTTTTGTAATTGATTTTCATACAGAAGGAGAAAGAGAGATAAATAGGCAGATATATACGCTTGTCAAAGTCAAAGTTTCTCCTTCATGTTTCTTTAAATTTATTTATAAAGTTTATTATGATTGATACTAATATTACTTGAAATACGGCTTCCTGAACAGTATATATGTATATCTATATATAAGTTTTCTTGTAGCGGATACATGTGTAGGATTAGAAGCATAAGTTATACAGGCTTCCCTGGCGCTAAACGCGCCTCGTTCGATCACCCATTAAAGTCTCCTGCTCGCGCGCCTGGCGCTCTACGCCACTGACCGTTCTCTGCGGATATTTTCAAAGTCAATGACTGCGACTGCTCACGCCCGTGCCTCAAGTTCATGGCGAGACACGAATGTCTGCGTATGTAAAACGAAAGCAACGATTTTAATTCAGAGAGCAATAGTAATTCGTATACCTGTACAGCTCAAACATTTACTCCAGAATCTCTCGACGTGCGTCAATAGTTCTACTCCAAATTCCTGCTTCTTTAATTAATGGTATAATAAATAAGTGTGTTAAAAAATTGCCGAGTCTCATTGCACGTTAACGTAAAAGAAGATACGAAGGATGAAATTGAAATGCAATTTTATATTGAAAGAGAAGATAGAATGCTCGATCGCATAAACGAAACTGTCTACTCGTGAATTGCTAAAAGATTTGCATGCGTGATGTAACGTAAATATATATTTATAATTAATATCAAAAAATATCATAGTAAGTCTTGTTGTGATCGTATTCTAACACAAACGTGAAGCCGTTTCTTTTTCTTCAAATGTTCAAATAAAAAAATCTTTTTAATCATATATACATAAAATTAATAATTAAAAATATATTATTAATATATGTATATTAAAAAATATATATTAATGTATTATTCTTAAAAATATATACTTAATTTGAAATATATATACTTAATTAATAATTCAATATTTTATATTAAATTATATTTCTATATTTATGCAGCAATAAGAAAATTAAACAAATTTTTAATCGAGTTATAATATTGCTGTAAAATCTCTAATTTTGCTTCGAAGTCTTAAAGGATTCTTATGTCCCTAAGAATCTAAATTTAAATTTATTATAGAGATTTTATTTTAATACATTTTTATTATTATTATTATTATCTCTTATTTTATTTTAAGTTTAATAAATTCAATTTTTTCGCTAAAGGCAAACTGCTGGAACTATCCTAATAATGCGAAACATATGTACTTATTCGTTCAATCTACGAGTTCAATCTACAAGCAGTAATATTTCTAGCTGTCTTTTACCCCGTTCGTTCTTCTAAATTGTATTGCGCAGCCAAGCGCAAATCGATGCATTTCATCCGGAAAGAAGAGAATAGAATTTTTCAATAGAATTCTATCAATATGATCCGTCCCAATTTTTTTTTAAAGAATAGAATTGTATTCTGTGGGTATAGATTATATATTATAAATCGCATACACGTATGTTTATCGTAGAAAGAAGTAATAAATATAATTATTATATAGCTTATATAAAATCATAAATTTTTTTTACAATTAATTCATAATATAATATTTTATAAATTTTTTTTAAACTCACAACTTATATATATATATATATATATATATATATATATATATATGTATTATACTAGTTTATATAGACGTGAGAAAAATAATGTAATATTGTTTACATCGCGCAATGATCTTTCACTCTTTGTGGTTGAAGCACGCTAAATGTTGGATATCTTATTGATCGAAATTATTTTGAGAGGCAGTGATCAAAGATTGTTCTGTAAAATTCATAAATATTCTGGTAAATTCTGTAAATTTCTGTGATTCATTTTAAATGTTTATATGATTTTAATTTTTATGATTAAATTAAATGTGATTTAATTATTTTATCTAAAGATATAGACTGAAAAGATCTTATAATTTAATAAAAAATAAGACTGCACAAGGACTAGTCAAACATTATATACTTTGGCGAGACTAATTTGCAACCATTATCTGTGTAGTAAAATGTTTTAGTGACTTATGTACATACGTATGATTCTAAATATCTAATTCCGTAGATAACTAAAAATGCTTTAAATATTTAAAATTTTTATTTTACATCAGTAACTAACTTGTAGAAAACTACAGATAAAATTCGTGGAAATAAGTAGACCAACAAATTTTGTATTTGTATCAATATATTTTATTATGCATTTTATTATATATATTTCTATTATTATATTATTTATTATGTATTTTATTATGCATTGCCGAATTATATAACATCTTACAATTAACAGCATATTAAAAAATAGCATATCGAATGATATTGAGAAAAACATTTTTATGAGGGAAGTTGATCGACATATGATATTTTATGATAGTTTAAACAGCTCGCGTTATACATACACATTACACATTTAATTTTTTATAATATTTTTATATATAATTATTTTATTATCTGCATATATAATACACTAATTATTTGCATTTAAATATGACTAAATATGTCAACGAAGCATTTTGATATCATGCGTGTAATTATTTCGATAATAAACGATACTTTTATTATACTATACGATGTACTGTGCCTCTGAATGAGTTTTAAGTTATCTGATTTGTCAACTTTCTTTAAAAAGTATTATATTTTCGACATCTTCATTCTCGAATTTGTCTTATTTGAGCCCAGGAATATGTCATTAAAATTATCGCTATAAAACGTTCTTTTTTTTCTTTTTTTTCTTTTTTTCTTTTTTTCTTGATTTTATTCGTGGTTCGATGATCTAAACGTGCGACAGTATTCGAACAGTATTAGATGGCTGTGCGTGCCGGATGAGAGATTGATCCCGAGAAGACTCTCGGATCTCATCGAGGCCGTATGGCTCGACAACGTAAACTATCTAACCCACTTTTGCGAACAGGTTTGCGCTGCTACTATAGTAACGGTGATCCGCCAGACATGACCGATGTTCGTAGGGATGTTTTTTATTCTTGAAATAGATGCAACGACACGTGCGTGCGATGCACAGTAACCGTCAAATTCCTCGGACTCGAGAATTCGAGTGCTTTTACATAGTTCCTCTAACAGTTTCAATGAATTCCTGCGAACTTGCAAATTTCCCTCAAGACGTTACATGTATATATAATACTCGTGATGGACATTTCTAAATCTTTACAAATTTTATAGCAGAGAATCTTTTCTTATTAGCAGAGAATTTCTTATTAAAGCTAAAATTATAAACGCATATCTGATGCAATATGATTTAATCTTATATAATAATATATTATTTTTGTTTCCAGGCGGAGTGCCGATAACCACGACTTAAGAGATGGTCATCGTCACACGGGTAGGTTTTTCTCTCTTGATGTTTAATTGACATAATATAATTGACATAATATTCATATTATATGTACTAATATTCTATAATATATTGGACATAATATTGGACATAACATAATATTGACATAATATTCATATTATATTGGAGTGTCTTATATAAAATATTTTGTATTAATATCAAGTTTTGAAGAAAATATAAAATATTTTCTTCAAAACTTGATATTAATACAAAATGTTTCAAATAAAATTAATAAAATTTTAAGAGAGAAAAAAGTTGATAATTTTAAATTTTAACTGAGATTATTTTTTTTAAATCATGTAAAGAGCAATCTATTTTTTTTTAAATGGAACCATATTCTTCCTTAAATAAATTTCTCGCAATATTCGATATAAAAGTACAAGTCACAAGAATACGAGGGCCAGAAATTGAATAGTTTACGAGATATTTTATCTTTTAATTTGACATAATAAATTACGTAAACTATGAAATATGCCATAAAATATTCACTTTTTTAATTATGTCTGTTGTCTGAATATTTTTATGCATAAAATAATAAGAGGAATCAATTATAAAGAAAATATATAATTGTTTTGAAGAAAAAATATAGAGTTGCTCATTATAAATTTCTATTTTATTCTTATCTAAAATTTATTTTTTCCTATTTAAAATGCAAGATTGTCAACTTTTCTCCTCTTCAAAACCCTATCAATGCATGAAATATTTTTTGTAAAATGCTAAGTTTTGAAGAAAAAACCTTATAACACTTTGTGTGCAACATCTTATACATTATACAACAATAAATGAATTATCTTTTTCATCTAACAGATTTCTACTCGACGGATTTCGATAACATATTATAACAGCATATTATATCAGAACATTCCATATACACGTTTTGTTGTAGCCATAATCCATACTTTAATCATACCTGCGAGGATATTGCGAACAATTTCTCGCAGGTGAAAAGCTATAGAAATTTATGTGTGAATTCATCGATCAATCGAATGGCGAAACTAAGCAAAATTCGATGAAGCTGCAATATCGCGCAGTTTAATCCATTACATTTACCGCTTTCCTCGTCGTTCTCGAACACGGTCAGTAGGAATCTGTGACGAGTGAAAATAACCAAACGGGAGTCATCGTGTTCTCTCGTTGTAAACAATGATGTATCGCTAAATAATGCTCACGTAGTCATTTCGACGGACAGCGCAGCGAATAAATATTTCTTATCTTTTTTTGCATACACAACTTCTTCTTATCCTCTCAAATTATTGCCATGTCGATGTTACACGAGTCGTAAAAAGAGAAAATCAACATTTCTTAAAATGTCATGTGTAAAAAATTAAAAGTATATGCAAACCTCTTCGATATTTGATAGCGTCGACAAGTCGTTGAACAATATTCAAGTAATAGTATCAAATATTTTAATTTTAATTTTTAATTTTAATTTTATCAAATATTTTAATTATTTAATGATAAAGGTGTATGTGTGTGTCAAATCGTTTAATCAATGAATTGATTATATGAGAAATGACACTCGATTGGCAGCAAATTTTGAGAGAAAGACAAAATATATATAATTAATAATTTTATATAGTTCATTTTATATAATTTTAATAATTAAAAATACAATAAGAAAAATAAATGATAATGAAAAAAATAAAATATTTGCACATAATATTATGCAAGGCCATGCGCTTAGTTAGCGGTATTTAATAATCGGTAATAATTTCCGATCTATTTATATATTTTGTAATGTGTATACTCTTGTGCTGTCGTAACTGATATGCAATAACAGCACACGTTATATAAAAAAAAGAAAAAAGAACTAAATAACGTAGATGCAGACGATCAATTACGGTATCTTGTCATGCGTTCAAAACGATTGTAGAAATCAAGAGGATTTAGTTCATTGCCTTTCTTATATCAGTAAATGCATGCAATGTATTATACATAAACGAAAGATCGTTTTATGTAAGTGAAAGGCGGCGACCGATAGCGTGTTGATCCGTCAAATTTACATAAAATGCACGGGTGGAAAATAATCATTTGCTAGGGATCCAGAAAAAAATGCAATGCATGTGAGAAATTCAAAACTTTCTTTATCAAACTTATATGTGAAAGCATATGTGACTTATATGTGTAGTCAATATGTCCTTTCTCAGCCTCTCTTATAGCTTATATTTTAATCTTGTGGAATATTTTTTTCTGGATTTCTAACAAATATTTTTCTATCATCCTATATAACCGTGTATGCATCCTTCAAATATCAATTCGAATCAATCAAATTTTATAAAAAATATCGAAACATGGAATACTTGTAATTTCGACAACGATGCTTTATTAATATTTCATCTTTATATTTTGAATATCAATTGTAAAAAGATTGATATTTTTCTAGTATCAAAAAGTGTATCTCATCAAAACGATTGATGGTATACGACTCTTGAGATGAACGATCAGTTAATTGATGTCATAATTGATGGCTCTTTATTACTTCGTGAACAAGCATTATTTTCATATTTCGTGCAAGCAAAACTAGTAGTTGTCGCTTAACGGACATACTAATTACTCATATGCCGTATCGTTATCTCTCATCTTATCGTGGAAAAGAATTAGGTCCATTCGATACAACTAATTTGAACGTTAAATGAAACAAATTGAAGAACAATAATGAAACAGTCGTGATGAACAATGACTTCTTAAATAGCTTTTATTTCGTTTTTTCGCAATATCACTAACATAAGCAGCATGAATGAATTAATTATACAAAATTTATTTGAATTATTTATCGAAATGCGTCGCGTCCTTTGTAAATTTTGAAAGATTAGTTTCCACTTTTGGCTTGATTTATAATGAATTACAGCGCAAAAGATTTCAAAACAATTCTTGTTTTAAGTATAAATGATGATAAAAATCATCGTCTCGAAAGAAAATTGATTTTTGCTATTGATTTCTCTCATTTTCTTATCTGTCAAATGTGAGTAACCTGCAATTAAATTAAGCAAGACGGTTTCATTAAAGCTCATCGAACTCCCACTGCACGAAACGCTCCGTGATGCAGTTCCGTATGTTGCAACTGTTTGTATCGATGTAGCGTGCATTATCCATGTGTGGCACGAGTCTTCGTGTGCTATGAAGTCGGAGATCGTACACTTGATACACGTATACGTTCCGATTATTCATTTCACCGGAACATCGAAAGAGCTCATCCGTTCCTCGTCTTGAAATAAAAGCCCCTTCTATCTTTTGCTTCTACCAGCAGTTTTACTTTCGTGCGCTTGCCAAACTTTCAATCGCGTTTGATTAACAAATATATCAAAATGTTATATGTGTAATGTTATGTTAAAATTATATTATATCTACATATATAGTTTTAATTTTTTTTTTAATAATTTCCAACATAATTAATTTTCAATATAATTTTTCCTTCTCTCTCTTTCTTGCTCGCTCGCTTGAAAATTAATTTAACCATGGTATATTAAACCATGGTATATTAAACCATGGTATATGAATAATCATAATTGGGTAATAGAAAACTATTATTTGTCAACGTTTCTTTAACTCTTGAGGACTATTTTTTGAAAAACCAAACTTTTATAAAATTGATAAAAGGTATTTATTTAATGAAAACAGTTTTGACTAAAAATGAATTAAAATATATGATATTTTTTGAAGCAATCAGTTACACATAGAGATCAACATCATATTCTATACATCTTGACTCTGATCTTCTCTTTTCTCTTCTTATTGATTGACATAAACGACACATATTTTCTTTATTTTCTTTTTTATTAAACCTCATATTAAATAAGAGAGGAGAAATCAATAAGTTTCTTCCGATGTTTTCTTGTCTTTTTTACAGTTCCAATTGATGTCGCATGTTGGCTGATAATTATAACTGATTATTTATAACGCCACTAAATTAATTTTATTTTTAGAAAATTTTAAATTTTAGGAATGAGTGACAAACATAAAAATGCGATATCGATTAAAATTAAAAACTTATGATTAAAATTAATAACTTAACTATATATATGTTCATCAACTTTTGAAGAAAAATCTCAAAACATCTGCCATTCTCAAAGGATTAATGCAAATTCAATAATCTTGAAATATCTCATTCAAATAAATGCACTTCATTAATGTTACGTATTACGTGTGTGAAATTCAAGCGCGATGGAATCCTCGATGCTCCTCTGATCTAATTACAAATGCCAATAGTAATGAAAGCAAAGAGAAAGCGAATCAATCTAACGGGGGACGCAGTTCGATAAGATTGGAAGAGCGATCGATATGAAAGAAAAGCAAATAATGGCGAAATAATTCTTTTTACTCGTTCGCGCCGCGCATCGCGCCGAATGGTAAAGCATACAGTTATTACAACGGTACATCATAACTCCATTTAGACTCCTGATACTCTTTCGCGTTAATGCGAATTCCATATCTCGCGTTGATCGATCGACTTACTTCTCGTTTTTCGTATATTCACGAACGCGAGAATTTTTCATTGCCATAAAAATCCATATTAGCCAACTTGTAAATTACTCAACAACGTGTACTACTAACGTGAATTACATTGATTAACGCAAGTCTGATTTACCGCGTCCAAGTATAACGCTAACGTTCACTACTTTCGACAATTATTTAGGTTACATGTATGTCGTATTTAACAGTAGCGTAGGCATACATGGAAATTGCTTACTGAATAACTATTAAGAAAATTAATAAAAATACAAGCATGTGTAATATATTTTTCTTTCATGTGATTACTGCCTCAATTCGAATGCTTCTTAATTAAATAGAGGACAATAAAAACTTCTGAATAACAATTAAATATGGTCTACTCTTTGGAAAAACAAAGAAAACCTGGAATTTTAAGATTTTTTGTATCTGGAAAAATCAAGGAATTTTTGTAGAATATTATTGAGACTCAGAGAATTTTTACAAAAAGTCTTCTTTTGATAATTTTACTCTAATATTGTAAACTAACACTCAGCAAGCAAATTAAAATAAATTCAATTAAAATATATTATAAATATGTATATCTATCTCTGTTTATATATTTGTTTTAACAAAATATGTAATACATGTTTAATTGTAATTTTTAGTAATAAAAAATAAAAGTGTTATGCAAATGAAAAATGTTTCTTAGGGAAACTATTCAGTTTCTTCAGTACATTTGCAAATCTAGCACTTGAAATTCAAGTATCTTTATCTTTCTTTTGCATGAATAAAAAGTATTACAAACGTATATCAAAGTACAAAGTATTACAAAATATTTCAAAACGTATTAAAAACAAAAAACTTATTTTAAAAAATTGCATCAAAAAGTCTTTAAGAGATAATGTCTTTATCTGATTTTTTGAACAAAAATATTTGGAATATCAAGGAATTTCCAGGAAATTTTTTTATAAAAATCAAATAGATCTCCTCTGTTAATTAAATAGAGAAATGTTTAAATAAATGTAAATTGAAAAATATGCAGACTCGTATTGCATTACACCACATTGAGTTATCATGTTTATCCTAGTGTGATGACGCGTAGTAATATTTAATCAGTTAGTTATCACATAATCGTGTTCCACACTAGAGATCATGTGCTTCTAATAACATGTGCATACCTGAACTAAATGCAATTTCATGGAAGAAAATGCATTTACGAAAGTTACAAATATACAATTTCCATTATGAACTTCTACATACTACATCATATCGCGATAATCTGTCCTGGCAAAGAAAGACGTGGAAATATATTGAGATCTTTGCAGGGAGATTATATATGGATAGAACCAATCTCAGGAAGAGAATTTGACGTCGCGATCGGAGCGCGAGTAATCTCAGCAGAAGGCAGACGTATCCAAGTAAAGGACGACGATAACAAGGTATTATAAAGTACACATAACGCAAACGATTTTATGAATTAAGAAATAAAATTTCAAACTTTTTAACAGTTTTTTGATTAATTGCAAATATATTTTACAAGAAAATTTGAAAATTTGAAATTTTATTATTCTTATTTATATATATGTATATAATTCTTGCTTTGAGACTAAGGATAGCTTCCGGCTTACATTTTGCGTATTTTTTTTTATTTGACAATATTTCTTTCATATATCTTATTTTTTTACATTAAAGCTTAAATACATAATTCATACTTAAAAACAAAAACTCACAGATCGGTTTATAAGAATTTTAAAACATAAAAATATACAAACATAAAATTAAAATTATAAAATAAACATTTGAACATTCAAACTTTAATCTCCAAATCTAAATCCATTACATTCTTAATTTTTCTATCAAAACAGAAAACAAAAATCAATAATCGTGATACATATATATCAAAGTCTCTAATAAAAATCATTATTTCAATATATAAATAAAGTTAAAATAAATTTTAAACTTTAAATTTAAAATTATTTTAAATTAGAAAATTGTAAATCTCTTAAATTAAATAAAATTAATTTTTATTTTATTTTGTTTTTTTTAGCAAATTTAAAATTTAAAATTATTATCGATATTTTAAATTAATCGGATACTGTTTATTTAGAAAAATTCTAAACATTTTTTTTTAATGACAATATCCATCGATAGAAGTTTCATTAAAATAAAATAAAATTTGACTATAAAGAATGCAAAGAATTTGATTGCTTATATTTTCCTACTTAATCGTTCCATTTAAATTTATTAACCAAAAAATAACTCCTCTACAGGAACAATGGTTAACACCAGAGAGACGGATAAAGGCCATGCATGCCACTTCGGTGCAAGGTGTAGAAGATATGATCAGTTTAGGAGACCTCCATGAAGCTGGAATTTTGCGAAATTTATTAATACGTTACAACGAGAATCTCATTTACGTAAGTATCTTATTGTATCAAGGACGATCGATTGAACAAAAGGGCGGGTGCATAAATACGCCGCAAATACAATGTAACATAATAATTTTGCAGACATACACAGGCTCCATTCTGGTCGCCGTCAATCCATATCAGATACTGCCTATTTATACCGCGGAACAAATCAAACTCTACAAGGATCGTAAAATCGGAGAGCTGCCACCTCACATATTTGCCATCGGCGATAATAGTTATGCGCATATGAACCGATATGGCCAGGATCAGTGCATAGTAATTAGGTACGAAAGAGTTCGGCTTTCTACGTGGCACTAAAACGGAAGTCAAAGACAATTTATCATGATGCACGACTTCATAAATCGCTTGATGATTAATTACTTTAAATGATCTTTTGTTAGATAAACAAAGCTCACGAAGAAGATCGATAATTAATATTTCAAGCATATTTATTATTTTTAAAATAATTATTAATATATAAATAGATATTACTAAAAATATATAAAATAATAAATGTTATAAAAGAACATATGTTATAAGTGCAAAATATATTATAATTCATACGAGTTTTTTCCTTCATATTATTAATGAAAGAAATCGTTTGCTTTAGCGGCGAAAGCGGAGCCGGAAAAACAGAAAGTACGAAATTAATTCTACAATATTTAGCAGCGATCAGCGGGAAACATTCATGGATCGAACAGCAAATCTTGGAAGCAAATCCCATACTCGAAGGTAAATTGTAACGCTAAAATCAACTTGCTTTTAAATTAAAACACGAATTAATTAATGAATGATCAAATGATACTTTATTATAGCCTTTGGCAATGCAAAAACCGTGAGAAACGATAACTCTTCCCGTTTTGGCAAATATATCGATATTCATTTCAACGAACAGGGCGTAATAGAAGGAGCTAAGATTGAGCAATATCTTTTGGAAAAGTCACGAATCGTATCTCAAAGCTTGGATGAAAGAAATTATCATATTTTTTATTGCATGTTAGCTGGTCTTTCAAGGGAAGAGAAACAAAAACTCGAACTAGAGGATGCATCTACGTACAAATATCTCATAGGAGTAAGTACAATTAATAATAATACTAAAAAGACATAAAACTAATACAAATAAATGTGTTATATATATATATATATATATATATATATATATATATAAAATAGTAGTTTTCTTAAATTATCTTTCCTTCTATATATATTTAGCATATATCTCCATATTTTCACGAACATTAATACCGCATTTCTTCTGTAAAAATATATGAAAAGCAAGACATATGTATTCAAATATTTCACGTATTAAAAAAATTGAATTGATTAAATAACAAGTTTGTCGTTGTATATTTGTAAATACATTATATGCATTATTTAAATATATTATGCTGTATCTGTGATTACAATATTGTAATATCGTATTATATTAATGTACGTTTTACTTTATATAAAAGAAAATAAAAATGTTTTTTTTCATATATTTCACTTTCATATATTGCACATGTGCTTTATCAATATACGTAATTGTTATTTTTATTTTCAGGGTAGCAGTATTACTTGCGAAGGGCGTGATGATGCAGCTGAATTCGCCGACATAAGATCGGCTATGAAGGTTCTGCTATTCTCCGATATGGAAATTTGGGAAGTGCTTAAATTGCTTGCGGCTTTGTTACACATGGGCAATATAAAGTATAGAGCCACTGTCGTAGGTATGAAAGTTAATTATGCAAATTATTAAATATGTAGGATAATTCTCGAAATATTGGAGTAGATATCAAGCTAAATTAATCAAGAAGTTTGTTAGTCTTCCACATTACATAATACAGAATACATTAATACAAAAAACAATAACTAAAGTAAATGCTCACTCTCGATATTGTCACGTGCTTTTTGACATGCGTTCGTTTCGTCGCACGATTTATCTAACGAATGCTCGTTGCGCTTCTTTCGCTCTCTCGCAGCAACACACGCAGACATACGCGAGAAACTGAAGAGACCTGAAGACGCTTCGACGATCCTTGACAGTGAATATAAACAGATGCATCGAATCGCTCTCTCCTTCAAATATGTCGTTGAAATTAGGACAGATTTAATTCTTTCATTCATTTGATTTCTAGATAATTTGGATGCTACAGAGATAACGGAACAAACGAATGTACATAGAGTGGCATATTTACTAGGAGTACCAGCACAATCTTTGATAGATGCGCTCACTCGCAGAACTATATTTGCACACGGTGAGACAGTAGTAAGTATTTTTTTTCTATGTAAGATTGTGAGTAAAAATCACAGTGAATTGTCACAACGTATCCTGTCGAAATTGTATCATTTATAGGTTTCCACATTGTCGAGAGATCAATCGGTCGACATCAGAGACGCGTTCGTGAAAGGTATATATGGCCGATTATTTATACACATTGTAAAGAAAATTAACGAGGCCATATATAGGCCAAAGAACAATTCCCGTAGCGCTATAGGCGTATTAGATATCTTCGGTTTCGAGAATTTCAATCACAATAGCTTCGAGCAGTTTTGTATCAATTATGCCAACGAAAATCTCCAGCAATTCTTCGTTCAACATATATTCAAACTGGAACAAGAGGAGTATAATCACGAAGCGATAAATTGGCAGCATATAGAATTCGTCGATAACCAGGACGCTTTAGATCTGATAGCGATTAAGCAGCTCAACATTATGGCTCTTATTGATGAGGAATCGAAATTTCCGAAAGTACGAATGCATTGTTTTACAAACTTCAAATAATTTAATGTAATCCATTCGTAACTTTAAATGTGTATCGTTTATTTTTCAGGGTACAGATCAAACCATGTTGGCGAAAATTCACAAAACTCACGGTAGTCATAGAAATTACTTGAAACCTAAATCAGACATCAACACATCCTTCGGCCTAAATCATTTTGCGGGGGTTGTCTTTTACGATACGAGGAGTTTTCTAGAGAAAAACAGAGATACATTCAGCGCGGATCTATTGCAGCTTATTCACATATCATCGAATAAATTTCTCCAAGCTTGTTTCGTCGAAGATATCGGAATGGGATCGGAAACTAGGAAGAGAGCGCCCACATTATCGACACAATTTAAAAAATCGCTGGATTCTCTCATGAAGACTCTCTCCAGTTGCCAACCTTTCTTCATAAGATGCATCAAACCGAATGAATATAAAAAACCAATGGTAAACATTCTCTTGTAATATTTTTGTTTTACTTGTGATTCTGTTCTAATATTATAACAATCTTACAAACACAAGATTTAATCTTAGATGTTCGATCGAGGTCTTTGCTGTCGACAATTAAGATATTCCGGCATGATGGAAACTATCAGGATTCGTCGTGCTGGTTATCCTATTCGTCATTCCTTCCCCGAGTTTGTGGAAAGATACCGATTTCTCATCTCGGGTATTCCACCCGCGCACAAGGTAGATAATTTATCAGATAAATTTTTTTTTGTTAACTCATTCAGACCCTATGTGCACAATTATGCACAAAAACTTTAAAATCATTTGAAATAGTTATTTTTTAGAATTAGTTTCCCTGCGATCTCTCGGTGAAAAAAAATATATATATTTCGAAAAAAAATATATATATATATATGTATATCGTCGTTTTAAACCCTTAGCATCAATAAAAATTAATTAAATAATTTTTTACATTACAGAAAAAATTCAGGTCTGAATGGATTAATAACACGCTTATGTACACATATACTCTTCTTCCTCTTTTCTCTCAATTCTTTTACATTAAAGAATTTGCATCATTAATTTTAGGTGGACTGTCGTACGGCGACTTCAAAAATTTGTCATGTGGTGTTAGGTCGATCAGATTATCAGCTTGGGCACACCAAAGTTTTTCTCAAAGATGCTCATGATCTCTTCCTCGAGCAGGAACGCGACCGCGTACTGACGCGAAAGATCCTGATATTACAGCGCAACATTCGCGGCTGGGTCTATAGGAGGAGGTTTTTGAAGATGAGAACGGCGGCAAAGATCGTACAGAAGTATTGGCGAGGCTACGCTCAACGTCAACGATACAAACGTATGCGAGTCGGTTACATGCGACTACAGGCGCTCATCAGGTCGCGTGTATTGTCACATAGATTCAGGCACTTGCGCGGCCATATCGTAGCACTTCAGGCGCGAGCACGGGGTCACCTAGTGCGTAAGATGTACCAGAAGAAGTTGTGGGCTATAGTAAAGATACAGGCGCACGTGAGAAGATTGATCGCGCAGAGACGATACAAGAAAATCAAATATGAGTATAGATTGCATATAGAAGCACTGCGATTAAGAAAGAAGGAAGAACGCGAACTGAAGGACCAGGGTAACAAACGAGCTAAGGAGATAGCGGAACAAAATTACAGGGTAAAATAAACGTATCTTATCTTATATTCATTACTATAATTAACGAAGAAATTGAATTTTTACTTTCTATAGCTATAGAAAGTAAAAAAAAGATTCTCTCTAGTATTAAATCATAATAAAAAAGGTAAACTTTTTTATTATTTATATTATATCAGAAATTCAATCAGTTCTTCTCATTATATGTAAAAATATAGAATAAAAACTAACAAGTTATTTTCGTTATACATATATATATATATATATATATATATATATATATATATATAATGATAGGATAAGAATTAGCGAGATCTCATATTTACAACAAAAACATGAATTATCTGTCGAGAACTTTGACCAGTTTCTTATAGTGCGAGTCATGATCATAATTCATGTAATTATTATGAATTCTATGACATTGCGTGTATCAATTTCAGGAGCGCATGCAAGAGCTAGAGCGAAAAGAAATCGAAATGGAGCTCGAAGATAGACGACGAATGGAAATTAAGAAAAATTTAATTAACGATGCAGCCAAGAAGCAAGACGAACCAGTCGATGATAGTAAACTAGTCGAAGCTATGTTTGACTTCTTGCCAGATTCTAGCAGCGAGGCTCCGACTCCGGCGAGGGAAACGTCCGTATTTAACGTAAGTTTTCATTATTTTCTCATGTTTTCATATTTCTTTGTTAAAAGTTGATTACAAATAATCAATAATTTTGATTCATAATCTAATAGTAAAAATTTAATAACGAAAATTATATTTATTAATAGTAGTAAAATAAAAAAAATTTCCTTGATAGAGAATACAGTTTCTTATTTATTACAGGATCTTCCTGCACCAAAAGCCGATCAGCAAGAGATACTTAGCCCGATTCAAATGGCTTCGGAGGATGAGGAGGATTTATCTGAATTCAAATTCCAGAAATTCGCGGCCACATATTTTCAGGGCAATATCACGCACCAGTATTCGAGAAAGCCGCTCAAACATCCATTATTACCATTACATACGCAAGGTGACCAATTGGCCGCTCAGGCTCTATGGATAACTATACTTCGATTTACGGGCGATTTACCCGAGCCGCGATTTCATACTATGGATAGAGACACGACTTCGGTGATGTCGAAAGTAACAGCAACGCTTGGACGGAACTTTATAAGAAGCAAAGAGTTTCAGGAAGCTCAGATGATGGGCATGGACCCTGTACGTATATACGGAAGTTTTTCTTCCTTTATAATTGATATTAGATTTATTAGATTGATTACATTAATATGAGACAAAAACTCTCATACTCTATTTTTACTTTATACTTGTATTATTTATAGGAAACCTTTCTCAAACAAAAACCACGTTCCATCAGGCACAAGCTTGTGTCGCTAACTTTAAAGCGAAAGAACAAGCTAGGCGAGGACGTGCGAAGAAAATTGCAGGAAGATGAATATACTGCCGATAGCTATCAATCCTGGTTAGAAGCTAGACCAACATCGAATCTCGAGAAGCTGCATTTCATCATTGGCCATGGTATATTGCGCGCCGAATTGCGGGATGAAATATACTGTCAGATTTGCAAACAACTGACCAACAATCCATCTAAATCGTCGCACGCACGAGGCTGGATCTTGCTATCCCTCTGCGTCGGCTGTTTCGCGCCCTCGGAGAAATTCGTCCACTATCTGCGAGCCTTTATCAGAGAAGGACCACCTGGTTATGCACCCTATTGCGAGGACAGATTGAGGAGAACTTTTAACAATGGTACGCGCAATCAGCCGCCAAGCTGGTTGGAACTTCAGGCTACGAAGTCGAAAAAGCCGATCATGTTGCCGATCACTTTCATGGATGGTAACACAAAGACGCTGTTAGCCGATTCGGCTACCACCGCTAGAGAATTGTGTAATCAGCTTTCCGATAAGATTTCGTTGAGGGACCAATTCGGTTTCTCTTTGTACATTGCTCTATTTGACAAGGTGTCATCTCTGGGCAGTGGTGGCGATCATGTGATGGATGCTATTTCTCAGTGCGAGCAATACGCCAAAGAGCAAGGTGCTCAGGAGCGAAATGCTCCATGGAGATTATTCTTCAGAAAGGAAATCTTTGCACCTTGGCATGAGCCAACTGAGGATCAAGTGGCCACGAATCTAATTTATCAGCAGGTGGTGCGCGGTGTCAAATTTGGCGAATATCGTTGTGACAAAGAGGAAGATTTAGCGATGATTGCAGCACAGCAATATTATATAGAATACCACACTGACATGAACATCGATCGATTGTACACCCTTCTGCCCAATTACATACCGGATTATTGTCTAACGGGAATTGACAAAGCGATCGATCGATGGGGACATCTCGTCTTGCAGGCATACAAGAAGGTAAATTTTAAAAATTTCAATAAACAAGTCATATATGACTTATTCATAGTCATAGTCATATATGACCTATTATTCCAAGAGGATAAAAGACATGTGTACAAGAGTATTAATTAATTTTATTAAGAAATTGAAATAGATAAATTGAACATATAAATACAACATTTATATGTACAATTTTATATTCAATTTTACTTAAATATCGTTACCCTAATATTGTTATTCTATAAAAAAATCTAATATTATATTATTCTATAAAAATGTGTACATATAAAATAAGCAAATAAGAAATTCTTTATTTGAAAGAGAACAATTTTATGTAATAAAATATTTTTTTCTAAATTTTAAAATGTTAAATCACGAACAATGTTCAGATTCTAATGAAGGACAATCTACCAATCGATATTTTTAACGTTTTATTTTTAGAGTTACTACTTAAAAGAGAAAGTACCAGCATTACGCGTTAAAGAGGATATAGTCAGCTATGCAAAGTTCAAGTGGCCTTTATTGTTTTCTCGTTTCTACGAAGCTTATAGAAATTCTGGACCAAATCTGCCTAAGAACGACGTTATTATAGCTGTCAATTGGACGGGAGTATATGTCGTTGACGATCAGGAACAAGTGCTCCTGGAATTATCTTTCCCTGAAATTACCACCGTATCTAGTCAAAAGTATGTAACACATAACACGACCGTTAAAATTAAGTTGAACCGTTAAAATTAAGTTGAAAATCATAAAATATTCTAAACTTGACGACTTTTGCAGAACAAACAAGATGTTTACACAAACATTCAGTTTGTCAACGGTACGAGGGGAAGAGTTTACGTTCCAAAGCCCAAATGCGGAGGATATTCGCGATTTAGTGGTATATTTCTTAGAGGGGCTGAAGAAACGTAGCAAATTCGTCATAGCTCTGCAGGATTACAAGCCGCCGGGTGAGGCCTCATCGTTCTTGAACTTTCAAAAAGGGGACCTCATTATCCTCGAGGATGAGAGCACCGGCGAGACAGTGCTTAACTCAGGATGGTGTATCGGAGCCTGCGAGAGGACCGGCGAAAAGGGTGATTTTCCAGCTGAAACGGTCTATGTTTTGCCTTCCTTAACGAAACCACCTAACGATATATTGGTACGATAATATATGGATAATTTTCATATTATAAAAGTTGTAGATTTTGAATAATTTTTTTCGAGAAAATAATTCAAATAACTTACTTATCAATATTATACTGTATTTTTTTCTTTTACGAATTTTTTAACTTTTTCTGTGTGCAAAATTTTTCTTCTCTTTTTGTTATTCAAATTTTCTTTTTTATTCATTTTTTTAACACACATCTAAAGAAATTACTACCGTTCTCATGTGAGAAACACAATTTAAATTCCTCGGACTAGTAAAAGCCAGATACAATAAGCAGAGCATAAATTCCAAGAAAAATTAATTGTTATATTTTATATTAGTATATTCTTTTTCTTGCTCTGTATCTTTATATATTTTTTACTATAATTTTATTCTGTCGCATAACACAAAAATTTTAATTTTTAGGCCTTGTTCAGCATCGAAAGTACTGAGAGTACTCGTAAGCTCTATCCACAACAGATAAACGGTGTGGATTCGCGCGACAAGCCTCACACTCTTCTAGAATACGCAATCGATCATTTCCGGTAAATAGAAATATTTAATATAATTGCATCTTATATTCTCGAATAAAACTGATAATTTTCTGATTATTTTTATCTTAGAACACCGCCAAAAAGAACGATGTCGAAGACGCTGACTTTAACATCTGCACGACGTGGTCATACTGACGAGTTATGGCATCACTCCAGGGACCCGTTAAAGCAACCACTTCTAAAGAAACTCGTGTCCAAAGAGGAATTGGCCGAAGAAGCATGCTTTGCCTTTAACGCTATTTTGAAGTATATGGGCGATCTACCAACAAAACGACCGCGCATCGGCAACGAATACACGGATTTAATTTTTGACGGACCATTGAAGAACGAGATTTTACGGGATGAAATTTACTGTCAGATTATGAAGCAGCTCACCGATAATCGCAACAGATTGAGTGAAGAGCGGGGGTGGGAATTAATGTGGCTGGCCACTGGATTATTTATTTGCAGTCAAAGTCTTTTAAAAGTACGAGTTATCACATTAATCATTAAATTTCTTCGAATATAAATTAAATTTCCCCATAAGATATTCATATCGATAACATTTGATGAAAATTCAATAATGTACTCTTAATTTTATCTTTCATTTCAGGAATTAACTCTATTCCTGCGTACAAGACGTCATCCTATATCACAAGACTCTTTACAAAGATTACAGAAAACTTTGCGTAATGGCCAACGGAAATATCCGCCGCATCAAGTGGAAGTAGAAGCTATCCAGCATAAAACCACGCAAATATTTCACAAGGTCTATTTTCCAGACGATACAGACGAGGCACGTATCTTATTGTTTAATTATCTTATCTATTTAAACTACACAATTTTAGCAATTTTGTTCTTGACAATTATTTAAGCATTACATTTCCATTTATAGGCGTTCGAAGTTGACTCATCTACTAGAGCGAAAGATTTTTGCCAAAACATTGCGCAAAGACTCAATCTGCGATCGGCTGAAGGTTTTAGCTTGTTTGTTAAAATCGCCGATAAAGTCATTTCTGTCCCAGAAGGAGATTTCTTTTTTGATTTCGTACGACATTTAACCGATTGGATCCGGAAAGCTAGACCGTCACGTGACGGTATGTATTTCTTTGCAACTTTTAATAGGAATTATTTTTCTTACATATTAATCAATTGATTATCCATAGGGGTTCTGCCGCAATTCACATATCAAGTCTTCTTTATGAAAAAGCTTTGGACAAATACAGTTCCTGGTAAAGACAGAAATGCCGATTTAATTTTCCACTTCCATCAAGAACTCCCCAAATTGCTAAGAGGTAAATAATCATCGATATTTAATTATATAATGCTATATAATTGCAATGTACTATATAATTATAAATCATGTTTCACGCATTTTTGTTGCTCAATGTATATAGGCTATCATAAGTGTATGAAGGAAGAAGCCTCGAGATTAGCAGCTCTGGTATATAGAGTACGATTCGGCGAAAACAAACAAGAATTACAAGCAATTCCGTAAGTATTTCTAGATACATTATATAATTTCTGATAAAAACATGAGAGAAAAATATCGACTAATTTCAGGCAAATGTTGAGAGAACTCATACCAGGAGATTTGATCAAAGTACAGACTGTTAATGATTGGAAAAGATCGATAATCGCCGCTTATAATCAAGACGCTGGTAAGTAAAAAGCACAAATAACTCGATAGAGCGTGTGTATTGTAAAAAAAGAGTAGATTTTTTCATCAAGACTTACTTCATCATAGGCATGAGTCCAGAGGATGCAAAAATCACATTCCTAAAAATCGTATATCGATGGCCGACATTCGGTTCCGCGTTTTTCGAAGTGAAACAAAGCACGGAACCAAACTATCCTGAATTACTATTAATCGCCATCAATAAACATGGTGTGAGTCTAATACATCCTCAATCAAAGGTAATAAAGATAACTTTCTCCCCCTTCGCTTTTTCTCCTCTCTCCTTCCCTTTTCTCTTTTTGCTCCCTTCCTCTTTCTATTCTTCATTCTCTTTTTTTCTTTCTTCCCTTCTTCCTGTTCTTTCGCTTTTCTTGCTGTTCTTTTTTCTCTTCTCTTGCCTATAAAGTATACGTTTAACTCTAAAATGACACATCGTATGTTAACAGTTAATGCATGATCTATTTTTATTGTAGTAATTGGTTGTGATAATTTTATTATGCATGTATTTCTAGGACATATTGATTACACATCCTTTTACGAGAATCTCTAATTGGTCGTCCGGCAATACTTATTTTCACATGACGATAGGAAATCTTGTACGAGGTTCGAAACTTTTATGTGAAACCTCGCTGGGTTATAAGATGGACGATCTTTTGACTTCTTACATTTCGTTGATGCTCACGAACATGAACAAGCAACGCACGATACGAATCAAATAAAAATAATTTCGTAGTATTTTGCATTATTCGGTAATTTTTTGGATTTATTTTTTATGGATGATTTTTTAACATGTTCACGTATAAATTTGAAAATAATTTTATATTACAGACAAACACATCTCACACATACACACACACACACACACACACACACACACACACAACTATCCGCAATATTATCCCATTAATTCTACTTCTGATTGAAAACGCGAGAAATTATTTAAACTTTTATTTCTTCACGTGAGATATTCATCACTGTTCATGTTACATTATTATACACGACATAAAAATTTATGCAATCGTTAGAATTTAATGCTATAATTTATATAAAGTATAGAAATCGCGCGGGTACATTTGATCATTTACCTGTTAATTTACGATTCATAATAAGAGAAACTTAAATATTTATGATTTGTAAGAAAAAAATAACAAACTATATATGTACACAAGTTGTGTTAGCCAAACGATTTGTACATGATTTATTTACAGTTAAGAATTTCACCGCAGCCTTGTATAAAATATTACCATCCCTATTTTAATTATTATTAGTGGACGTTCAAACTAAGATTTTAAAGCACTCTTGTGCGCGCTAATATAACACGGGCATAATAGCGGTTATATGTATCAATTTTAATTGAGAATAACGCAATTTGTAATAACTTCGCGCACCTACATAACGAATTACCAGAAATGTTATATCTGTCCATGAATATATAGGAGTCGCTTATTTTATAAATGACGTGGATCAAGTGTCAGAAGATCATGAATTTATATGAAATGAATAAAATATGAATATAAGCTGAGATGCGACCTATAATAAAAAAAATATCTCAAATATCGCTTTGTCTATATACAGAGTATTTTTTTCGAAATGAACGCCTCATATAAGAATGTAATTAATTCGCTTTTATAATTGTGAATAAAAACGACCATGTTCTCTACACGCAAAGTACAAACGTTAATCGTGGGTAAATTCCCATGGAATGTATACCATCGTTCCCCCTTTCCAACACAAATCTCTTTGCGAACAGATTCCCAAGCGATGCTATCTCATTTCCTCTCGGAGATGACGGTATTTTGATTACTTGTAAAGAAAAAAAAAGAAGGAAAAAGATCCAGACATTAATGATTGAAAGCATCGCATCAAAGAAATCTTAAATTATTCGCTTAAAAAAATTGCTAGTTTTTTTAATACAGCTATTCGCTAAAATTGTTAAGAATTATTAAAACAAAAAGTATGACATATTTTGATTCTCTTACATAAAACATTCGCTAAAATCAATTTCCAATTTATCAAATAATCTATGATTGAAGAAGAAATTACGAAAGAGATTGATATATTTTATATATTATAGAATTTTCATGTCAGATCTGAAATTGGGGATCAATCAGGAACTGATATCGATTAAAGATCAATTAAAAATTGTAGTACAAACTTTCGATTTATTCTAAATTATATAGGAAAAGATAAAAATTCATATTTATATCTTCATTGTACTTGATATAATTACAATAAAGTATACAGATGTAATTTTTAATAAATTTTTTCAAATTGGAAAAAATACTCAGAGAAAAACGAACATACGTTACAGTACAGAAAATCCTTTATCTGAAAGAAAACTCAGTATTATAGTACTTAAGTCCTCCTAAGTATGATCAGGGTGTCTATTCAAATCTTGTCTTCAAGATTTTTCATGCAATTTTTTAAAATATGTTTTTATTCAACAAAATATTAAATGTGTACATATTCTTTAATTGTAATCTTTAATGATAAAAAAATGAAAATATTATGCAAATGAAAAACGCTTATCTTACAAAAATTACCTATACAGAACATAATTTGCCTTCCGTTTTCTATTTCTCATATAAAGGAGAAATGTAGAGCCACTTAAACTTCAAATGCTAAATTTGAAAATTTACTAAAAAAAACTAAATTGTCTTCGTAAGATAAACATTTTTCACTTGCATAACATCTTCATTTTTTTATTGTTAAACATTACAATAAAAAAATATGTACTGCACATTCAATATTTTGTCGAATATATAAATAAAGATAGATATATATTAATAACAATGACAAAAGATATATTAATATATATTTGTAATTTGATTTATATCGACGAATTGTAAATAATTGTAGATATTTGCTTATAATATAATAAAAGCACTATTAAAGAGAATCTTTTAGGAATTTCCCCTGCGTCCCAATAAAATTCTATGAGAATTCTCTGATTTCTCCAAGTATAAAAGAAATCTCTGAAAATTCCAGGTTTTTTAGAAAGTAGACACCCGGATAATATAATTAAATCTGATGACATAATTAAATATCTCTGATGATATAATTAAATATATAATTTAAAAATAGCTTTCTGCTGATTCAGACATCACGTCATCGTGTGTCCATATATCTGTCCATCTCTTTCTTGAATAAAGATAAAAAAAATAAAAATATAATATAATAGATTCGATTTTTATACTTTATACGAGGATTACAAGAGAATGATTAATCAAAAATTAATTTCACGCGAATATCTCGAGGTATATATTTAATGTAATTATTATTACACCGGGATCCACGTAATTATAATCACAATAAGTGTGCTGCAGATATACACACGTTTGAAATACTATGTACATAAAATAACACGTACGCGTATCAGGGAAAAATCTATGCCACTTTGAAAACTGGTCGATTATTTTTTCGAGATATAAAAAAAGAAAAAAAATGCATACGAATTCCACTGACTTGATCAATCAATCTCTGGCCGTTTTTTACAATCAGCACCAATTCACGTGATACACACATTCATTCGCTAAAAAGAGTATATGCATTTTTTAATAAATAATGAGAGAAATCTATTGACACTGCGTGTGCGCGCACGAATTTACAAATGTACCAAATATCGAGCACATTGGCAGTTCAAAAATACACTGCGTATCCCTTCCTCTATCCTACTTTGTACATGATAGACCATTCACGCGAGGCAACGCTCAGACTTCCGTATAATTTTTTTCGATTTTTCCCATACATTTTTCCCCCTTTACGAAGTCATTTCCACGCGGTGGAATAACAAATACTCTCTGGCGATCCCAATAAATTAATATTTGCTTTACAATCTAGCGATGATGTATACAAGGTGTCTATAAAGGACCAAATTATACAATGTGTTAATGGGGTCGAGCATGTGAAAAAAATGTATATAAACTTATGTCCGAAAATGTGCTTTATTAAAGAATTATAAGGTATCATAGTTATAACTATTTCATACCATTCCATTTAATATAGTTGAAAATTCTAAGAAAGTTATAAGAACAATTTTGGACATTTCGAAAACTTATAGCTTATAAAGCTTATTCGAACATAAATTTATATAAACTAAATTTCATCCCGATCTTTACGGACACCCTAGAGAGAGCGAAAAATGCTTTTATAATTATGAAACTTACTATACCGATTTCCGAGTGTAATAGCTCTTCTCGTAATAGATATAGTGTTAAAAGCACAACCGTTCGGTGACCAATATGCAAATGTATAGACTAAGATTGTGTATTACATTCGTTACTAACTACGCCCGTTTGATAGTTTTTCTTTAATTCTTCATAAAATGCTAGACGAGACGTGATAAAGTTCCAAGGGAAGTGTTTCGGATATATCGACGAAACTTATTTCGCCGTGTCGAATGAAATCTTATATAATTCCATTCACTTCACTCTTGAAAATTTTATCATCGGACTCCGTATATTCGGTCTATACATCCTCGCGTAAACTGTTAAATCAAAAACTGCTATATAAATTATTATCTCTGTAAATCTTTGTTAACAAATTACGAGAGTTCTAAGACAGTTTTAGCGCGCGGAGTTGGAGGTGCCACACGTGGAGTGCATTGAGCGAAACGCTACGTCTTCGTATTGTCCAAGTTTGCGTCGTGTTGCGCCACGCTATTATCGATTTCGAGCAACAAATCTTTCGCCAGATACGAGCACTCGTCACTGCTACTCTCGTTTTCATCATCGTTGTCATCCTCGTCGTCGTCATCGGGGGACATCACGATTGGCGTCGCACCGCCCGTATCACTACTACATCGTAGACTTTGGTTCGCATTATGACGATTATCTAGAAGATATCAGAGACCCGACTGCGGCGGCTGTCCATGAGTGTTCCAGGGCACGTCGGTAGGCATTGCGGCGGGCGGTATATTAGCCTGATTGTGCATGGCACGCGGCGCTCGCATGATCTCATCGGCAGGAGGACAGTGCGGACGCGGCCCGGGTTCGGGCGTATACGTGAAGGTCAAACCGGTAGCGTAGATGATGCCGTCATTGCGCACGAGGGAGACCGGCACCTGCGTCGGCTGGCGCACCCACAGCCACTCGCCGCGAAACAAGGAGATGTCGGGCACGACGCAAAGCATGCTCTCCTGGCATCTGTACATGGTCTCGGCCTCGACGTCGCCGAACCAGACTTGCAGATTCGGCGTAAAATTGTCGCCCGTGAGCTCAAGCATCGCTACGTCACCGCCACCGTTGAGATGCAGACTATGGACCAGTGGTACTGGTGTCACGGGCGATCGTACCGGCCCCATGCCCTCGAAGAACTGATATTCCGCCTTGTCCGTGCTGATAATCGTCCAGCAGGCGCCATCGTTGATCATCTCCTTGTTGGCCTCTTTCGGGCAAGGTGTAGCCTGGAATTGTATTATACGCTCTTGCGAGAGACACAAGTACATGTGATCCGTGTCTTTCATGTAGAAGGCGCATTTATGCAACTGCGAGACAGGATCGTCGGCCTCCAAACTGGCCATCTGCTTGTCCACCTTGCGAATCACCAGTCGCGGCAGTGCCATTCCCGTCACGGAGCACACCAACTTCACAGTGCTGCCATAGTGCACGTAACCATCGCGTACTTGAAATTCCTCCGACTCGCTCTCATTGTCGTCCAGGAGGTGAATGGTGAACGCACCCCACTGCGTCGAGCTCGCATGGAAGTTACCATTCTCCACGTGAAGATAACGCGTGCTGACCGTCTGCGAGCGCAATCGATTGAAAAGCGCCACTTTCGTGCCACTGGCGATGCACAGGTCCGCGTTCTTCAGGGACTGCTTCTTCTTGGACGGCTTCGAGATCACCTTGATACGCTTGCTAAAGAACACGCCAATGTCGTGCCCGCTACCGTAGAACATCTTGACGGAGAGCATAAAGTGCTTGCGCTTGTCTGAATCGGAGATGTAGAGAGTCTTGGCCGCGCAGTACTGCTTGCCGTTGTTCAGGTCCAGTTGCTGCATATCCTGGTCCGAGTTACCGATGCCGATGAAAGCGCATAATTGGGCATTTTGTTCGCTCTCGCCTTCGCGCAGCATTTGCTCCTGGCGCATCCTCCAGCCATCGCCGAAGAGATAGATGCACGGCGGAGGGCAGAAGAACCGCTTCTCGTTGCCGTACGATTTTTGCGCGACCTTAGCATGCAGGATCACGATCATCATGTCGCTTCGGTCGCGCAAGTAACGCTCCATCGCCTCGCGGGTCAATCGCTGGTCCTGCTGATCGGGCCTGTAGATGCCGGAGCCGAATCGAGGATAAACGGACATGACTGAGGTCGGTGAAGGCGGAGACTGCATACTGTGTGCCATTGTTGGCAGTCCAAACTGATGTGGCATATTTAAAAGTCCGGGTCCTGGGTGCGAACGGGATAACAAAGCTGCCGCCGTTATAATGGCGCTGTTATATCTTCATCTTCCAAGCGCCAAGAATGACTTTCTGATCTCCTACCTATACAACCAGAATTCAAATATCTCAATGTAAGTTTAATAATTCAACAAAATATTATTATTAAATATAATTATTATAATTATTAAATATAATTATTATAATATTATAATATTAAATATAATTATTATAATATTATAATATTAATTATTAATATTAATTATTATAATATTATAATATTAAATATAATTATTAATAATATTATAATATTAATTATTAAATGTAATTATTATAACATAATTACTAAATATAATTATTAAATAATCGTATAATTATCATTATATCGTGAAACTAGTGTTAGATAAAGAGTTGAAGAGAAATTAGACATACAAAATGAAAATATTAATCAGAATCATCTAACAAGTGTAAACGCTAAGAGCAAAATACTAATTTGCGATATTAATAAAGAGCAATAAAACACGGTTTTATATAACAGTCTCTAGTACGCAATTAAACAAAATAAAAAGCACATGGTTTAATGATAAAAGACTAATTGCATTAATAAAGAATAATGAAACACGATTATATATATATATATATATATATATATATATATATATATATATATAAAACAGTAGTTAAACAAATAAACAACGCATTCAATGATGTGTTTCTTCCTCTTAATAAATTTCTAATAACTTGTATCCATTATGTATTGAGTAGATACATAAAATAATCTGTGTGTAATACATGTGTGTATAATTATAAAATAATTGTAAGAGATTGTACATAATGGAAATGAATGTGTTATCGCGACTTTATACCATGATAATGTATTCGCATAATATGCAATAACGTCACTATTAACGCGATTAAGCGTACCAAACTGCATACAAATGTCCGCTCATTTAAAACTTCGGCGTGAGAAAAATTTTTGCTTTTGACAAGGGGAAAGGGAGGGGAAGTATAATTAATTCGAGATATCTTTCTTTGAATAAACCACCAAGAATTGCTAGTCTTAGTACAGGAAAGAGGAAACAATATACATGTATATACGCGCATACCGTGAGAACCGAGTTGAGCTCATTTTTCCTACATGAATTAAAGCACTTTTGTCCATTATATAGGTAGAGAGAGATTTTATGTTTATATACATATTATAAAAAACGTAAATTAGATCTTTTATAATTAAAGCGTATTAAATACAATTTATCAATTATACAAAATTAATGCTAAATCAAATATGTGTAAGAAAATTTTAGAATTTTATTAATTCTTTGTGAAATATCCCAAAGATTCTTTTTCTTATATTTCTCTTCATATAGAAAATAAAATCTCTTACAGAAGCATTCAATTTAATAAAATTTCATTTTAGGAGTAATAGAAAAATAGTAGAAAAGTATTTTCTTTGCAGAAATCAAATTTAAATCAAATATTCTTATAACTTTGGATTTTATAAGCGATACGTAAAGTTCACATATCAATTTTGCTTTTGCTTTTAATTTGTTTTTGTTATATTTCATAATAATTCTAATTTTATAGGATATATATCAAATAATATGAGAAAATAATATAATAATGCAAATTACAAGAATTGATAAGAAATAGGCTAATAAGAGCCAAATACAATAAATAAGATGTAATCAACTTTCTTGCAGACATTATTTAATTACCTAAATTATAGATGTGTCGGTCTTTTCTTAAAAACATTTTCAGCAACTACTAAAACTAAACAGAAAAGCACAAATTAGTAAATTATTATAACAAAATTGTCGTTAGCAATAATTTCAGGGTGCAAGAGAGAGAAAGAGAAATATAGTACTTATCATCATATTTTCTCAATACGTTTTAATCTGCGTAATCCTAAACATTATCATTCCCACATTATTTATCTAATAATACATAATTGAGTGTTGAATTAAATATTCTAGAAACAGGAAAGACTGTGAATTTGTTATTCAATAACAAGAAAATATCTGACAAACTAAGTCTGACGTAATGATAATGAATAGTAGAATATAAAACATGTGCTAATGCATACACGCATTCTGACCTTGTAATTTAAATTCCTTCTAAATATATCACTCTATTTTTGCATATCAAATATAAAATATATATTTTGAACTTTGCTCATCAAGAATATATATTATACATATAAATTACAGAAAAGCATGCATAAAAAAATAAACAATAGTTAAATTAATATGATATTATTCCATATAAATTTATGTAAAAAATGAAAAATTAAAAGCAAAAATAAGAGCTTCAAACATGAAAAGTGTCTATTATAAACTTGACTGATATCACTAAGGAAGAGATGGAAAAGCGGAATACGCTCTGCTCGCAAGAATAAAAGAGAAATATGATAACGTGCAGTCGTTCGAGGATTTGTAGGATTATGAGAAAATCGAAATTCGCGAGGGAGGGCAATCGGAGCGGCGTGTGAGAAAGTCGGGCATTTGTTTATTTACATTTTCGGACCGAGATGAGAGGTTACCAGCGCGCATTTATCCGGCAGACGGAGGGGAAAAGGAAAGAGAGCTCATGGCGAAAGCACTCACCTCCTCATTTTCGCCTGGACGCCAATGACAGCCGCGTACCCGCGTGCATCCTCCGGGCTATCGATCATCCGGAACGGCCGGCAAATCCTCGACGATCATTCACCGTCCGCGAAACACCGTCCTCCCGTCGCCTATGCTCTCTCTAATCCATTCAAAAAACACCTGTTCACTTTCCGAATTTTCCGAACAGTCCTGCCAACCCTGCGACGAACGACGTCGCAGCGGTAGCGGCAAGTTTAAATCATCTAAATTCGATCTGCGAAGATTCGCGGGAGAATCTTCCTCCAATTCTGGGCAGATCGCTTTATTGAATCTGAAATATACGGAGTAAAATATAAATTCGACGCGAGGATGAAAAGCAGCGGGGTCGAGACAGCGCGAATCGTTGAACGTCGAGTGACAGGACGTCGAGAAGTGACAGTTGAGTTCCTAACGCGTGATCGACGAATCTTCTTCGCGATTGGACCGGCACGGTATAAGGGCCTACCCACACGGCCAACGACCGACAGATGACTGAGTTCGCGGCAACGTCGGATATAGAGTTATTACTGCCATATTGTAGGTAAACTGCACCATGAACGTGGCCGGAGAGAGTGGAGAGGGGGGAGTCTCGCACGTGAGCTCGTAAGTACGCGCCTGTCCCGATGTGTGCCGATGTTCACATCGATGTATGAAAATCGCGCGCGAACGTCAGTGGCGTGAATTTGACGTTTCGCGAATTCGGCTCGCGAAGCCGCGTCGACGCGTTCGATTATCGAATTGTCGAATCGCGTTCACCGATAGCGCGTTACTTTTTTCAATTTGAGAATCGACCTTGTCGATATGTTAAAAGTTAATCGTGATCTTAAAAGTGTCACATATCGGATACATCCCCGAAGAGGCGAGAAAGTAAGTTTGTAACTTGTACGAGGCCTACCTGTCTTCTCCAGGATATCGATTATCCTGGATCCTGATTTCTGCAACGCTTTTTTTTCTGGATTATAATCCACTCTGCGATGTAGATAAAAAAGACAATTTATTTATAAATCGCACCATTTTGAATTGCTAACTCGAGCACTTTCAAGACTGTATTACGTATTCGAAAAGTAGATCGAGCACTCTCTTGTCCTCTCTCTCTTTCTCTTTCTCTCGTTCTTTCTTTCTCTGTCTTTATTTGCAATGACACTTTTTTTTTTATTGTCCGCGACTTTTCGCGATGACACGGCGCTTGCGCACGCTCGCATACGTCACTGGTGTTGCAGATTCTATTGTTTTACTGTTGTACAATGGCCCGACCCAAGCGCCTCCAGTTCCTTGCCTCCCCTACCTGATGTGTGCCGCTCGCCCCTTCCTCTTCTCTCGTACTCCCCCCTCCCCTCCCCAACGGTTGTCATTCCCCCTCCCCGACAGCGTCCCCATGGGCCGTGGAATTGCTGCCGCAAAAGGATGTTGGGGTTACCCTGGGGGGCGTGGGAAAAACCTGCTGTGGGAAAGAGTGGGTGGCCTCTACCTCACTCCACTTCTGTGATGATGACGATACGATATATATGCCGTATCTATAAATGTCGTGCGTGTGGGTGCGCGCGCGCGCAGGTGATGTGTGTGCGAACTGCATATATATATACATGTATCACACATATATACACATATTTATATATATGTATATGTAATATACATACACAATTATATTGCTATATACACATGTATAGCATCTGTATGATTTCCTCGCGTGATCCGTGTATGCGAAACGTGTAGCCCAGCCGATACTGCGTAATAATACCAAAGTATGTATGTGCGTGTATGAGAACACACTGAGAGAAAGAGAGAGAGAGAGAGAGAGAGAGAGAGAGAGAGAGAGAGAGATCATCAGTGAATAAGCGAGCGATACTAGTCGAAATATTTTGCTTGAAACATTTCGAAAAACGTTTCCTTTATTCAAGAATTCTCAAGAGCAACTTTTAACTCGATTTAATAATATTTGTGAGGTGATTTAATCACCTATCAATATATTTGTTCTCTCTTCATAATTCTTTGTAATCAATTGTAACTTTATGCGTTTTTTCAAAAATTCTAATGCGATATAAATATATTTGCGAAAAAAGGGAGTATATAATAAAAGTATATAATAAAATAAACTTAAACACATTTTCGATTATTTGTTTATTGTATAAATTTGTTTATTTATTGTAAAAAATCTCTTTAATACAAATCATTACAAATTATTGTATCAGGATAAGAAAAATCTAAGGACAGCGAGATAATGAATGTTTAAAAGAGCTAAAAGACATGAGAAAGAAACCTACGCGACCAGAAAATTCATTTGCCATTAAACATACTCGACTGAAGGACTTGAATTTACCGTAGGAAATACAATGCAATTTATCATTAAACAAACTTATACAATTTTATAATTTACGATCGGCTTTTAAAAAGAGTAGTTTAAAAAATTATAAAACAATCATTAATACTTTGAATATATGAATATATTAAATCATTTCAGTTTGCAAAAATTTTATACAAGACTTTGCGAAAGAATAATTGTTTTTCACTATTTACATGATCAAACGTAGAAAAGACATTATAATTATTTACAAAAGGAAGGGCTACATATATATATTTAATCCAAATGTATAATAAAGTAAATTATAAAGTAATGTATAATAAAAAGAAAATTTTAGAAGAAATTAAATAAAAAATTACATAACAATATATTCGAATAATATTAGAAAAGAAAATAATCTATAAATTTATAAATATTGAAATTGAGAAAATATATTGTTATACTTTGTTTTAATGAAATGAGAATCTGAAAAAAAAAGAAAAATGCATTAATGTCGAATCAATTCACAGCTTATATTTATTGTAAACATCTATAACCAATGCGAATATTCACGAGTAATGTACATACACTATATATATATATATATATATATATATATATATATATACACGGAAACAGAAATGCAATATATGAATTTATGCATTTTCGAAGAATATATGCATTTTTCATATAAAGGTAGCCGCCTCAATATCTTTATTCGCCCTAAATCAATATAAAAAAAGATGTTCACAAATTAGTAATGCAAATTGCATTTAGTTGTACTATTTATATATTTGCACTATATCACTTCGTTTTTGCTACATTCACTATCTAATCCCTCGAATATTCTTGGCAAGAGAGGAGGAAAATCATTCAAAAAAATTTATTATAAATATTCCAGTAGCCTCGAGATTGTTTTTTTCGTTCGGAGACTTCAGAGGAAAGTCATTCAAAAAAATTTATTATAAATACTCCAGTAGTCTCGAGATTTTTTTTTCGAGACTGCAGATTAAAATCGAAAAGCCGCACAGATATATAGAGTGTTTCAAAAAGATGTGTAAAAAATGTAAGAGCAGATTTTCCTGGTTAAAACAAGAAAAAAATTTCTCATAAATATGTATCCGCGGAAATGCCTCGTTTCTGAGATCATATGTATAAACACGAAGTTTTATATATAACCACAGACTTTTCTATACATGTGTCCAGTAATAATCATCCAGTAATATCATCTCTCGTGTACAAATTAAACCAAATACGAAAGTCCTTTACAAATTTTCTAATTTTCGCAATAATTAACAAGAAATTAATTTAAAAATAAGTCGACTAATCCGTGCAAATATAAAAAAAGAAAGACAGATATATTTAATTGGATAGAATTCGACATAAAACATAAGTATAATAAAAACACATTTTAAAATAAAATTAAGACAAAGAAATATCTCTTCTGCCTGATTAAATGCGGTTGTTCTTGCATCACTTATCGCTATTAATAGCTTAATATAATTTATAGCAGTCTGTAGCTATAACATACTGGAATGGACTTTTTTTTTAAGGGTGAAGGAACGATTCAATTCATAGAAAAGGATAGATGCACATATTCTATATAGATCGCTATCTTTGTCAGGAATTCGCCGATTGGTTGATACTATTTAATATTATGTCAAAAACATTTTATATATGCATTATGAATTGAAAGAAAAGTAAATAATATATAATCATTTTCATTTTGTTTAAATTGATAAGTAAAACCAAAACTTCCCGGAAGTTGCGTTCTACTGTACCACTTTATTACTACATATCTGATGAAAAATGTTTTTAACTCGGATAATAAATGTAAAAAGATCCACCCAAAAATACACCTTGCCTCGAATTTAGCTCCGTGTAGGTTTTATAGAACTCATTGTATAAAATCATGACTCTGTGAGTGTGTCATCTATAGCATGAGTGTATATGTGTGATATAAGCTCGTCAGCTGATCACAAACTAAATGATCGCGAAGCCAGGCTGGAGAAGATATTTTTGTTTCGTGATCTAACGCGCGCTTTTTAACAGATCTTTAGATACTCTCGTGTTTACGATATTAATTACATATCGAATGAAATCGGTTTGTTGATATTATATTTGTAAGTTACGTCTTGATAAGACTCCTGATCTTTATTCATATATTGTAATTTAATGGATTAAGTCGCAAAACACGTGTCCAAATAAATCTATTCGTATAAAACATTTGTGCTGCGTATCTTCGCACGCGATATGTACATTATTTTTAAGATCAACGTGACTTAAATAATGGGGGTACACGGTCTGTGGAAACTGCTTGAAGCATCCGGAAAACCGGTACCTTTAGAAAGCCTCGAGGGCAAGGTCTTGGCAATAGGTGAGCTGATATTTATGATGAATTTTGTTAGAAGTGTGATAGAAAATATAATTTTTAATATAACATCTTACAAATATCTTTCTTGGATGGCTGAAGTTTTGAAGATCTAAATAGATGAGAAGTTTTTGTTGCTTACTTAAATATTTTTATATAAAAAGAAATAGATAATTCATATAATATAAATTTTCAGACATATCGATATGGATATATCAAGTATTGCAAGGATATCAAGATCGTCATGGTACTCCTAAGCCTAATGCCCATTTGCTTGGATTATTTACTAGAATATGTAAACTTTTATATTATAAAATCAAGCCTGTTTTTGTCTTTGACGGAGGTGTACCCATGCTCAAGAAAAATACAATTGTAAATACAATGGATTATATTCTTCCTAATTAACAAAGATCTTTTTTTTTATGTTGTGCATTTAATGCAAAAAAGATATAGTATATTACAAACTTTAAGCACAGTATGTATTTATGCAAAAACAAAACTGTTCTTTTATCTTGATTATAATATTGTTCGTACGTAATTAGCTCTCTCAGCGTGGGAACCAGGTAGTGAGAAAAGAGCCTTCTCATTCTTTTGTTCACAGGCCTTGCGCAGGAAGCAGAAATCTATTGCCACAAGTAAGGCGCAGAAGATGAAGGCAGATTTGATAAACAACTTGATAAAGCACAGCGTTGTAAAAACTGCTCTCAACAAAGATTCCAAGGTGGATCAAACTAATGGAGCGATACAAGCAATGCTAAATATGCCAACTAACTGTTCCAAGGAAGATATGTTTATTCTACCTGATATGCCTAGCACTAGCAATATGCAAACTTATATTAGTGATAATGAGGATGATTCTGACACTTCTGTTGAGCTAAGTCCAAGAAAACAATCAAAATGGATGGGAAATATACACAATGTTGATGTAACCAGCAATGAATTTAAAGCATTACCTGCGGATGTCCGTTATGATATACTTACTGATCTTAAGGAAACAAGGAAACAAAATTCCTGGGGTCGCTTGCATGAAATACCCCAAGTATGTATGTACAAATGTTAAAAACTTGTATATCTACATACATACATATATATTGTATCTGTGGGAGCAAGATCAATTATATATCTTATATGATTATAGGAATCACAAGAATTTTCTGGCTACCAGCTGACACGTTTGCTTAAACGTCGATATGTACAAGAATCTTTGGAATCTGCTGAAAAGGAAATGGGTGGAAAAACTTTAACATTGGAAGAATTAGATAAATTACTGACTGAACAAGGCGTTAATACGAAAGGCAACGACGCAGCTTTTCGAATAGCCGCAGACAGTACAACAAGATTGATTTACATCAGTGGTATGTGTATCACAATTCTTTGTAATAACTACATATTATTATATATTATATATTATAATATAATAAAGTTATATATCATTTCACAGACAAGAACGCATTAGTAAAAGATTCTAATAAATCAGAAACGGATGAAGATGATATCTTACAAAATATAAATGAAGAAGTTAAATCTATTGCAGGCCCAAGTAATCATACACCTATTGTAGAAGACATAAACGAATATGAATTAAATGATTCCGATGATGACATTGATATGATTCACGATTTTTCATTTATCACGAGTGACGAAAATAAAAATGCACTTGACAGTGATAGAGAATCTGAAATTGATATGAACGAATCACTGGCGCCGTTAGATAAAAAATCAAGCAAAAATGCGACGAATCCAGCATTAGCATATTTACTAGAATATAGTGGTTTGTCTCAGAATCAAATCATGCATCTCATGAAGTACAATAAAGACCAAAGTCGTAAAATAAAAACCGCAGACAAAGATGTAAAACTGCACGAGAAAAATACTAATTCAGAATTAACTGAAGGTAGAAATCCAACAATTGCTAAATCGGAATTTTCACTTCCTGAAAATTATGTGGGAGTTTCGAAATCTATAGAATCACAAAATATGCAAAATGCATGCACGACCAATGAAAATATGACTGTCGAATTAATTTTATCTAACATGGAATCGGATAATTTCACCAAAAAGGAACTATTAAAAAATAAGACTGAAGTATTAGATGTAACATCTGATGTCATATCTTCAGATAAATTAGTGGAATTTGAGGAACATTCTTTTTCTCCTACAAAATCTAATGACAATATGACTACCGAATTAATTTCATCTAATGTGAAATCGGATAATTTTAAAGAAAAATCATTAAAAAATAATGTTGAAACATCAGATGTAACATCTAATGTCACATTTCCAATTGATAATTCAAGGAGGTCTGAAGAACGTTCTTCTCCTACAAAATCTAATGACAATATGAATGTTGAATTAATTTCAACAGTACAAACAGACACATCAGATTCCGATTCTGATGATTTTATAGAAATTCAAGACGTTCCAATACCTTATGTGGAAATATCACAAAAAAATATTACAAAGAAAGAAAATGTTGAGATAACTTTCAAGCCTGATGAAAAATTAGAAGACGATATTTTCGCCGATATATTTGAGAAGACGGATAAAAATAAAGATTTACCAACTAGTTTGGAACAAATATGTTGTATGCAACAGTCTATCAATGAAAATGATAAGCACCGAATACCATTAATTTCTGAAAACAAGAATTTGAAAACTAATTTATTGGATACTATACCTGAGGAGCTGATCATAGAAAAAACAAAAATCAAGTTATTAGAAAATACTCAGTTAATTGAGAATATATCGAATGATGAAGACAAAATACATGATTTTCAAGACTCCAACGACTTAGTTCAAAAAAATAATACGGATTTACTTACTGAAGATGATACTTGTAATGAATACATACAAGAGAAGAGAACAGTATTGCCTACAAATGAAGAAGATTTAATAGAATTGAAGGTATATATTTTCAATATTATTTCTGTAAACAAATTAATGTTATTTCAATTTTTTAAGTCTTATTTATTTATTTGAATGTGTGAATTTGTTAATTGCAGGGACAATTAGAATGTGAGCAAGAAGAACTTACCAAAGGCATTGGCAAATTTGAGAGACAAGCTACCAATATTTCCGATCAGATACAAACCGAGGCACAGGTACATTTCAGGATATATTGGAAATAATTTTTGTTATATAATTATATTGCATGTATTTTATATTATGTTTATTTATAGGAATTGTTACGTTTATTCGGGATACCATATATAGTAGCACCTATGGAAGCAGAAGCGCAGTGCGCATACTTAGAACAAATTGAACTCACTAATGGTACGATTACAGACGACTCCGATATTTGGTTATTTGGAGGTCAATATGTGTACAAAAACTTTTTCAACAATAATAGAAGAGTACTACAGTTCCATGCTTATGATATTCAACATCATTTTAGTAAGCACGAGACAGCCATTAATACCTTCTTAAAATAAAAATATGTATCATCTAAAATTTTTGTGAAGAATTACTTTAAAATTAATTATAAAATCAAATATTATTCTTTACAAAAATTTTATTAATATATATGTGTGTGTATGTTTATAACATCATATTTGTACCATATATTGCAGAACTTAGTCGGAACCAATTAATACAATTGGCTCTTTTGGTTGGTAGTGATTATACTACAGGAGTGGCTGGTATTGGACCAGTCACTGCGCTAGAAATATTAGCCGCCTTTCCCGCCGAAGGGGATAACATATTACACGGATTATACAAGTTTTGCTCGTGGATTAAGGAGGGAAAACCTTCCGGAAAAATGGGTTTACGCAATAAGTTGCGAAACGTGAAGTTGGATAGAGGTAAGCGGTAATCATCTACAAGACATGATAGATAAAGAATAGAGTAAATAATAACAAATGGTAATTTCAGATTTTCCAAATCAAGCAGTCGCTCAAGCGTACCTTTTTCCTACGATCGATGAATCAAAAGAGACTTTTACTTGGGGTAAACCAAATGTTGTGCTTCTTTGCGATTATACCAGACAGAAATTTGGATGGACGAAAGGCAAATTTGATGACACAATGGTACCAGTATTAAAAAGACTGGAAGAAAACAAAAATCAAAAATTGTTGGACATGTACTTTAAAAAAAAAATATTGCCGCGATCTATCGAGCCAACCTTGAGTAAAAGAGTGCAAAAAGCTCTATGCAGATTAAATAATGTCGATATGGATGAAGAAAATGTGAATGACGAATCTCAATCTAAAAGAAGTAAAAAAAGCAATACTGTCCAAAAATTGAACAAAGAAGATGTAGTCGAGATAGCAACAGATGAGACTCATGAGGAATCGCTTCCAAAAGATGCTACCAGCAGTAAGCCCGTTAAATCCATTGATAAAAAAAAATATACCAAGGAATATATACCACAACGAGAAAAGGACAAAGAATGTGCGTTAGAAAGAAAATTGCATGCTATAGAGGTACTTAGAAAATCAAAACAAGGTTTAGGTAAAACAAAAAAAGGAAAGCGTGTAATACGAAAGGTCAAGAAGGAGGCAGAATTATCAGAAAGTGATAGCAACTAGATATAGTTTTTTTTTAATTAAAATAAACAAGATTTTTATATATTGTGAATAATAACTTATTTATAAAATTCATCAGAACCAAACTTAACATTCTTAGTTGTTTTTGTTTCTAACATTATTAAATATTTTCTGTACTTCAGTCGTGCATCATCCTTACATCATTCGCTCTGAATAGTTCAATCGTTCAATTTTCTAGGACTTTGCTAAGATCCTGAAGATTATGTATAAAAATATGTAGGAATAATATGTGATACGCAACATTGTACATTACATTTATATACTTTTTTGGACTTTTGTTATTTGTATTATTATGTACATGCATTGTTATAAGTATAAAAATACAAATTATTTTTCCATTAAAGAAATTATATTTCAATAATTCTACTTTTAGACTTCAATAACATAAAGATCAAGAGGAGAAATTATAAAAACTTTTGTCAATAGTCTGTAAAGTTCATATATTTATATGTACATCCGTACATGTATTCGTACATATATACGAATTATAATTAAAAATTATATATTTAAATATTTTATGATGAATAATAACATATAAGTTAACAGACTGAACAAACATACAATTGATAAAATATGGACGCCTCTCAAGTTTAGTTTGCGAAATGTTTTGTTTCTTAATTGTTAATTTATTAAAAATTATTGATGTCTCAACATTTTCGCTGAGAAAAAGTCTTTAAATAATCTCAAGAACCTGTTAGGGGTGGACTCTGATACACTGTATGTGTATGTGTATCTATGCGCGCGCGTATGTGTGTGTATATGTGTGTGTGTGTGTGTATATATATATATATATATATATATATATATATATATATATATATCATGATACAGAAATATATAAAATGCAGTAAATATTTTAAAAATATAACAAGGAAAACATGCAACTTTTTATTCAAATAATTAAATGATTGATATAAATCTATCAATTCTTTTGTGCATTTATTAATTTTAAATTCGCACGCTTTTAATTTTGAAGTTATGAATTTCATATATTCGTCAAGAGAAAAAGAAATATTGTCTTTGACAATACTTAAAAAAAATGTTTATATAACAATTTATATTTGTACAAAAATATATAATGCATTAACAATGAAACATACTGGATTATATATATAGATCTGTATCTACATATATACCATAAGTATGCTTCAACCTGTTACATAATTCAACATTTTACATAAAAATTAGAAAAGATAAAGAGGAAAATTCACGTATCTCAATATAATAAAAATATTCTGACATATAAAATTAACAATGTGATACATAGGATATAATATACACAAACTATATATCTGTAAAACATATACCCTTCTACATAAACTTATATAATTATAAGTAAATTTTATTATCAACTTTATCTTAATCTGCAAGCAGGCATTTATTAAATCAGTTTTCTTAAGTATTATATAACTGCCATTTTTCTGATAAAAAAGAAAAAAAACTGTAAAGAAATGAATTGGACTCCAAAAAAAAGTAAAGCTTTATACATTAAAAATCGTAATAAAACTGTCATAGTAATAAAACTTTCATATAGCACCTGCTCTCTTACAATTAGCACCATTTTATATAATTTTGTGAGATCCGAATATTATCATTGATTTAAACCGAATAATTTTAGAGCATTAAAAGCGGTAGCTAACGCAACTTGCTCCGGCGTAGTTCGCATAAATGCTGCTACCATTTCTACAATCGCAGGCAAGGCACATGGTTCATTACGTTGAAAGGTGCAATAACGATGGAGGAACATCATAGAACGTTCGGTTAAAGCGTCTTTCACGTGTGCGGGTAATTTGCTGGCTCTAGTATTGGGGTACATAAATGGTGCGTCAGTTTCTACTAAGATTTTATCTAATGGCACCTGTCCACCTTCTAACAATTGTCTTATTCCGCTATCAGACTTATCCTTACATAAGTAACCCGTGATACCTAGATAAAAGCCTTGATTCAAGTAAATCTGTGCCTCCTCCGCAGTGCCAATGAAGGAGTGAATCAGAACGGGCGGTAAACGATTCTTATATTGACTAAGAACCTCCAACACATCTTTTTGTGCACTTCTTTCATGTATTACTAATGGCTTATTTAATGTACAAGCTAATTCTATTTGTTTATGAAATACAGCGCGTTGAGTCTCTGGGGCTGAGAAGTCGCGACTGTAATCCAAGCCACATTCTCCAATTGCAACACATTCAAGATTATTGGCTATGGTTTCCAGTTCATGCAAAGTGTCTGGATCTTCCCAAGATTTGGCATCATGCGGGTGTATACCAGCTGTCGAGTAAAGTGTCCCAGGATATATTCTAGTTAGCCTCAAGGCTTCTTTGCTGGAACGAATGCTGGCACCTATCACCATAATCTTTTGTACACCAGCATCCTTTGCCCTTTGTATTACACTATCTAAATCTCGACTATACTTCTTATTCGTTAAATTGGCACCCACATCAACTATAATGTAATTTTCATAGCATTGTGTCATGGATGAGGGAACAGCTTTTTCCTCTTCAGCCATTCCTTTAGACTATGAGACACAATAAGCTGAAGTATAAAAATATTCAATATTATCAACATTGCTTTATTTGAAATAATAAATATTATATTGTTCTATTATAAAATAAAAGATTACACAGTTCCGAATTATATATATATAGACATTTCAATGATATACATATGCATATGCGCGCGCGCATGTGAATTGGATGTGTAATAGAATATTTTTAGCAATACATATATTTTTAGAAAGTATGTTATATTGAGAAATATAATTCATAAATATAGGCACGATATAAATAAATTAATAAATTCATTTTTGTTAAAAATATTTCTCGCAAAAAATTAACATATGATGATAAATAAAAATTTGATTGCATATTTGATTTATATATAATCATATGTGTGTATGTATATACATATATATATATATGTATACACATATGTTAATTTTTTGTCTAAATAAACTCTTGTTTAGTTAAAAGTGCGAGAAATATTTTATTTATATATTATATATATATATATATATATATATATATATTATATATATATATATATATGTATATCTTTTTGAATATTAACATGTATTAATTTTCCATAATAGATCATTAACATATATTATTGTACACATAAATAAGATGATCATAAATGACGTAATAAATACTACTCTGTAAATTTATAGCAAATTTGGTCAGCCCCATTGGACCACACTATTGCATATTAAAAATTGTTATACACAAAATGTTTTCTAAATATAAACAGTTAATATATAAACATTTTGAGGAATTAAAATCTAATAATGATATATTGTCATCTTTTTTCTAGCAAAATATACATTAAGTATATCTCATCATTAAAGTGTTTGTCATTGCATTTAGACACCTCATATATTTAATATCAAAGTATATAAGCAAATTTGATATAAATTTTTATATAAATTAAATTTTATATAAATTAATGTAACAAATAAGTATTTGTTTTTAAACTGAAGTACTCTTAACCTATACGCAATACGTCAGAATTCATGTCAATTAAGATCCAAGATATTTACGCGGTGCACAATTGAGTCACGATTATAAAACGAGAAGCAAACGCTATAAAAAGTTGTGTCGAATGTGGAGAATTAACTACAAATACTACTGATCTATAAATAAAATGATGAACTTACGTCAATTCCAACCTTCAAATACACGAGCTACGATACGTATAATAATATATTCCACACGTGCACAATGTTGGATGATATGAATTTTCTCGTTCTGACAATCAGTCATCGATCATTTTTGTCAAAGTCGCATACGTTCGTATCATTACACAGCCAAGTGAAACGGAGTAGAGGTGACTCGAGTGTGTGTAAAACGTTGACGGGCCATCGCACATCATTACATGTTGCGAGTCCGCGACTGATCTCTATCTTCCTTCTTTTTCTTTCCTTCAATTTCCGTCCACTAATGGATCAAAGTACACGCATACATATATATATCGGGCTTCTATCTCTCTTCGTTATGACTGATTGAGCTCCATATGGATTTGCCCATATGACAATGACAGTAGCGTGGCTGACAGACCCCCTTTTATGCGCATGCGTGACGTAACGATGGCGATGACAGCCACGTGACAGGTACTTCAGTTTTGGCGGGATCTCGCAGAGACAAGCGACAAGTTAAATAAACGCGTAAATAAAAAAATAATTAATATAATTTATGCATATTTTTTATTTTGCTTTCAATTAATTTTTCAGAAATATTTAGATAATTTCTAAAAATGATTAAACGAAGGCCATACGGGATCTTATTCCATAAGATTTAATTACTTTATTGATATATTCAATTCGCATGCGCGAAAAAGAGAATCCGTCCAATACAGCAATGTCAATTGGTTGATTGATTTTTATTTCTGAATTCACCAATCACATTCGACTGTTATTTAGTCGCTCAATTGAATCATCGTGTTCCTGGATGCACGTTTTGTATCGTGCACTTTACGCGATTCGCGTTGATTGTAGCTTGGTATTCAAATTATTTAACTTTATAATTGATAATTTCTTCATTGTTACAGAGTATAAAATACTAGAGAAAATAATTTTATAGACTACGTATATGTGTATAATGTTTGATTGAGAAAAGTGTAAAATTTAGAATTTATATCGTCAACTATGCAGGTTAGTTTGCCAACCTGAGCACTTTGTTGTGCATAGAGTTGTTTATTAAGAAAATTTAATCGGCATTTGAATATTCTAATTTTTTTTATTTTCTAGAAAAAAGCCAGAAAGACAAGGCGTCAGCTGTTGGCATCCAAGGCAGCAGTACAACAACAGTTAATTAACAAGGCAAATGCTTTGACAAATCCTTTGGAAACTTTAGACAAATTCCATGAATATATTACAACAGATTATACGATAAAATTGTCTTGTATTAGAGCAAAAGATGCACAGCCGGAATGCCTTTCTTGGATATTTGACATTATGGAGAGAAACATGAAAGATATGTATGAACAGTCTACTTGGGGTTGGGACGCAGCTGAGAAACAAGCAGAACTAACAGAAGAAATGGCTTGGTACTTAATAGCATCGTGTAATGATAAATTTTTAGGCTTTTCACATTTCCGATTTGATATCGACAATGGCGATGTAGTATTATATTGGTAGGTATATTATATTTACAAGTTATATATATATACATATAAAATAAAACTCTAAATGTGTGATAAAAATTAAATATTTATATGTATGTATATAGCTATGAATTACAATTGGAATCAGAGATTAGACGTAAAGGTCTTGGCCGTTTTATGATGTCAGCTCTGGAATCTATGGCATATCAGAATCAAATGTTGAAAATTGTTTTAACAGTTTTTAAACGCAATCTGTCGGCGATACAATTCTTCTATACGCTTGGGTAATAAACTTATCAATATTATTACAAATAGATTAACGTAATGATGATACTTTTAATAACATTTCTCATTGACATATTGTTAAAATTATTTTTGTACTACATTATACATAAAATTTCTATTCATTTTTTCTAGAATTTTCCTTGTTTAACATTTTTCATACTAATGTGTATACAATGTAGTACAGGTATAAAATTGCTATGCAAATCAAGTCTATCTTATAGAATCTATAATTGACTAGTAAGTACTTTGATAAAGAAATAGTTTTGTTATACTGGTTTACATATTCTCACTCAATTCTCTAATATTAAAACTAACTATTTAAATCTATATATCTTATATATCTTATATTTAATATAGCCTTCCTATATCAGAGAACAAATAAGTCGAGAACTTAAAAAAATCATATTTAACACTAAATGTGCAGTGAGAATATGTTACATTCATTTACATTCACAATATTCAATCATAAATTTTATAATATCTTTTAGTGTATCATTTTTTTTTTAAACCAAATGTTTATGCAAATATGGAAATATGAAAAATTATAAAATAAAATTATATTCCTTATCTTATATTAAAACACTGATAACATTTGAGATTTAAAGGATAACAAATCAAGAAATAGTAGCTGATTTTATAATAGAAAAATGATGTTTTCTACTAAAAATTGTCCCTCCAAATAATACTTGATTTAATATTCTTTTAATTCTCAAATGCTTCATTATCAGCATTATTCTGAAATTCTTTTCTTTTTTTATATACTTAGAAATGTTATTAAATCACAAGAGTATTTCAATATCAAGAATATTTATAATATAATTTAGTTTATAATATAAATTAAAAACAACAAAATTACCAAAACAGTGATAAATATTAAATCCAATAACCAATGATAATTTTATTTATGAGAATAATTGTAATTATGAGAAATGTAATGTACCTTTTTTTCAGTTTTATGTGTGTGCATGCATATGTAATTATTAATTCATTGCATCTACATGCACACATGTGTGGCTATTTGTGCATGAGATAAAATACATATTGAAATCTTTTCATCTCTTTTAAATACACATTATACCTATGCAATTTCAAAGAGGATAGATTTCTTATACTTATAGTTTTGACTAGCCATTAATGTATTTAAATAGTGTATTTGTGACATATATATAATCTATATTAAGATACTTAATCAAAACAATAACAATTTCATGAACTAATACTGTTTCAGATTTAAGTTAGACAATTCGAGTCCAACATCAGCACACTTGGATTATATAATCTTGAGTAAACAAAATTTACGTGGATAAAAAGAAAAAATATGCTGGGTTTTTCTTTTATATTTTCTTCCTGATTAAGACTGCGTTTTATGAAACAAAATCGGCAATATTTGATGTGGACACAAATTTATAATGGGCGATTTCAGAGACGGTCCAACATTGTGGAACGTAAGGGGTGCTTTACTTATAGTCCAGTCCTCCATGTCATTGAGGAATTTCGTTAAATCTATCTCTCCTGATTCCGAAACATTGAAATGTCGCAGAAGAGAATTGTTAAAACACGTATCTAAGGCTGATTGGTGCAACACCATACCAATACCTTTGCCAGCACCTTCAGGAATAGGGAACACTCGGAGACTAACAATGTTTAGATCTACTGGAAGATCATATCGAAGCGGTGAGAAATGCGCGTGTAGATCGAACGGCAGAGAGTTGCGAGGATGCAGCGCTATAACTGGATGTAGTAATTCTTCCAAAGTTAAATGGCTGCTTAAAGACAACAGCCCTGCAGGATGATTTGCTGATGGTACAGTAGAAGGACAATTTGTTTCCCTCTTTTCTAGAATTAAAGTGAATATGTGATTTGTCAATAAATTGTCCATTATGCCTTGCCCTAATCCTCGATTGTCATCCTGAAGTAACCTTCTATCTTGCATAATCTATGAAAATCACACAAATATGGCATATTATATATATAATATTAAGACATTTTCTAAATACACATTTTTTTATACATGTAATTGCATACATTACTTTGTTATAGTTTTATTTTTAAGCTTATTATTATATTTTTTGTAAATATATGCGTCAAGTTTTTGATAAGATAAAATCTATTTAATTTACCTCAAGTTGACCAGATGCCATAGAGGCTACACCTAATGGCTGTGCTGTGGTGACTGTTAATCTAACTCTTTTATCTTCTATATATGCACTTGCTGCCATTGGATAGTAATTGCCTTGTGTGGGAAGCTTAGGAAATCTTTGTCGTCGGATCATCTAAATTTAAAAAAAAGAAAAAATATATATATATATTATTTAATAGGAAAAGTGACTTTCGCAAATTTCGTCAAAAATTAAATCTAATTTTTTAAAATTACTATATCTTGAATTATCTTACATTGAGTCCATTTAAATCCGTGAAAAATTGATCGCCGGATGCGATATCCGTATTGAAACGCATTGCAAGTTCGTAATTTTGCGTTTCCGTTATATCAACTTCGTTGAGTATGTGCAATCCGAGTCCGTCACTGCCAGGAGAATTGAACAATGTACAAGTATGTCGCACATGCGGCAATTCTATGAAGACTCTTGATAAAATTGGTCCAGTTACTAAATGAACGATCGTCCTGCTATCTATAAATACTGGATCTGGTTCCTGTTTGTCGGGCAGGAATAAATAAGCACCACTTTTATCTTTGCCAGAGCCTCTAGTACCGTATTTTACAAAATCCAAATGCACAGGAAATGTAACGTTGCCGACTCGCAAAGCTTTCAACAGACCAGATTTCCCGAAAGAGGCGGACAATTCTGGCCGTTGAGTGATGGAGAATTCTTGCATATGCGGCAAAATTGTCAGATGATCTAAACCAGGCACCGATGGAAGATTAATGTCAGTATTAAAGATAGTGACATTAGCTGGATACACTTCTCTATTTTAAAGAAAAGCATAGAATGTATTAAATTTCTAATATATGCATTATTTTATAAGGTGATCCAAAATAAGAAAGAAAAGTATACAGAAAATTAGTATGACGCAATAATGGTCTACATTATTGTATACATTTTTTTGAATCACCTTTTTATACATAAACATTTTATCACATTTACTTTGCATACGATGCCTTGTGTAGCACGTGAACTATGTACGTAGTGATACCAAATCCTGGTACAGTAACTAAAAATGATAACTCGTATCTGGCTGCAGATAATGCAGCCGAACCAATCCAAATGGGAGATATTTGACACTTGACAATTTGACCTCTTCGATCTGTAACTCTGACAAATGGTGTTGATACTATCAAAGTTTGCACTCTCGTTCTCTGTCTTGGGAGAGAATTGTACAGGATAATCTTTCTCGAAGGATTATCGTCACCAAGATTAAGAACGTGCTTCTCACCTGCACTTGTGTGATGTGACCTTCGAAAGATAATTATACATTATATTTTTCGCCGCATATGTGAAATGTTATCACTTGTAGATTATTCTCGTACCTAGTTTCGTCTAACGAAAAGTACACAGCTTCCACATCTATAGGCGATACTTGCGGAGTTTTCAATAAATGTGCTATAGATTGTTGAAGTACATGAGCCGAGTTATTCAACGCCGTTATCATTTTTTGAGCATAATCTATTACAACATTGTCTCTGGAAGTTCCAGTGATTCCATCATGATGTTGAAACAAAGAATGCCACATTCTAGCCTTGCTCAAACGAGATGCGAGAGTCCCTTCTACTAACTGATCATTACCTTTGGCCCAAACTATAGCAGCTAATGCTTCTGATCCTCTTAGAGCACCTAGCAATACACGATCCAGTCGTTTGTGGAAAGGCCTATACATAAAGATTATAATAGATTAATGTTTAAACTTATCATCATCGAAAGATTTAAGATTAAAAATTTTTCTACCTAGAAGTATAGTAGCCGCTCCAATAATGATCATCTCTATCAGAATACGTAAAGAAATCGCCGGACAGAGTCGGAAATTCGTTTAAAGTGCGTTTCTCTCTGACTGCCTCAAAATAATCGCTCAAAGTTCCAAATTGTATTTGGACGTTCAAATGTTGATGTTCATTCATGTAATCGAAAAGTTTTTGATAATTGTCATACTGAGCTTCCCACTCGGCGGTATGTGTATATCTGAAATCATCGCCTAAAGGTGCAAGAACCACTTGAGTCTTGAAAAGCTGCGCCTTTTTACGGTACTGATCTAGCAAAAGCGTCGCTCTCTCTGCTACATTTGCTTTAGTAATAGTCTTTGGAGGGATCTTCCATGGACAGCTAAGACCAAAGTTTTGCATTCTGTAAAAATCAAATTGACAGCATATTTTCGGGTCTGGTCCGCATGTATGAGGAATATCATAACTGTAAAACGGCATAACGTGACTAAACAATTCTGTGGAGCCATCGTTATCCCATAATTGTCTCCAGCGAAATTCTAAATTCTTATCCCTAGCCAGTTTCTTCTTGACTGAGTAATGTACTCTTTGTATCAAGAGATTTTCTAAGCCTGAATTCTTTAAGAGATATGGCATAGTGGGAGAGAGGCCAAAGGGATCAATGGCCCATCCCGAGTTTGGCGTATAATCTAGATTATATTTTAGCCACTGATGACCCTCGGTTAGTTGTGTGAGTTGAGCAATCCAATGTGATACGGATTCATCGGGCATTACCCATCCTCCTGATACAATTTCCAATTGTCCATCATGTACCAAGCGACGCACTTCATCCCTTATTACCTTGGATTGGTCGTCCCACCAGAGTTTAAAAAATGATATTTCCGCCCAAATAAACTTGCGCCTCTTATCCTCACTTAACTTAGTCACCATATTATTTAATATGCTTCTTGTTTGAAATATATAGTACTTTTCAAAAGTGTTTAACCATCCAGGATCGTTATGCGAATGCGGCACAACAAATACCTTTAATTTTCTGTTAGGATGCCATTGTTTTTCATCATATATGATATTCCAGCCTTGCTTCCAGACCCCACCATCTGGATTGTCAAACTCTAATTGCTTGTACAATTCCAACATTTGTATATCAACTTCTGGAACTTTCTGAATATTAAAATTACACATGAGACTTTTTCCTGCATGTAGTATTGTAGCATTGGAATAATTTGAGTGAGCAACTGTTTGTATGTTTGGTATAAAATTATGTTTAATTTTCGCCGCTTGTTCTTGCAAAGCGTTCATAACTTTATGATGCTTATCAAAATCCTTTTCTAATTTTGCGAGTCTGTTTTCAAAATGAAGCCATTGATTCTAAAAGAATCATATTATATAATTTTATATAATTTTATAATTTACAATAAATCTTATATACACTTGAATATTAATGTGTTGTAAGCAGTACTGTTATAACTTACATCATTTATGGAAAGCTTGGAATCTTGCCCAGGTGGAAAGAGAGTTAAATCCATCATTAAATAGATCATCACGCAACAAGCAAGGATCAAGCCCACTCCGAGAATGGCGATGGTCCTTCTGGTTCTCATTGTCATAAATCCTTTTTCTGCATTAAGTTTGACGTTTCAGTTAAATATTTGCAACTTTTTTTTTAATCGCAATATAGCGTAATAACGTAAATCATGAATCATCAGTTTATCAGTTTACACTCATTATAGTTGCTAATCCAAATGTTGAAATAAAAACAAACTTGTGTATCTAATTTTCTAATCTACTTCTTCTACTGTTATAAAGAACTACATGTCAGAAATCAATTTTAAAATATAAATTTTCAAGGAATAAAAAACTCAATGTCTTCTTCCCTTTTTTTTTTTTTTTTTTTTTTTAGGGGTGTTTAACGTGCCATCAACCGATCTTTAATAACGGTTTTTCAGTGTGTTCCTCGAATTTGAGATAGGTTTGTGAATTTCATAAACTTATTTTGAGTTTAAAAAAATTATGTGCAGTTTTTGACGATTATTTTACTGTATTAGTTTTGTATTATCAGTATATATATATGTATATTTAATTGCTTTTATTTTTTAATTATTGGACCATTTTCGATTGGTTAGGAACTTGCTAAACACTGTGGATCTCGGCAGCAATTTAAAAATGTGATGCACAACTGTCAGAAACAAATGGTCACAATCTAAGCTTTGACAGCCGCTGTCAACTGTTAACAGTGTGTTCTCAAAGAAACTTTATCTAGCGCATGCGCATAAAGGTGCAACAAATATGCACCAAAATTCCTGAATATTTTTATTGCAAAAAAAATTTGCAATTATTTAATATATATTTTGAAGCATATTTTTTTTATTTTTACAGCATTTTCAAATTGTTTCTAAAAATAAAAGACCTAAAGTGTCCATTTTTCTTACGAATTTAATACTTCAATGATACGATGTTCATTGCGCATGTGCAAAAAAGCGTCTCTGAAAATAATATGCTTTAATGCTTCTCGTCTATGTATTTTATAGTCTACTATCTGTAAATTGGCGGCAATTACACGTGATTCGTTCATTAGATTCACTACATATGAGTACATATGAGTTATCATAGGGTGCTTTCCATTTAGCGACACAAGTCGACACAAGTGTCATTCTATCTTTGTTTATTGTTATTCATTGAAAAAAGATAGAATGACGCTTGTGTCGACTTGTGTCGTAAATGGAAAGCACCATAGGTACGAAGACAAACAATCAGGGTTACTGATAGAAGTCTACTAAATATATTGTGATTCAACTGAAGAAGAAGAAGAATCAGATAATAAATCACGTATGATACCAAATATAATATAAACGATAAAAGAGATAAAAGTACATAAATTCAAAAATTTCATAAATTCATAAGTTTCATAAATTCAACATACTTGCATGCCTAAGGAAATGTGTATGAATACTATTTTTTTTTACATTTATAATCTTTTTTAACTTGATATTTTTTTACTACTAATATTTAATACTATAATTAATACTATAATACTATTACTATAATACTATAATACTATTACTATAATATTATAATACTATAATATATATTACTATAATACTATAATAATACTATAATTAATACTATATAATATTTTTTTATTAAAAAGAAATTTTGAATTTTGAACACCGCACGAAGGGAACGTGCGTGTTACTGCGTACAGGGTCGGAATCAACCCCCCGTCTTCGCGACGTGAACAACTGCCGGACGTCAAAAACGGGAGCGTCCCGTTTGACTAAGGCACTAAATATATGAGTATTCTATACTCCGCCATTTTTAATCCATCCCCCCACCCATTCATAATCTCACTAACCTATCTACTATAATCTCAGCTTAGCGACGAGGCGAGTGACACGAGAAACAAGGAGGGGGAATGGATTAAAAATGGCGGAGTATAGAATACCTGTATATTTAGTGCTCTAGTTTGACCACGTTGCGATTGACCACAGCCAATTATATCGACCTGTGCCTAGGGTAACCAGCAACGATTAACCAATCAGAAAGTCCTATTTTGAATTGGCCAATTGGCGACGTGGTCAATCGGATGCCACTCTCAAAAACAACTGCCGGCCGTGATTCTCAATTGCCGGTCGTGATCGTCAACCTCGCGCGCAGCGCCGCAACGAATCACATTGCGCTACGTCACATAACGTAGCGCACTCGCGCCATAACATGGCGACGGAGTACGCTAGCGCCAAAACATGGCGGTGGTCTCACACTATGGATAAGACAATAAATAGTACTGTAAGCACGAATATATATATAAATCTTTTATTATTATCTTATTATAATTTCATTTAAAAAGCAATGTCATAAATTATTTGAAATTATATTGTTTTTATTGTTTTATAGACTAATAGCTATCAATCTTTGATAGATTCTGAATCTGATGAAGAGAAAGAAGAAACACAAAATTATGTTATTCCAAATGAAAAATTTGATATATCTGAGAGTAAAAATACGAAAAAAGAATATGTTAAAAAAAGAAAGGTTTACATATTTTTATTCTTTAATCTAAGTTAAATCGAAAATTCTAATAAGCTATATTATAATATTCAATATGAAACAAGATCTTTTAAATTAATGATTAAAATTTTTGATTTTGTATAAAATAGGGTTCTATCAGAGCTTCTAAAAATGAGGCAATGCGTCAGATACACAGTGAAACCCAACGTTTATTGAGAGAAACAGGAATTTCTCTGCCATATCATAGACCAAAACAGCGAACATTACAGGAATTCTTGAATAGAAAAAAAATATTAACATCTCTTCCAAAAGCACCTTCAACAGCTGCAAAATTAAAAATGTCATCTGTAATAGTAAGGTAAGCTTTCATATATACAGGATGTTCTAAAAGACGACATATCTTCAGAAATTTTTCGCAACTTTTTTTCTTTTTTAATAAAGATGTTGAAGCATCAATAATTATTAAATTGCGATAAAAAATTTGTAAAAAAAGATTTTTTACAAATTATATATTGTGGAATTAGAAGAATTTAGCAAAACGATATTTTTTAATTAATTCGGAGTATAAATTAATAGATATTTAAAATTTGATTATAATGATATATGATGAAAAAATTGAAAACAGTTCTTACAACTTATACTGTTCTTTTTTTAAGTATAAAATTTATACTTATATAAAACAATTTAATTATCAAATTGCTTTAAATAATTTTTGCATTATGCATGTATGCTAATAAATAAATCGAATAAAATTGAGATTTTTTTGTTTCAAAATAGCTTAATTTTTTCAATTCTATTTATTTTTTCCAAAAAATAGCCCAATTATTACATTATCTAATTGTCATCCTATATATATAATATACATACACACATTATATTTATATAAATTTTACAAAATAGGATTTCAAATACAAAATAATATTTGAATATAATTTTAAACAGCCGAGTCGTTGCAGAAAAAGAAAAAGAAGCAGAACTCTTTTACAAATCTTCAGATTCAGAAGATGATACACAACAATCTATATCTTTTGCTGCCAAAGACAGAGTAGAATCTTCCACTACATATAAAAAAATACCATTGATAGATGTCAATGACACATGTATACAAAATTTTAAAGAAACTGATACGAGCAACCAAGTTATACATAATAAAGAAAAGGTTATACAAGATTCCACACATCTTGATACTATAGTATCTGAAAAAGACTTTAACAAAGTAGATTATCAAAATAGAGAGTCATCTCTCTTAAATGAGAATAACAATAATCATGATGATGGATCTAATATATCATCACAACAAATAGATAAGCAAGACCTTAAAAAATTAGGTGTATCAAGAAAATTATTTGATACATGTTTTGAAAGTAGAACAAATAATTCTAATATAAGTCTCAGTAAACAAGAGACAGAAGTTGAAAAAATAGTTGAAAATATTATTGCTTCCTTAGAAAAGGAAAAATGTGATAAGACGAAATCAGAAATTAATATGAAAGAAAATCACATATCAGAAATACCACAAGTACATCAATGTGAGTCTGAAGCAATTAATATAGATGGAGATAAAAATTTGACTGTAGAAAAAATAAAAGTATCAGAAAATAGTAATATAAATAATAAAGATATAGTTGAAACTATTCAAAGGAATAGTTGTGTGACAGATAATATTGTTACATCTATAAATTCTGATAATTTTATTACAATACAAGATGAAAACGATGAAGAAAAGGATAAGTCTGATAAAATAGACGTATCATCATCTACTATTTTAATTAATGACATTCTGTCAAAAACTAAAAATAATTCTTTAGCAGAAGAATTTAAAGACTCTGATAGTCATGCACTTGGTTTGCCATTTTCAAAGTTTGTAGATGAGACTTTAAATAATAAAAAAAAATTACCAAAATTGGTACCAAATTCTACAGTTACATTAAAAGGATCACCAGGTATGATTATTGATTTGACAAATAATGCAAAATCATATGAAAAAGGTGTAAATACTTTATTAGATAGATTTTTCTGTAAACATGTTATTAATGTAAAAAAGCAAGTTAATGATAAATCTCAGGAAACTGTAATACACTTGCAAAATACTCCAAACGATTCTCTTTCAATTAAGGAATTACTTCCGTATAAATTATCCACTAATACTGATAATTCTGAATTGAATAAACCTGGAGCCAAGTTTATGCGTTTAAAAGAAGATTTAAAATTACAAATGACTATAAAACGTAATGAAGAATGGAAGCACAAAGAAATAGAATTACGAGAAAAGGAAGAAAAAGAAAAAGAAGAATGGGATGAGGAGGAAGAGAGTGATTATAATTCATATGAACAGGAGAAAATTCATAATCTTGAATCAAGTGATAGTGAAGAAAGCGAACCCGAGGAGAATGATATTTGTATAAAGGACAAAAAAAGGAGTAAATGTTTGTTTGCAGACGACGAAGCTGAAGTTACAGATAATGAAGATTCAAGTACAGATATGGAGGAGACATATAGCAAGAATGATATGGCCCAAGCAAAGTGTAACAAACAATCTTCAAATTTTAAATGTAGAGAAGAATATATGGATGATAGTGAAAGCGAGATAGAGACTAATCAGGAAGAAGAAGAGGAAGAAAATGTGATAGATTCAGACACAAATATAGAGAATAAAAGTGAATCTGATTCTAAAGATGATGATAATGTTAATGTTTGTGATAACTTTAGTATTGTCCAGAATAAAAAAGATGGAAAAACGAAGCAATTTATAGAAGAGTTTCAAGATGATTTAAACATTGCAAATTCGACCTATCCGAAAAATGATAATAATCATTTAAAATACGTTTCGATAGATGTCAATACGTCTGAGACACAGTACGAAGATAACGGTGTGAAAAACAAAAACAATATGCCTGTTAATCAACAAGAAGTTACTACTAGAAACCAAATAAATAAGACACCTTCGATGAAGACAAGTATACTCGACTTTGTTTCTCCTATAACACAATTAAGTGTATTAAATACTTCTTTAGATAAGAAAGATATAGAAAATAAACAATATCTCATTGATAGAGATCAGAAATCCGTTTTTATGGAAAATACGCAAAGCGACGAGTCTTCTGAATGTGCATATAACAGTAGAAATAAAAATATTTTAAAGAAAAAATTATTTGACGATATTAAAGAAACTATTGATGATGAATATCTTATGCGATTGTGTTCGGGTAAATTTGAGTCCACGCAACAAGCTGATTTAGATTTATTCTCACAAGCCACTAATAATAAATCGCGATTATGTTCCGAAAATTCCAACACGAAACTGATCAATACTAACCAGTTAGAAAGTCTCGAAGTAGAAGATGAAAACTCTCAAGATGTAGAACTGATATTAGATGAGGATTCTAATAATTCTGTAAATCACGTGAAAAACATGAAACAGGTTGGTGAAGTGACTTCGGGATTAAAAATGAAGATTGTTTCTTCAGACGATGATGATGAATTGGAAATGGACACGTTTTTGAAACCCAGAAAACATTCGGTGAAAAGATTGCATTTATCTGATTCGGAGGAAGAAAGTGTTCAACCGTCCGATGAAGAGAATGATGTGGACGAAGAGACAGAAGAGCAATATATAGATTACGATTCCGAAGAAAACGAAGTTGTATCGAAAAAAGAAAGCAATATAAAACAAGTTGCAGCTGACTTTTTGGAAGAAGAGGCCGAATTGAGTGAAAGTGATTGGGATTCCGCTGATGAGGACGAAAAGGACTTGGATAAGTATGAATACGAAGAAGCTGATAACGAACATATAGACGAACGTAAAATGAGAAACCAATTGGAGAAAACATATATGAAACAGATGCTAGATGAAGATAAAAGAGAAGTTAAATTGCTTCAAGAATTATTGTTTGAGGATGGAGATTTGCACACCAGTGGAATGGGTCGCGAGCGCAAATTCAAGTGGAGAAATATAGGTATAAGAATATATAATTGATTTTCTATTTAATAGATAATTATTAAAATTTTCTATTTAGATAGAATAAAAAATAATTATTGCAATTTTGTTTTTATATAACACGATGATTGTTAGAAAAAACTTTGTTCTATAAAAATATTCTATAAAATTCAAATTTCCAAAAGTTGATATTTAATATTTTATTATTTATAATAATATTAATATAATCATTATTATATCAGATAAATTAGGAAGTAATACTGAAATGTCACGAGCAACTGACGATATCGATGGCTGGATAGATGTACAAGAAGATGAAGACGAGGCAAAATGGAGTAAACTCAGGCAAGAAAGAGACAAGTTTCTTGAAGAAAGAATGGTAAATATACATACATATTACATATATCGTTTTATATATATATATATATATATATATATATATATATATATATATAAAACGATCAAATGGAAAATATATATATTTATATAAATATGTCTTATATATTTACAGAAATGTTCAAATAATGAAATTGAAGATGAGTTATGCAATAGTCAAATTTTTAAATTTGGATTGGAAGCACTTAAGAAGATTAAGAATGATGAATCTCAAGAACTAAATGTTTCTCATAACCAAGTAGATTCATCTGAAAACATGGAACCAATTATGCCGCGAAATATAACAGATCTACTGAATGGACCAAATACTGGAAAGAAATCCCAGACAATATATGTAAGATTATTAATTATAAATTAAGATAAGATTTTTAATTAATATTATATATGCTATATTTTATGTCTTGATAACAAATTTTTTTATATGTTGTTTTTACATATGGTTATTATATATTTTACAGAATGTTATAAAAAAACGTTCGCTCTTAACTCGAGGAGAAGAGTCGTTAGCAAAGATAGCATCATTAGCAAAACAAAGTGACTCTGTTTCTCATGCAATAAATGCAAGAAATTTTGTCTTCCAGTATGTTAACTTAAATAATACAACTGAAAAGGACAATAAAACTAGAGAAGAAGATCAGGACTCACAAGCTAAGGTAACTTAATTATATTAAATCTTTTTTAGATGCTATCATATATACTTGATTATCTGATGATTGCTTCCACATAGAAAGAAATGTATATTTTGATAAATATTTTTTTTTGTAGCTTCGGAAGAGAAAAATAACGTCAAATTTTTCATTGACAACAAAAAAGAGACGAAAATAAAAATGTTCTTTTTGAAGAAAAATATTTTATTTTTATAGAAGTATAGCGCTTAATGTAAATTTTAAATTATTATAAATGAATTATGAACTTATTTTTGTTAAACTACATATATCTGAAAATTTATTACATGACAATAACAAAATAAGAATAATCATGTCTTCTTATAATAAAATAAGAATAAAATAAAATAAGAATAATCATGTCTTCTTTATATATATATATATATATATATATATATATATATATATATATATGTATATATGTACATAAATAGTAAATATATACAAATGTGAATATTTATGATATAACAAAGAATATTTTATTTTTATAAAAGGTTTGTTTCTTCGTGTTTATTTTGAAATTATCCGTTTTTTCTTAAATAGTATTCTTTATATACATTCTTAAGCTTGTTGCAATCACAATTAGCATGTGATAGTTTTGATAATTAAAAACATAAGAATATGACAAGAAATATTGAAGCAAGGAAGGAAAACGAAATATCTTTTCCTTCAGACTTCATTCCTCTTTTTTGATTATTACGAAATTTATTTTATTTATATTATGTTTCTCTAGTGTGAAAAAATATAACTATACTTGTGGCACTATAAAAAATGTGACACTTTAAAAAATATATAAAACATTAACATATTACTGACTGGCACATTCTAGTACGAAGTCTATTAATAGGTCTTTTGATTAGTAAAGTGTTTAATGCGATTATATTTAACATTTTCAAAAAAATATCACGGCTTATTTTATTATTTTCGCACATTTCATCCTATTATTCATTTTTTCTTAACAATATCGTTTCAATTTCGGAAATTCGGATTATCCGTTTGCCAACCTTTTGCATTTGGGCCAAATTGATATACCAATCTTCGACCGAGCACCGGTAGGAATATCTTGCTTTTGTAATAGTATCTATAAGAATAACCGCTCGAATAATTAAAACTTGTTAAATTAAATTTTAGCACATATCCATGCACACGAAATTATCCCATTACCTCATAGCTCTACTAAGTTTTTCATAAGTCATTTTTGTATTTCCTTTTCGTGAACCCCATCGTTTTGCTACCTCGTCGCTTTTTACAAAGCGAAATTTCGCTTGTGAGTAATCCTCCCAACAGATTAAACTAGGACACGTTTCTCTATTACGTAGTAAATCTCTAATAAATTCCCATAATTTTCCTTGACTGGCAGCTATGTAAAAATGTAATTAAATCCATATAATACACATGCATTTTCGAATTATATCGAAAAATATTTTCCAACACTTACGATTCTTTTTGGTCTTTAATACCCTCGGTCTGCCAGGCAGTCTTTTCGTTGTGACTTCGACGCTATTATCCGATTCTGCATCTGAAAAAAGGCAAAAAGTGTTTCAAAGGAACAGTGTGAAAATCGCATAAATATAAATTGGTACAATCGGAATTTTTTTAAATAATTTACCAGATATGTTGTTTGGAATAACTGATGCGTACTCATCCTGCGGTTGAATAGTATCGTATGATGGCACTATTAAACAAATTCATATTTTAAGTTTATCATATTATTCAATTTATATATTATTCGATATTTGTTTTTCGCGTTATTGTATCTACTAGATGTATAAATATTATTTAAATAGACTTTACTCCGAAGTTTTCAATCATGAAGCATAATTATTAAAATATAAATTCATCAAAGAAACTATCGTTTAATGAAATTCATAGTTCTTTGAAATTTATATATAAGCATATTCTTAGAAGCATATTCACGTACGTACGCAGATTCGATACGCGTTGTGAATGAAGAAGATCGTACAATCGGTCCCCGTATATCGGATCGTAATTGATGAAATCTTGTCGACCAAAAGTCACGAGTTCCTTCCCTGACACAGCAAGACTATGTTGGATAGAACTGTATGGTTGACCTATATATGATGCAGCTGACATAAGCCAATTTATTGTTTCTTCTTGACACCAGTTTTTGATGGGTTTATCTGACCATCCAGTACCATCGATCTCCTTGCATTCCTCGTCACCTATTCGATTAGGTATTTTTAAAATTACATCTGTATATCTGAAATCTGTATATCTGAACATCGTTGTCGCGTGCGTTGTTTTAGAGATCGAACGATTAAATGCTAAAGTTAAATGCGGATTTTCCATAAATTGATGCAATACGTCAATGTTAAACAGTCCCTGGAAATCCCCTCCAACAACTATCATTGCATTGGTAATTGCAGACCCGTAATAAGAAATCGTCGCGAAAAAGCCGTCGTAGACGCTCGTGCGAATAAGGAAAAATAAAAAATATGTTAGTATTATTACTTTTTACAATAATACGATTTTACGTTGTTTGTTACGAAATTTTTTCGGGTTTTGTAGCGAAGTTAGGAAAACGCGTAACGAATATTCGAACAAATCTCAAGATTAACACCTTTTCTAATTATTTAATTAAAATAAAAAAGGATCATTGGAAATAATATAATCGACCAAAACTAGCCAGAATTTTTGTTTATTAATTATGACGTTTTGATCATATGTGTGTGCAGTTTACAATACTATGATGATTTATATCTATCTTTTGATCTTATATACTTGAAAAACTACAATCATATGGTCGAAACGTCGTAATTAATAAACAAAAATTCTGACTAGTTTTGGTCGATTACATTATTTCCAATAATCTTTTGATTAATTGACTAGCGATAAGATAATTTATTAATTAAAATAAAAAATTAAAATAAAAAATTATGTGCATTACCGAGGAAACATTTCTTCTTAATTGGTTCACAACCGCGGTTCGCTAAGAAATTACTTCGCCTAGGAACCAAAGAATCCATGTCCAGGAGTAGATGATTGTTCTCATCTTCGTTTAAATTCATATATCCGCAATACATCTGCAATCAAATTTCAGGAATATTATATATCGGATAAGAGAGAAATGGAAGAAAATTATAACTCAAAAGCAATTTTTATACATAATATTTATACATAATATTTATATATAATATATATAACTGATGACAAATTCTTAGATAATTTTGCAATACAAATTATTAAATATTAAATATATTTATTAAATATAAATAATCTAAATTAAGTTATTAGGGCGTCTAGCAGAATCAGAAAAAAATTCCCTGACTTTTAAAGATTTTCCAGAACCAAGAATAATTTTTCCCTAATTGATTTTTCAGTATTACTTTTTTCAAAATGCATAATTTGCATATATCGCTATATTAAGAGTCAATTAAATGAGTTGAATCAAAAGTCTTTGAATTATTTTTATCGAGAAACAAATAAAACTTAAATAAGGTATTACCAAATATAAAAAAAAATACGATTTTTATTTATTGATAAACTGAAAATATAAATTATCGAACACGCTCATAAATAAACCGATTTTCAGCAAAAACAGAAAATTAGTCTACACTTGTTTTACAAAAAAAATGTCAAACTAATGAGAAAAAAATGTGAAAAAATTCAGATAAATTATTAAAATCCCTGATTTTTCCTTGACTGCTAGACATCTTGGTTATAAATAACATAAATAATATATTTATAAATAATATACTATACATAATATTATTATAGTTATTAATAATAAATATAATATATTTATTAATAAAATATAAATAATATAAATTTCGGGAATTTTTTATGTCATGAATCACATAAAAAATGAATACTATATTCTTTGTGATATAAGTTAATTAAATTTTCGCACAATTTCTTTGCAACTTATGAAAAATTCATAACTAAAAATTATAATTTTTATATATATTCTTATAAATCAAAGAACAAAACAGATATATAATGGTTATTGTAACAATGTAAATAATGTTACCATGTGAATAAAAATTTGTGTAAACTTTACAAATCTCAAGAAATGCTTTATAAAAATATGTGTAATATTCATTATGTGTTTTTTTTTGTATGGAATAACTTGAAAATGATTAGTATTCCATATAGAAACATTGGAGTAAATAAGATATCGCTTTCTTCATTTATTTCCCACACAGCACAGAACATTGCAATAATATTGCGGCAATATTGCAATGTTGCTGCAATATTAATAATAACAACAATATTAATAATATTGCTGCAATATTCTGTGCTATATGATAAGAATTAGAAAGCGATAATGAAAAAACTCCTCTTATTCTTTGTCTGTTATTTAAAATTTATCAAAAATTAAAAATCAAAAAAAGAAGTTTACTCGAAATTTATAAATTCTATGTAACTTAAAATGAAAGAGAGATAAAGGAGAGAAAGAGGGAGAGAGAGAGAGAGAGAACAGATCTATTTTTTTGCCAACTTTCGACTCATATTTCGTAATAAAAAATACATCGATAATTATTGAGAATTTCTTAATTTACTCTTAATTTTAGTTAACGAAAATATTCGCAAATAAAATACAGAGTGTGAAAAAAAGATGCGAAACTCGAAGTTTAATTAACGATAAAACTCAATAAAGAAGCAAAACATTTGCTAAAATTGTAATCGCTTTAATTTGATTTTTAATGTTATACAAATATCTATCTTGTACAATTTATTATAGTTAATTTTGCAAATGAACGATAAGAGTGTCTAATAAATTTATATTAAATTGTAAATAATTTATATTAAATTTATATTAAATAATATTAAATTGAGTTTAAAATTTAATTTGAACAAAAATTCGAAAATTTCGAGAAATGTCGAAAAAAAATCACGATAAAAGAGACCGAACAATCTCACAAACATATATCAACACATACATATATTAACATCTGTCAGTTGCGTCAAAGTTTCATTTACCTCATTCAGATCATTCCTGCCGTAATTATTAAATGAATCCATTTTTATTTAATGATATCGGCACTTTCACCTGGATTTTAACATATAACAATGCGTCCTAAAAGACCGGGAAAAAATGTAACACACATTAATCGCACTCGTTACATTTATATATGTGGCAATGATAAAATCCGTATTTACAAAAAATATATCAAATACGAAAATTATAAATTTGATATCAAATGCGATAATTCATTCTGTTCCTTTTGGAGAAGGAAATTACAAGATTAAGATCGACGAGATGACGTGACGTTTCGCGCGAGCAACATCAAATGTACATCGTCGAACATCTCTCGAGCGACTAAGTATACGAGGTCTATGCATTGGAAAAGATAAGAATGCAGCGTGAGACAATCGCGGTGCAGAGCAGGTTTCAACAGGGATTTCCCGCTCAGCAGCCGCGGCCAATCACCACCGTTCGCGCGTCGAACCGCGATAGCTGATGCAACAATTGTTACAATTCATTGGCGTCGATCTATATTTTAAATAAACCACATTACTTTAATATATTATCGGAAAAAATTTTGAACATTGATTTTTCGATAACTAGCAACTTCACTATCTCATCTTTATTAGTATTATGTTTATTTTCATTTCGAAATAAAAGTTACTTTAAACTAAGCGATAGATTAACAAATAATAATTTTGAACAGATTTTTGTTAATGAATTAATTTTTGATTTAATTGAAAAATTTCAATATCTTTAAATTAATTTTGTTTACAAAAGATCTGAGAAACTTGAAAGCAAAAAAGTCAATTAATGAGATATAACTTTTCAATAATTGATATAATTTTATTTATTAATATTAATAATGATAAAATAATTATAAATTAATATATAATAATTTCATATCATTAATATTCTTCATTAATATTTTTTTTTTCGAAGTTACTTCAAATTAAATTTGTCCATAAATTGACAAATAATAATTTTGAGTAATTTTTTGTGACAACTTATTCGGCGATTATTAATCGATTAATTAAAATATTTCAATCTTTTCGAAATAAAGTAAATACTTTTTGCTTATAAGAGCAAAAAATTTAAAAAACTTGAAAAGTAAAGATTCCAATTAATGAACTACCGCACTTGACATACGTATGCGTTTATTAATTAAATTATAATATCATATTAATCCCAGAGGTTTCGATTCCCGGATTTGAGATCTCCGTAATTTTATAATTTTAATTAACAGTAGTTTTCGATGTTTTATATTACGTTTTTTTCCACACTAGGATAGGATTCCAAATCCAGGGATTTCGAAAGGAGAGTTCGTATAATATTATAATTTAATTAATAAACGTACACTGTCAATTAGGGAGCTTATTAATTGGTTTTTTTGCTTTTTAAATTTAAAAAATTTTTCAATATTTTTATCATATTGCGTTGAAAAAACAGTTTCGAAAGTAAAAATTGATATTATAATCACATACTTGTGTTTTGCGGTAAGACGCCTATGTCTGGATTTATTTATAGTATCTCATGATGCACACCGTAGATATGTATACGTCGGTATAGCCGCAATCTTCCTTCGTCATATTTTTTTTTTCGTCGCATTATTGATTTATGATTTTTACAGTAAAACGTGTGCGCGTTTCATAATTTACAAAAAATTATTTTTACAGAAATATGTAATGTAAAAGTATGCAATAAAATCATATAGCCATTTTTACACCTATTTTCTGCAATCATTTATAACATTACGATGTAACGAATATTTCACAATAATTTTATACGTTTCTTGCAATGTTAAAAAGTCTACATCTATTCTTACAAATCCCTTATTGTACTTATTATAAATCAATTTAGCAAGATTATATATGTAATATATATAATGTAATTATCCATAATAAGAAATCTTTAATATATTTAATTGAAATAAAAATTTTATCAATTATAAATTATGATTAAATCGGAAAAATCCAACAATTTAAATAATTAATCAGTTTACAAAAAAATCATTTGAGAGGAAGAAACAGAAGAGGAGAGAGGGAATCATGTCTATGATGGATAATTACGTCTGTAGCTGGTACGAATTCTAAATAGATGTTGGTGGTCACGCGCAGACGTAAGCATTATGAATCATTTTAAAGTATATTTCATAACTCGCCAGGGGAAAGGCCTGGGGCTTCGCTTCTAAGAACGTGGACATCCTTGTGACGAGATATTTAGCTCATTATCAGTGCTCGTTGAATAATGCAAATATAGAAATAAGAAAAGTGTACAAAAATATTTTTATATAAACAATAATAAAATAAGATACGCATAATCGTTATTACCGAATTGCATAATATTTAGTACATGTTACACTTTGATGATTCATTATCAGTCATTATTTCGTTTTATATTCATCACGTTATCATAATTGTTTTCACACAATTATAATTGAAATCAAGGAATATTAATTAATACATACGAATACATAATTAATACAAACGAATTGCTATATAATAGATATCTAGAATAGCTCACTATTGTGTCACAATTTCTATTGATAATTCTTATCACCAGAATCGGCGGTTTCTTCTAAGAAAAAGGAACTAACATGATATAATAACAGCGAAATAGCGGTCGCTATATTATCATTTACCTATTGTCTTATATATTTACAATACTGTAGAAAACTTACAAATAGCTATTTACAACATACTAATATGCTATATAATAGTTTGGTAGTTTGGTTTTAAGATTGTAATCACCAGTAGTATCATATCCCAGTATTATATCTGTGCAAAAACCAAATAAATACACTCTTACTTTATAGTATTGGAATCATACAAAAAACAAGAACGGAATATTTACTCTAATGTAGAAAATTCTCTTAAATTATCTATTTCTTATTTTCATCAGAAGCTATCTGTGAAGCCAAGTTTGCAAACTTTGCCATGTAGTCTACACTATTTTCTCCCATAAGACATTGCATATGTGATACAACCTGAAATATTATTATAAAACAACAAATTATAATAAAATATATAAAACAAGATAAAATATTAAACTAATTTAACATAATTTTATACATATTTATATTTACATCAGAGGAAGGACGAATGTCTTCCATGATCTGTTCACCTGCTTGACTTCTTTGTGATCCTTTCATAGGCGATTCAAGTTGTCCTAAAAAGCTGCTCAATGAAAAATCTGCAACCTGCAATTCATTCAATCATTTCCATGACGCTAATTATTCGCACAAAAAATATATTGTTTATATATTGCGATTTTTATAGATTACCTCACTATTTAACCATTGATGTTCACCCTCTTTAAGAATTTGAGTTGCGCTAGTAATAATTGAATTGGAATTCTTCGCATCTGTAGTGGCTTCTAGAGTATCTAAAAAGCTTTTATCTTGAGCTTCGGTTGCATTTACCGCTACTATTTTATCGGTTTGAGTTTGACACAAAGAAGATCCACCGATTTTACTTGCATCAGTTGTTAAACTTTCTGATGGCATATTTGGCGCAGATACAATGGGTAGTACCCTTTGTATAACAAGACTCTTTTGTCTTACTGTTCTACCACGTTTACTAAAGCGTGTCTTAAATTTCTGTAAATATTTGTTTAAAAATTAATTATTCTTTTCAACTCTATGTAAGATTCTAAACATTTAATGTAGGATAATTCACGCGTGCGCATACATAACTTTTGCAATTATACTACTGAATTTAATATAACTTACATCAAGTTGCGTTTTAAATGCATCAGCTGTGCCAATCTTATTATACGTTTGCGGGATAAGAGGTCGTCTAAATGTAGATTCCTTAATAGACGGTACTCGAGACGAGATCACTGTTTCATTACTTCCTGTTGTATTATCATACACCTAAAAGGTATTTAATAATTAAAAATAATAATTAAAAATTGCTGTATTAATATTCCCTGAAAGTAACTCTTTATATATTTTATAGACTGTAAAATTAATAAAATAATTATTATATCTTACTTTGTTTGTACCATAATTATGTTTCGCCAGTGATAATAATTTTTGCAAAACTGAACATAAACTATCATCACGTATGATACTCGATGAATCAGTTGTATATTGCTCATTAGGTAGCCAATCCCACCAATATTCCAGAGTGACTTTTGATTCACGACCAAACTGTTAAAAAATTAGAGAACATATTTCTAAAAATAATATAACTGTACATGCAAATTTTATTATTATTGATAGTTGATAAAATTAAATTTTCAATATATAATAATAAATATAAAATGTTACGTACCATTAAGAAGAGATCACCCACAGTGATTGTATTTGCTTCTTCAATATTCCAACCTTTTCTAATTCTTTCGATAGTTTCCCTACCAGGAAATTTGTTAGATTCTGAATGAGATTCTGCCGATGGTTTTTCTGTATTGTTTATAATTGTTGGTTTTTCAGCTATACTGCTTCCTGTTTCTAATAGGTCCATATCGCTACTGTTATCTGGCAGTGTACAATTTTCATCAGTGCGATTTAAGAGTTTTTTATCCGATTTATATCGTTTAATTCCCTTTTTTCCTACTCCTTTTAAATATTGAACAGACCCTAACAAATCTACTCTCGAGCTCTTGAGACCGAGACGTTTTTCATATGAATTAAAACTGACACTATTACTAGTGAGATACTCTCCAAGATTGACCATTGGTAAAGCAATTTTACATCCTTCTAATGGAGCAATTCGTAATAAACGAATATCTTTAACATCATTAGCAACGAGATTTTCTATAGTGGAACACTATTAAATAATATGTTTAAGGATTCCTATACATGTATATGAATGCATTAGTAAAAAATACACAAGATGTATATTACAAAATAAATAATAATTATATATAAATATAAATATAAAATATATCATAATTGAATAAGGATACTGTAGTATATTTGGCAAGTCGCCATCGTTGCTGCAAAAATATCAATAAACTTGAAAGGCGTCTTTGTATCGGAAGTAGTGTGCGTACTCTTGGATTCATCGATGCTGCTTGTACTTGCCACCATGCCATGTTATTACGCGGTCGCAATTCGATCGTTATTCTAGATGGTAATTTAATCTCTTCCTGCCAATCTAGCATAAAAAATAGGGTTATTATAAAGAGCTCAATATTAATTATTAAATTATTATTTTAATCAGAAAGATTTGTTAATGCTTCTTACAAATAATATAAAAAAATAAATATAAAAATAAATATAGAAATGTAAATATATTTTTAACAATCTTATATTATTAGTTATAATATGATATATGAATTATTTTTCAAATATATTAAAAATGTTTAATATACCTTCTAACTGGTTTAATTTTCTAAGTGCTCTGCATATAGGTGTTTTAATTCTCATAGTTTTCCCTCTAAGTCTGACTTGAGTGGAACCCCAATATATCAATTCATTCAGTCTTAAGTGAATCTTCTCATGAATACGAGGTAATTTCCTCCTTAATTCACCATAATTTATCAATCCATATAATTCTTGAGAAGTCTTCTTAACATCTATGTATGAGAAATAATATATATATATAAAAATTATATATAAAATTATATCACGAATTATTTAACATATATTATGAATATTTTAATAACCTTCTGAGAACTTAAGATGCTTTGATATTTTTAACCATGTTCTGTAATAAAAATGTCGAATTTGCTCCTTATTCTTTATCATGGTATCTGAGAGACCACGCTTTTTGCCTTGATTTAAAAAGTAGCTTTGTAGAGCATCAAAATCTTTGCCATATTCATTGAGTGCTTTAAAAAAAGTGTTTTTATCCTCCATAGACCATAGTTCGCATGAACGTTTAAGGGACCTTACTTTAGCCTCTGTTGCTTCGTCATCTTTTACATCTATGTTGAAAGAAAGGAAGAGATTTTATCATTCAGTAACTTTAATGTTATATACTGATAATTGACATTTGTATTATCTATACATACCTTTTTTCTCAATATTGTTAATATCACTATTATCAATCTTAAGCTTTTTATTACCTCGGACAATGCGAATCTGTGTATTTTTATTATCTACTAAGAATTTTGTATCTGAATAAGTTTGATTTACTTGAGGACATGCAGGAGCTGCATTGCCAAATTCAGTATCCTCAGATTTTGTAGAATCTTCCATTTTAATATTTTTATTACAACTTACAAAGAAGACATTCTTATTAATGCTACATTCATTTAAATTCGATTTTTTGAATGTAGCATTTTAAATTCAACTAATGATCAATATTAGAAAAAAAAAGAACATAAAATACAAATAATACTCAGTTTGAGTCTAATATTCATAGCACTCTCTTGATTCTTGAAGTGGAGATTCTTCTTTATATTCTTCAATTTTCTATAATGTATCACACGTGTATGTTTTCATATAACTTTTTTTCTTTCTTTTTTAATTTAAAGTGTTTTCAACGCACGAGAAAGTTATTCAGTAAATATTCGTTTAGATTTCTTAATGTTTGTTTTCATATTCTTTTCTTTGTGCACTGACATGTAAAATACATAAACGGAGCCGATTCTAATAAAGAGGGAGGGGGTTGCGATAAGAAGTGATGAGGGGGAGGGGGGAAGGAAATTTTGGCCCCGAACATTGTCGCCAACAAGTATAACCAAATCGAACTTATCCGAAAGAAACTGAAAATAGCATTCTAACAATTTCCGCATGCATCAAAATACGTTTATAAAGTAAAAATAATTAGGAGATTATTTTTTTTAGAAAAAGTGAAATTTACAGAAGTGAAGAAATTGTCCACATATATTTAGGGTAGGTTTTCACTTGATGCTCGCTCATTTTTAGCGTCAAAAAACATCACGTGATCAAAAAATGACGAATTGGTATCTTTAGTTCTTTTTCTTTGGTGAAAACCTACCCTAATATATACAATATAGGCAGCATCACAAAGGAAGTGACATTCAATTGGTCGATTGAACAAAGGGCTCCCTGATTGGTCGTCATTCTCCCTAGGTATTGGTCGATATAAGCAATTGCATTCAATTGTGCTGCGTCCATTAGAACGCCTTCTACCATTTTGTTACGATTTTAGTCGTGTCCTGCTTGAACTTTTTTGATCGCACGATTTCGAGGTGTTTGAGAGCTAATTTTGACTCTGATTACAAATATCCCAGGTACGTTTCGCTCGTTTAATAATGTACAAACTCGAATTTGAGAGCAGAAATAGCAGTATCACGATCCTCCACGATAAATTGATCGACTTGGTGATCGTATCCCGAATGTTCGCGTCTCGTGATTGCGAACATTTTTTTGCGAGAATTATTTTTTTCACGGATTTTTCGATCCACTGCAACACAAACGTGGTAATTTTTGCGAGTCGCAACGATTTGACGACCTCGCTTTGAAGTAATTGAATGTGTGGGAGGCACGTGGTTTATCGGACGATCTATCTGCTATTGTTGATTTAGTTTCGTTTTTTATTTCGCTTCTTCAGCAATATTTACAAATATTTATAGATCGAGCCGAAAGAAGCTGGCTTAAGGTTCGGAAATTTTTCCGACGTTATTTCCATGTTTCGTTCTTTTATTATGTCTGTAATCGGCGTATGTTTCTCGTAACACGAGAGCATCATTTCCAAAATGTCGACGAATATAAGCGTGGGACGTTAAACGTTATGGAAACTTGATTACGGAATTAGTATCTTGTATGCACAAGTTATCTTATCTTGATGCTGCAGTGGTTTTCTCTGTTATCGTTACTATTCTATTGTTACGTTAGATAAAATAATAAAAAAATAGTTAATATTTTAATAACTAACAATAAATAGTACAAAATAGCTAATATTTTGCATTTTTGCAGATACTGTTTAGAGTATAAAATTACATTAGAATCATGTCGAGTGGCAGCGGAGATCACGAGGACGAAGGATATGTTGTTAAAATGCGTGGGTTGCCATGGTCCACGACTGTAGATGAAATCATGAAGTTTTTTGGCGACTGTTCCATTTCTAATGGCAAGAATGGTGTTCACATGACTATGTCCCGCGAGGGACGCCCCAGTGGAGAGGCTTATGTAGAAATGGATACTCCAGAAGATATTGAGAAGGCTTGCAAAAGAGACAGGGATCATATGGGCCATCGTTATATTGAAGGTTAATTTTTTATTAATTTTTCATATATAAATTCTTAAAAAAAAATGTATATATTTTTTTAAAGAATTTATATATAATGAAATAAAATTATAAATATAATTATAAATATAATATAAATAATAATTATAAATTAATAATATTATAAATATATTAATAATTATTATAAATATATATGATGGTATGAAATAATTAAATATTCGTGTTAAGACTAAATTATATAAAAATGATAAATTATATTTAAAAGAGTTTTTATTTTTATCTTATTAAGTTATTTTTTAAATATAATTATTATTTTTATATAATTTAGTCTTAACACGAATATTTAATTATTTCTTTTTTTTGCAAATTCTATAATAATTCTACTGTTTCAGTTTTTAAAGCAAAACGCGGGGAGATGGAATGGGTCGTGAAGAGGAGCGGCCTCAACTTGGAAAATGCAATGGATGATGGTTGTGTGAGATTACGTGGTCTGCCGTTTGGTTGTTCAAAGGAAGAAATTGCACAATTCTTCTCAGGTATTTAGCAAATAATAACATATCCAGTGTCGTTTATTAATTGATTAATGAATGTCATCGATATTTTGATTAATTCTTGAGACAGACACCTGTTTATCTTTTACAAGTATGTAGTTTTCTTTCTGTTTTTTGTAGTTCCTCTCATATATATGAAAATATATAGATATGAAATTTGAGGATTATCTCGGGAACGCAGCGACAATACTTTCGATGGTTCTGAAAAAATTATTATTTTGGATCCATGTTTTTTTACAAGCTATAAAAATTGCTCCATATAATATATTATATCTTTATTATAAAACTGTTTATTTAAAAAATGGATTTTGCAAGATAACACATATTACATATTAAATAACTGATAGTAAATTCCATCTAGAGCAAAGTCCCTGTGTTCCGATATCGATGCCTCAGTTAAGATTTAAGATTCTACTAAGAACTGAGTTGTGCTAAGGATTATTTTATGATTTGTACAAACGGAAAAAAAAATATATTTTGCACGCGACTCGGTGATCGAGCTTAATTCTTAACTCTGGTTTTTCGGATGCGAGAAATTATCGTTTTGTCTATACAAGGAGAAACATGAAGAGAAAAAAAAAAGAAAGTATGAAGTAAAAGAAAAATGTGCGCGTATTTAGCGCGATTTTAGAGTCTTAATGATCTTGCTTTTTTTTCTTTTTTTTTTTAATAAGGGTTTTAATAAACCTGACTTCTCTTTTTCCTTAATGGGTGTGCCTATAAGCTACAATGTCGATGTTTGATTATGTGTGGGTCAGGGTTGGAGATATTGCCGAACGGGATTTCACTACCGACAGACTACACGGGCCGCAGTACTGGGGAGGCTTACGTTCAATTTGTTAACAAAGATGTTGCGGAGCGCGCTCTGCAGAAACACAAGGAAAAGATAGGACACAGGTGGGGCACTGAGACGCTATACATAGCTGGGTTTGGGTATATTATGACTTTTCCATATCATTTATATTAATGATCGTAGTATACTTAGCTATATACATTTCATTTAATAAATAGCGGGAACAAATTCTATGATATGGATGCAGTTTCTTTATCCGACTTTTGCTAGACGAAACTTTTCGTTCAAGAGCAAAAATAGAATATAAATTATATTACATTAAACTATCAAGACGTCTACATTCATGTATTTCAAACGTGTAATGTAAAAAAATTTATTTTCGATTTAATCTTACGATTCGTTAGAGAAAACTCTTCTACAAGAATCGCGGATTTTTAATTAATTTTTAAATAAACAAATTTTTCTTGAAAGGAGAAGAGCTTTCTAGAGAACTTATTTTTTTAATCTGACATAAAGAAACTGCCTCTCTTAAAACACAACCAAATAATCGTAATACGTAAGCAAAAAGTACTGTGGACCCAACTTATACCCGTGGGTGGGTGCCGGGGGGCGGGAGGTAGCCCCTTATCATCATCACCAAATCCCATAGGAGATGGGTAGGGCAAGCCAAAGCTCGATGGGCGCTACAGACAGAGAGAGAAAGAGAGAAAGAAAGAAAGAAAAACAAATAGTAATCATGGATGGATATGACACGCATATAACTGTACTTTCTGGGGATAAACATTTATTATCTTAAAATGAAAAACGTAAGTTTGTCGAGAAAGAATATTTTAAGGAAATTTTTGCAATATGACGTTTATTATATAAGAGATTTGTAAATTAATTAGAATTTATATATTAAATATATATATAAATAAAAAAATTATATATATATATATATATATATATATATATATAAATTATAAACTAAATATATATAAATTATATACTAAATAATACTTGAATTTACACAAAATTCCACGTCGATAGAAATGTTCATCTGCAGAAGGTGCAATTATAAAAGCGTGACTCCTGAAGATCGTCGACGTCACATGGGTTTGTATGGGGTACATGTGACGTAAATACATCGAGAAGCGATTTCGTCGCGGGAGAGACGCAAGATATAATTCGCAGATTTAATAAAAAAAAAAAGAGAAAAATGTGCGGAGGTTTAGTATGAATACAATTGTTCTCTCACACATTTGTAAAGTCAACTTTAACGCCAACACACAAGTTTTTTTCTTCTTATAAACATCAAATCGTAAATCATTAATTTCTTACTACTATTGTGCAGAGAAGTGATTTCTTTCGAATCTTCATGTTAGTTTTGTTTTTCTCGTCTCTCTCACCATATTTCGCGGGATCTCTCGGATCTATATAAATCGTTAATACCTCTCGTCGAGTTTACGATTTGATAATAATGTATGGTGAGAGTATGTAGCAGTAATGACGGTGATGATACAATTGATCTGCTCGTGTCGCTCTATGAACATCTCCTACATCACTTCCATCTTCGATCATTAACAGATATATCGAGATCTTCCGAAGCAGCTTGTCCGAGGTACGCGCGAGTATCGGGCCCAAAATGCGTGGCGGTCCTATGGGCGGCTTCAATCAGAGGCCCGCGCCGTACACTCGCGGTGATCGCTTCGGCGGGATGAATCGCTTCAGCAACAATGGCAGAGGATCCAGAAATAGAGGTGATTCCTTACATCATCTATCCAAGTATGGAGACTATCGCGCAGGAGAAAACCGTAATAGAGAATTATTATACAATACACGTACGAATTCATTACGTATGTATTTATATTTCTATATATATTCTCTACTTCTTAGATCCTGCAGTTTACCTTAGCCATTTTTTCGCTATGGATTTTACAATTTTATTTTAGACTTTGATAGCGGTCCATGGGGAAGTGGAAACAATTATGGATCTCGCGGTGGTAATATGGGGATGCGTGGCGGTATGGATATGAAAGGCAATAATTATAGAGGTAATAATGATTCTTGGGGTGGTAATTCTGGTGTTCACAGTATTCATATGCGAGGATTGCCATTCAAGGCGACAGAACAAGACATTGCTGATGTAAGTTTTCTTCTCCTGTACTTAATAAAAACGATATAAAATTTTGTATCTTAAAGAGGCTTTCTCTCGATGTAATAACATATTCTGTATATTATTTTTTAGTTCTTCAGACCAATCGAACCGGTGAACGTTCGCATTATTCTTGAAAATGGTGGTCGGCCATCGGGAGAAGCTGACGTTGAATTTGCGACTCACGAGGAAGCCGTAAAAGCAATGTGCAAGGTTTATATCGGTTTTTTTTTGTTTTTTCTTAAAATTTTATTTGAAACCCGTTTAGATAAAACGATTTTCAAGGAATGTTGTAGAAAAATCATTGGAATACAGTTTGCATATATAAAGTAAATCTTATTTTAATTTCCTTATTTTATCATAGGATAAAAGTCACATGTCGCATAGATATATTGAACTGTTTCTGAACTCAACTGGAGGATCAAGTGGCATGTCACTAAGTGGCATTGGCAATTTCTGTGGAGGTAAGATTTCTAATTATTATCAAAACTGATTAAAATACAATTTAGTTCTAATCTGTTTCATAAGCAATATAATCTATTGCTATTGTCAATAAATATATTATAATTCCTTTATCAATATGTGATTTGATCTAGAAGACTAGACTAATCACAATCTTTTAATTATTTTTGAGATTTCTGATTATTGATTTCTGATTACTGATTATCAGGAAACAAGAAACTTTAGTATCTTGATGTATATATGTGTACATATATAATATATTGTATCATTTGTACATAGGTTTAGGTAATAACTTCAGGCCAGGATATTCGCCGAACAACAGAGGCTTCAATTCACAATTAGGCGGTAACAATTACAATAGTTTTTGAGACTGGCCAATGCGTTTTTAACGCTAAATAAACTACTGACAAAACATTTAAAAAAATCAAAGTGATTGGTGAAATGACACATCTCTAAATCACACTGATGCAATACGCGAACTGATTAATTTTTCCTTTTTTTTTTTTCTCCAATTCTTCGCAGTTATACATTAAATAATGATTGTAAGCCAAATCGATAGTATGTAAGTTCTCTTGCTTATTATTCATATATATATTGTATAAATTTAACATGAAGTATGTGATCATAAATTTAACATGAAGTATGTGATTACTAAGTGAATGTAGAAGTTGGTAAAGCGGAAATATTTTTTTATCTCAATCGTTCTCATTTCCAATTTTATATATATATATATATATATATATATATATATATATATATAATAAATTTGAATCAAATAATATATATTATTATTATTATTATTAATTTGAATCAAATACATAATATTACACTCGTACGTCATTAAAATACAAAAAAATATTCATCAAAGAATATATTGTAAGATGTATTTTTAGTTTAGCAATATTAGATAGATTAAACGCACGAAAAGGGTATTTCTCGTTTTCCATGCAATATCTATTTCAATTTAATGTTAAATAATTAGATAATTTTCCTTATCTGTATGCATTATGATGATTTTGATGTAAGCTTAGACTACATTTGTATGCATCGAGATGTAACGACGAATTGCAAAATGTACGATTGTAATGTACAGAACTGACTAATAGTTTGCGATCACAAACTTATTATCTTATGTACTGCGCAGAGTAAAGTCACGCGTACATATTCATCTTTCATCATGATGCGATAATTATTATGCGATAATTATGATGCGATAATTATATATAATGTGAGGTATTGTAAGTTTCGAGTAAGAATTAGTTTTCATTGACATAGATGTTATGATGTGCACAAAAAAAAATATCAGCTGTCAGTGTGTGCATCTCTTAAAGTATAAGTCTAGCTTCGGTTTGTATTCTCTTGAGATATTTGAATATAAAAAGAATGAAAAAAAAACAACGAAAAAATTATGTAAAATTAATTGAAATTCCTTAGAATAAGACAAAAATATAAATAAGACGCAAATATAAATAAGTTAGATATATTTTATATTTTTAAATTAAATGCTCAGAGTATTTTGAGAAAAAGTCAATACATGTTGAATTTGAAAAAATTAATTCTCACGATTTGGATTGTTTAGTACGATTTGGAAATCGTTGATATCGATGTAATAATTACATCTCAATTATTTGCTTTAAACTGGAGACTTATTTCTTATGTGTGTTGTATTCTTTTTTTCTCTCTTATATTTTTATTTTAAAAACGAAATTTTCTAGATTTTTTTTAGGAATTATTTATCAAAAATATTTATTTGTGAATATAATAATATAAAATGACCCTTATTAAGTAAGATTAATCTACATTTAATTATACGTTATTCGAATTTATATTTTTTTTATTCGAGGTTTACTTTAGCTAATCAATTTTATATAATCGTTAGTATAATAATTATGTAAACAAGTCAACAACGCTATCATGATTTAATGACTTTTTAATGGACATCCCCTATATAGTCGCGATTGATGCAATGTGTCGCATGTGTATAAATGCTTCATAATGCCTCTATTTATATATTCTAATCATTGAATAAATAAACTCATTGAATAAACAATGCACGCAAAGTTCATACTCTTCAACGAAAGTTCCCAGAAATCCCGGGAAAAACTGTGTGTCAGAGAAACAAGTTGATATTCGTGACAACAATGTCCACCCACGCATATCCTGAACGACAGTCTCAATAAAAAAAAATTCATTCTGTGTTTAGAATTCTCGAGCGCAATCTCAATCTCAATCGACATTTATGATGACTACAAATTAAATCGAAGAAGCCATTTTTCATTGCTGAATTTCGACCTCGATATCGTAAGTAAACTGAAACGCGTTTAAAAAAAAAGGTATAAAATTCATTTTCCAAGCATCATTATTCGGAATATTTTAATATTCGGAATTTCAGCTGTAGAACACCGTCAGATTGAACATCGCTGCTGTTACAGGTGTTACATGTGTGAGTGTGAGTGTGTTGCGTCCTGTCACGATTCATCGACTCGAGAAGTGTATGTGTGTACGTATGTGTGATGTATGCACGATGAGTGTACGTGTGTGTGTGTACTTTCGCCCCAGTTTCCGCGCGTTTCCGCGTGGGGACGAGAATTTAAAAAGTATACACGTACCTTATTAATGATGCCGGGAGATTAAGTACTGCTCTTATCGATATCACGCCGATTTGCTCGGCGATTGCTTCTCGTCGCGAGAGTAAAGTATATTTGCTGACTATCGGCGAGGTGAGTAAAAGTGGTATGATAGACGAACCAGCGCCTATTATTTTTTCACATTATGTGAAATGTCAAGTGCATGTTGAGTATATTATTTTCAGTTATGTATTATAAATACGCGCTTTAATATTCCTAAGCTGAGAAGGTGATAGCACAGAGCGTGTGTGTAGTACTATCTTTATGTGTGATACTTTTATCACAATACGCTTCCTCGTGATGATGAATTCTTATCTTTTCACTTCTCAAAGATTTATTATTGCGTGAAATGCAATTTTCAGATTCTATAAATGTCACTTTTTATATCCTTTTTTGGAATAAAAGTACAATTCTGCAAGGATGAGTCAAACGATGGAAGGGTACAATGACAATAACAAGCAAACTGAAAATAACACACGTCACAATCATAATGAAAGGTATGGAATCATCTGTATAACATGAGTTATATCAAAAATGTTTTGTGTTTTTCTGAGGAAAAAAATTAATTAAAAATATTTGCATTTAATCACTGAATAATGCTCAAAGAATATCAGGATAAGAACTTTCATTAATACTTATTTTTAATTTTCTATTCTAGATCTTTGGAGCTTGATAGGCAACAACAGCAATCTCTATTACCAAAGGCGAGTAGTAGTACAGCCAAACAAGTTAGGGAATATATCCCAAGATCTGGAATAAAAAAGTATAATCATGCTTTGAGCAATTTAATACCAGTGCGGTATCAAAATCAGTATGTATTGTGACAAATTCTTCAATCTTAAACATATTAAAATAATAATTTTTTTATATTAACAATTTAAGATATATGTTAGTAACTGTAAAAAATATATACACATTATTACATATTAACAATTTAAAATATATGTTAGTAACTGTAAACAATATATACATATTATTACATATTAATAAAAATATCTCAGTTATAACAATACATTTAATGTTGTTTATAATTATATCTCAGTTATTAGAACATACATTTTATAGGAAAAAAGAGAATTGGCCAGCAGATAATGCTGGATTATTTTCTTACGTATATATAACATGGATGACACCATATTTATGGAAAGCTTACAAAAAAGGACTTACGATTAAGGACTTGCCAGATATTTCTTTATATGATACTTGCGAGTATAATGCACTCAGGTAAATCAAATACAATATTATATCTTCTAGATATTATTACACTATATAAACAAGAATAATTTCTTTAGACTTGATATACTCTGGCAACAAGAGTTAAGCAAGAATGGTCCCAATGCAGCTTCATTTTTCATGGTTGCATGGAGATTTGTTCGAACAAGAATTTGCATATCATGCATTTTATTGAGCTGTTCTCTTATCTTTGGATTTATCAGTCCTGTAATATTATCTTTATCAATGACAAATTGCTATTAAATTGTATCACTTGTGTTATAATGCAGAATGTTTTTTTATTTAGACAATATTAATGAGAAAGATATTGGAGCATGTACAATCTTCGGAAGAAGATTTCTGGGATGGTCTTAAATGGGTTCTGTTACTTATGTTGTGCGATTCTCTGCGCGCTTTCTTTTTTACCTGGACATGGAATATGAATTACAAGACTGGATTACGACTAAAGTCAGCTTGTGTGGCTTTGTTGTACAAAAAAATTATCAGGCTAAACAGCCTTGGCAATAAAAGTACAGGAGAAGTGAGATACTAGACTCTGTTTTGCAAAATTTACGATGTTAAAGAAGCATCTGTATGCAATACATTCGCGACTTATTTTTAGATAATCAATTTATTTTGCAACGATAGTCAAAGGCTTTTTGATGTGATTATTTATGGACCAATGATTATCAGTGGACCAATAGCCATAAGTTGCGGTATAATTTACATATTGTGGATATTCAATCCCATCGCTCTAATAGGAATAGTAGCTTTCCTTTCATTTTATCCATGTCAGGTAAACAAATCTTGTTATATAGTATGTGTATATATATATATATATATATATATATATATATATATACACACTTATATACTTTGTGTGTACTTCAACAAAAATATTAATTTACAGTACTTTATTTCTCGTGCGACTGGTTATTTTCGCTCAAAATCAGTAAATATTACGGATACTCGAGTGCGACTCATGAGCGAGATCCTAGAATGCATAAAGTTAATTAAGATGTATTCTTGGGAAAAATATTTTAGTCAGAAACTTCTTGGTGAGAATAATTTACACTTTTACATTCTAATTTTTTCATATAAATATTTTTTTTAATTAAACAGATTTTTTAAATTAAAATATGTATGTATGTAAAAATAATATGTATTTTGCAGCTGTACGCAAGAAGGAAGAACGTTGGCTTCATAAAACTGCATATTTGCAAAGTCTTAGTATCTCTCTAACACCCGCTGTACCTGTGATATCCGCGATCATTACATTTTTAGCACAAGTTGCTTCGGGCAGTGGATTAACGGCTGCACAGGTATAATCCATCGATACAATTTTAACATTTTTTAATATTATATATTTTTTTTCATCAATATCATAATTTTATGTGTGTCAGGAAAAATCTAATACATCCAATAGGTAAGAAAATCTAATGAGACGATAAATTTCTCCAAGGACTGGTATTTTTTACCAATTTTTATAGATGTTTGCAATTTTTTAGATTAGTGTCCTTTCCTGGATTGTACAATCAATGTTGCACTTAACGGATTATACATTGCAGGTTTTTCCAATGATCACATTATTCAGACATTTGCTTAGACTGGCACTTACATCACTTAAGGATACCACGCGATATTTTATCAGCGCCCTCATAGCTCTTAGAAGATTCAAGGTCTCCAGTGTTTTTCGATTGGTTTTATTAGCTTAATTTATTAGCTTATTTATTAGCTTAATTTATGGATTGGTATCTATTATTAGGAAGTTGGTACTTGCAATGTTTGACAGATATAATTTTCCATAAATTGTTATCACATTTATTTATCACCAAGATTATATATATCTATGATTCACTTCAAGTATAAAATTTAGCCTGCCAAATCGATTAGATATATCTGATCGATAACAAAATTTTCGCAAATTAAATCTTTATGAAAAGATTATTTAGTAAAGAGATACATTATGAGTACTACTTCTGTAATAATAGATATACGAGATAAATGTGTTGTTTTAATGTGTAAAAAAATACATGTTTTCAAAAGTTCATAAAATGTCGTTAAACACGATGGGCAAACACTGCATGCCTTGTAAAGCATCCTGTTACACTCGAATAGGTACTATTAGCGATTCTTTTGAATTCCACGCAGAATACTCAAATTTTCAGCTATCAATAATATCGAGTTGGAGGTGCATGAGATATTAAAACGTTTCCACGCTAATGCGTAGGACAATCATATTAACATGGTCGTGTTTTTAATTCTACACTACATTACTTTTCAGGTGTTTCCCTTCGTATCGGTGCTCAGTGCTCAAATTCGTACTTCTTTCATGTTTTTGCAAGTGGCCTTAGTTAATATTGCTGCGGTAAAGATAACTTTTCGCAGACTAAAGGTGTTTATCTCTTATATCTAGCAGGAATGTACAATCGATGTATTTGAGATTTTTAATTAATACCTTTTAATACTTTCATCATTTATTGTAATCGAACTGGTTTTTGTTTTGCTAGTGCACGCTTATTGTAGAGTAACATTCACGTTATAAAGCCATTTTGCTTTGCTTATTTGTGACAATTATGTTAATAGATAATGTACAGTATGAAAGAGTTTAAAAAGCATGTACATTGCTACATAAATGTAATATATATAATTTGTATATATATTATTATATTATCATATTTATATAATAATATATTTGTATGTTTGATACAAATTACATGTATAAAATTTGTATCTGACTCTAGAAATTAATTTAAACATTTCGTACTCTGTGAATGTATATACACTGTATCTCTTTCGCTTTTTAATATTGCTTTTATAAGTGTTTTACATTTTTTTTCAATAATTTATCAAATGGGATAATTTGGCTAACGAAAAATGATACTTTCGCACAGAATATACTGCTGTTGGACGAAGGCAGTTGCCAGATGTCAAAACCGATAGTAAGATCGCAAGCGGTTGCCATCGCTAATGGTACTTTCGTTTGCGACAGTATGAAGCTTCAAACGGACGCATCGACCGATAACAAGAAAAAGTTAATATCTGTTATGAGAATCATAATAATCTCTACTAAGGTTTGGAATAATCTTTTACATTTTGATTAATTATAGGAAGGACTCGTCATCAATCACGGACAGATCGACAGAGCTAGAAAATCTAAATCAACCGCAAGAAGCCAAATACATCGAGGTTCTTGGCGACATACATTTTGGAGCACTCAAGGGGAAACTAGTCGGTATCTGCGGCCATGTAGGTAGTGGTAAGTCCAGTCTGCTGCTGGCGGCTCTAGGACAATTGAGAATGACGAAAGGACATATTCTGCGGGAGGGCACTTGCGCTTATGTCAGCCAACAGGCATGGATCATAAACGGCACTTTCAAGGAGAACGTTTTGTTTGGCGAGGAGTTCGATGCCAAGCGTTATTATCACACGATTACGATCTGTAATTTGAAGGAGGATCTGAACATGTTGCCTGGTGGTGACGACACTGAAATCGGTGAGAGGGGTGTCAATCTGTCCGGGGGACAGAAGCAGAGGGTTGCGCTCGCGCGAGCGTATTATGCCAACCGGTGCGCAAAATCGGTTTATTTCCAAAATTACACGTCGATATTGTATTGATAAGTTTGACGAACGCCTTGCGACGAAACATCTGTCATTTCAGGGACATTTATTTCCTCGATGATCCTCTCAGTGCGGTTGACGCGTACGTCGGCTCGTATATATTCGAGAAATTAATTATCGAGGCTCTTAGGAACAAATCCGTTCTCTTCGTAACGCATAACATTCAGGTGCATATTTAATTTAACTCAATAACGAATTCGATTGACTATAATAGTGCGCATTGATGTGCATTGATTAAAAAAGCTATCGTATACAAATTTACAGTAGCATAATAACTGAAAAAAAAATTAACTCTGCGAGTTATTATTGTTATTCGTATTATTGTTATTTCATAATATATAACAATAAATTGTAGTATTAATTTTATCTCACTGTTTTAATTACTTTATGCTATTGAAGATACAACAATCTTTAATGTGTATCAGTGCGCACTAGTGCATTCAACCGAATTCACTACTACCATTTATTGATGAAATATGAGGAAGATTTTTTGATATTTTTTTGTATCATTTTCTACAAAATGAATAAATTTTGAGAAAACTGACATCTCTCAAAATTCTGAAATGTTCCAAATTTTTTATTCGTTGTAGTTTTTGAAGCGTTGCGACGAGATTTACATGATGAGCGCAGGCAAGATTGTGGAACATGGAACCCATGAAGATCTCATGCGACACGATAGAGAGTATGCATCGATGGTGAAGAGCGGCACAGTTGCTGCAGAAGATAACTTATCATCGTACGTTTATTATTTCCTATAAATTATTAGATAACAATAGATGTAAAATAAAGTTATTTAATATGTTTTTATTTCGTTATACAGTGAAAAATTTGCAACAGGGACGCAGAAAAACATCGACACCGGCGGCTCAGAATCGAAAAAGACAGAGTCTGAACATAAAGAAGATGATCAGGATAAATCATACAAAGGTGCACGCGCAGTTCTATAATATCAATAATCACAATAGTTCTATAAAATCTGATTGAAATGATTTTCCTAATTCTGTTTTCTATTTAAATTTAGGAATGACTTTAACAATGACAGAGAAAGCCGAAACTGGGGCCGTTAAATCGCACACTTATCATACGTACATACAAGCCACAGGTGGTTACTTAATCGCGGTTCTTGTATTCTTTTCGTTCTTTTTGAACGTAGGTAGCTCAGCATTTAGTACTTGGTGGCTTGCTGTATGGATTAAAGCTGGCGGGGGTGTAAGTAATATATTTTATTATATCCAACATTTCAGATTTATATATTTGAAACTATCTGCATCTCTTTAACCAAGAAATATTTTAAGTAATAAGTATTCATTATATATGCATTATATATGCTTATTTTTCGCATCAATATTACATATGTTGTTACGAAAATATATCGATTTTGTTTAATTTTCAGAACGTAACTGTGCCAGGAAGTAATGATACCATATACGTAGAAGATATAAATGCCAATCCTGACTTCTCATTTTATCGTAATATTTATAGTGCGTGTATCGCCGCCATTTTATTAACAAGTTTTATTCGCGGCTTGGCCATTATGTTTACGACGATAAAAGCTTCGACCACATTGCACAACATGTTTCTACGTAAAATCATTGGTTCTCCGTTAATATTCTTCGAGAGCACTCCAAGCGGCAGGATACAAAATATATTCAGTCGAGACATAGACGAAAGTTAGTAGATATCCTAATTATATAATATCGCGATCTCTTATTTTTTATTTCATTAATTGCGTTCCTGTTTTACAGTTGATAATTATTTACCCATATCGATAGAAAATATGGTGCAAAATATTTTTACCTGTGTTTTCGCCATTTTCTTTATTTGCGGCGTATTGCCTTGGTTTTCGATACCATTATTTTTATTCGGTATATTATTCTTCTTTGTTAGCAAACTGTTCAGGTAAATATATACAATATTATCGCATAATTTACATATGAATCAATAATAGAAATCAATAATTGAAATTTCCTGTACATCTCTGCAGAGTAGGCATGAGGGATTTGAAGAGAATGGATAATATTTCACGGTCTCCTGTTTTAAGTTTTGTCACAACGACGATCCAAGGCTTGAATACAATTCACGCGTTTCAAAAGGAAAAGAACTTCTTGTACAGGTGATTATTCAATATAATAATAAAATAATAAAAAAAAAGATATGGGATTAAGAATTGTTTTTAATCAACAGATTCGAGGAGTTATTCAATACGAATAATCTGTGTCTACAAATGTGTCAAGCCGCAATGAGATGGTCTGCGGTAAGACTAGACAGTTTGGTGATCGCCTCATCCTGCATAACTGCATTACTCGTGATTTCGTTTAAAAATGAACTATCGCCAGCCTTCGCTGGTCTGGCGATGGCGTATGCTACACAAATGACTGGTATCTTTCAATATACAGTCAGATTAATGTCCGAGACCGAGATGCGCTTTATAAGTGTAGAAAGGATCAGTTATTATCTCAAAGTACCTATAAATAATTTATTTCTATAATAATTATGTCCGTAAATATGTAATTAATTTTTTTTCTCTGTAATATATTAATAACTTTTTGATCTTAATTTTATTATTTTATTTAGACTTTGCAGAGAGAAGGTGCAAGCAAAACGGTTGCTCTTAAACCAGCTGACGATTGGCCTTCTCGTGGCAAAATAGAATTTAAGGCTGTGCAGTTAAGATATAGAGAGGAATTACCACTCGTGCTAATCGACGTGTCTTTTAGCATAAAAGCTGGAGAAAAAATAGGTAATGGCAAATATAATATTTCGATAATGCATATTTATTATATTTCTTCATGTAAGAGATTAATTGACTACTAATTATCTTAGGTATCGTGGGTCGCACGGGATCCGGCAAGAGTTCTCTGGTTGTAGCTTTATTCCGGTTGGTTGAGATTTGCGAAGGTATTATTAAGATTGATGGTATTGATGTTTCGAAATTGGACTTGGATGTGTTACGAAGTAGATTATCGATTATCCCTCAGGATCCAATTTTATTTAGTGGAACTATAAGGTAATAACCGCCAATTCCTTTACTGATTGTCTGGAATACTTTTCTTTTTAATCGATCTTATTTTTAAGATCCAATTTAGATCCTTTCCAACGACATACAGACTACGACATTTGGAACGCTCTTGAAAAGACTCAGATGAAAGCTCGAGTATCTCTTATGCCGAAAAACCTCGATGCTTCCGTTGGATTTGGTGGGAATAATTTGAGTGTTGGCGAGAGACAGCTTCTTTGTTTATCAAGAGCTTTATTACATAGTGCAAAGGTAAAAATTTTTATCGAGCATCTAATTGTAACTTCTGGAACTCTTTGAAATTCATTTCTAAAATCTCTTCAAAATGCTAAAATAAAAATAAATAGCGAATGACATCGCTTTTTAGGTGCTGATCCTAGACGAGGCAACGGCTTCCGTCGATCCGGAAACCGAAGCGGCTGTACAAAATACTTTGCAAAATGAGTTCGCGGATTGCACTGTGCTTACAATCGCTCATCGCTTGCAAACGGTGATCACATGCAATCGCATTCTCGTTATGAGTGATGGTAAAGTCGTTGAATTCGATGCACCGGCCGTGCTTCTCTCCCGACCAGATTCTGAGTTTTCGAAACTGATGGCTGCCACAGACAGAAATGTAAAATAATCTTCGCCAGAGATTCGTACACTCTGATGAAATGGTAGAACTAATGATATTAACTGGTAATAAATGGAAAAAGAAGAAAGAAACATAATACATCTGATATATAAAAGTATATAACAGTATGATACGCAAATGATACATAAAAGAACAATATTAATGAATAAGTGATTATCTAACTTTTTATTAATAAATTTTTAAGTAAAGAGATTTGAAACTCTACATATTCTTTATTACAAGCTCGTATCCTGTACCAATAAAAAGAGATAGAATATTCTCCCATGTCTATCCTTCCACATTTATTTAATTTTACGATTAACGATAGATTTATTATAACGATTTAATTATCATTGAACATTACATTAGTTGTATATAATTTTCAGGTGCATTGAAAGTTTATACATCAAATTGTATGCATCAGAAGATTAACATTTTCGTTGTCAAGATAGATTGATGATAGATCCATCGATTTTTCGACAAGGAAAGTTTGTGAGAAACAGTTTAATTAAAAAAGATTATTTTTAATAGAACTATTTTTGAATACATACTTGGCAATCTCTTGATTTCTAAAGTCTATTTAGTGAAATATTGATTTTCTCGAGAGGCAGGGAGCGCATACTGCTCATGCTCGTTCGCTCCGACTTTCGGTCGTGTTGGACCGCTGGTGATGCGGTCGAAGCATGTTCGTCGCGACATCGCGACAGCTTGTTATTACCTCTGAGATGTTTATTACACGTTGAGCTTTACCGTTGCTTTATACCGAAGATGTAGTCTATAGAAATTGCCGTAAAGGCAGTGTCCATCGTTTTCCGCAAACAGCTAAAAGAAAGGTGTGAACCCCTTGATAATATGTATATATTTATATATAAAAACATGTTGATTTTCTCACAGATAAAAAAAGATTGCTTGTGAAGAAGATCATTCCTGACAAAAAAATTTTCCATTTTTGAATTTTTATTCGATTTTTTTTATTCTTTTAATAGTATTATTAAAAATTATTTTATATTATTTTTTATAATGTTATAGATAATCTATGATAATCTAAAAATCTATGAAATATCTTTTATATATAATAATATATATCTCATGCTCTTATAATGTTTTTAATTAAAATAAGTTAGTAAATTATTATATAAAAATTCTAAAATATACTGTGTTAATTACAAAAATAATTATGTAATTGTTAAATTGTAATCGAATAATATGCATTTTTAGGATGATTGAAGTAACATCGTCAAATATATAAATGACGAGAATACAAATAGAATACAATAATTTAATTAATTGATAAAATTTAATTTTTAGGAATTGTTTGTAATAATAGTGTGTCTCTAACTTTGATATGGAAAAATATATTCACGTCACAAACGTGAATATATTTTTCCATAAGATTATTCACTTTTCTTCCAGGCCTCACCATTGCGAATATAATTCCTATTATGATGCTGGGGCGGAAGCAGAGCCTCAAGGGGGAACCCGTCCTGGCTGATTATGGTCCGGAGGAGTCCCTCAATGAGAGCGCTGACATAGAATGGGTCAACAAGGTGAGAGGAAGTACAGATCAACGGAGAGAAAATTGAAAATTACAAAAGAACTTCCTTTTTTTCAAAACTTTTCTGAAAACCTTTACGTGATTTCAGTTATGGGTGAGGAGATTGATGCGATTTTGTGCCCTAGTTTCATTGGCTTCCGTTTGCTTGAACACGCCAAAAACCTTTGAAAAAGTACCGTCCCTCCAATACGTCACCTTTATTTGCGATCTGATAGTCACGTTTCTATTCACCGCTGAAATGATCGCCAAGATGCACATACGAGGAATACTAAAGGTAAAGTTGCTCTCTTCATCGAGGAAGAATTGAGGTATTTAAGTATATTAATTTAATAAATATATTAAAAATATATTATTTTCAAATTTTAACTCGACAAAATCTCTCTCACGAATATTTTAAATATTAAAAAACGGAGAGCGTGTGTGGAATTCTCCTACGTATAATTATATCATTATATTTTTTATGTGGAAAAGAATAAAATTGCTAATGGTATTGCATAGAGGGATAAGTCCTATTTGAAAGACCATTGGTGCCAATTCGACGCTAGTATGGTGATCTTTCTCTGGCTGTCTGTGATCCTGCAAATGTTCGAGATGCTGGGTTTCCTCATAAAGTTTAGTTACGCTTCGGTTATGCGGGCACCAAGGCCACTGATCATGATACGTTTCCTCCGAGTCTTCCTCAAATTTTCGATGCCCAAAGCCAGAATCAATCAAATTTTTAAGTAAGAAAATTAAACGTTTAAATTGATAGTTGAAAAACTCGTGCGACTTAGAAGCGAGAAATTTCGCAAATTTATTTGATTTAATTCAATTTCTTTCATTGTTAACTATTCAATTTTTATATTTATACAGACGCTCGAGCCAGCAAATCTACAACGTGACGCTTTTCTTTCTGTTCTTCATGTCCTTATATGGTCTCTTGGGTGTGCAATTCTTCGGCGAGCTAAAAAATCATTGCGTATTGAATACAACCGAGCCGCATTACATCACGATAAATAGTTTAGCTATTCCCGACACGTTTTGCTCCACCGATCCGGAGTCTGGATATCAATGCCCCGAAGGAATGATTTGTATGAAGCTGGAATTGTCCAAGTATATTATAGGCTTCAATGGATTTGACGAGTTTGGTAATAGTTAATGTTAATACTATGCCCTCGTTAGAATCCTGTGTAAATTGATTTTCCATGACAATTCATGTCATCTTCATATTACGTCCTTGTAAAAATATTGCAAAAATAATTAATTTCTAGCTTCAAAATATAATATTGTTTAATTTTAAATATATTATTTTATATTTATTATAAATATAATATAAATCTTTATCTTTTTATAATATTGTTTTTGAATACCCAATATTTTCAACAAAAATTAAAAAATTAAAATTTTCGCAATTGCGTTGCGAGATATGTGAAACTTCGATTTGATACTGTTAGCCACCAGCATCTTCACCGTGTACCAAGCAGCTTCTCAAGAAGGATGGGTCTTTATCATGTACCGTGCAATCGACAGTTTACCAGCTTGGCGCGCGGTTCTTTACTTCAGCACGATGATATTCTTTCTGGCTTGGTTGGTGAAGAACGTCTTCATTGCTGTCATCACCGAGACCTTCAATGAAATCCGAGTGCAGTTTCAACAAATGTGGGGCGTTAGAGGTCACATTAGCAATAGTTCAGCATCGCAGGTCAGTTGTATTAATCTTTCTGGAGATTGAAAGAAAAGAGAGAGAATCTTTTTATTTATTTTTTAATTTACTTTAAAAAATCAATAAGATATTGCGTATAAACATCATTATTTGAAATTAATTGTAAGCAAATAATGATGATTTGATTAAATATTGAAATTTGAAACGTACACATTTACTTTACTTATGATCTCATTATTACAGATATTGACTGGAGATGACAATGGTTGGAAGTTGGTAACATTAGATGAGAATAAACACGGAGGTCTGGCGTCTCCAGCGTGTCACACTATTCTCAGGTCGCCGTATTTTCGTATGGTAGTAATGTGCGCAATTCTAGCAAACGGTATCACCACCGCAACAATGAGCTTCAAGCATGATGAAAAACCGAGAAACACGTATTACGATAATTATTATTGGGCCGAGATCATCTTCACAATACTTCTAGACTTAGAGACGCTCTTCAAGATATGGTGCCTGGGATTCCGGAGTTATTACAAGCATTCGATTCACAAGTTCGAATTGCTGCTTGCCATCGGCACAACTATACATATTATTCCGTTCTTTTATCTCTCTGGATTCACTTATTTTCAGGTCTGTACCAGTTATTTCCGACTCTTCATCTTTTGTGTTATCACTTTACTTTATCATTCTATGTTCGAATCTATGCTCTTTAAATTCGTTTTGCCTGCTTTGAATTGTCAATCACTGATTTTTGAATAAATTTAAACAACGTTTGGAAAAACAATAATAAATTTTTATATCTTTTTGTATGAAAAGGTTCTCAGAGTTGTCCGGCTTATTAAAGCGTCACCGATGTTAGAGGACTTTGTATACAAAATTTTTGGTCCTGGCAAGAAGCTTGGCAGTCTCATTATTTTTACCATGTGCCTGTTGGTGATATCTTCCAGCATTTCCATGCAGCTTTTCTGCTTCCTTTGTGATTTTACCAAGTTTGAAACTTTTCCCGAGGTAAGTTACTTTTATATTTTAATAAATTATTATTATACAATTATTTTATTATACAATTATATTTTAAGCTTTAAAGAATGCATTTTTTTAGGCATTTATGTCTATGTTCCAAATTCTCACGCAAGAAGCCTGGGTCGATGTCATGGACGAGACTATGTTGCGAACTCATGAGACGATGGCACCTCTAGTCGCAGTATATTTCATTTTATATCATCTCTTCGTCACTCTGGTACGTTCTTGATATTTCCTGGATACATTAAATGTTAAAATTATATAAACAGATATTAATTAATATAATTAATTATCACTATCTCTTTTCAGATTGTATTGAGTCTTTTCGTCGCAGTGATCCTGGACAATCTTGAGCTGGACGAAGATATAAAGAAATTGAAACAATTGAAATTTCGTGAACAAAGCGCCGAGATAAAGGAGAGCTTGCCATTCAGACTGAGGATCTTTGAAAAATTTCCAGATAGTCCGCAAATGACATGTCTTCATAAAGTACCGTCAGACTTCAATTTGCCGAAGGTTTGTGAAAATGTTACCCTTTTACGATTCGTTATTAATAATTTTAGTAAATTTTTAATCAATATCAATTTAAAAAAACATAATAATTATTTAATGCATTGAAATCAATATTTGATCCATCTTTTCTTAGGTACGTGAGAGCTTTATGCGACAGTTTGTGATTGAAGTAGAAGACGAGGAGAATGAAATTGCTAAAAGAATTAACGAGACCTTCGATTCAAAAATAGTGTACAGAAAACAACGCCCGGTAAAGATCTTAAACAATCCGCCGAAGGTGAGAAGTGTCGTCACTAATTTGAAGAAAGCAGCTGTCATTTATATCATAAAGTAAGTTAAACATCGCGTCGCGGTCTTATTGTTCTCAAGCTTAGACTTTGATCTAATTTTTAATTTTTAGTGACTCCAACAATCAGAGATTGCTATTGGGAGATTCTGCCATGATTCCAGTACCAGGAAAGGGACTTTTAAAACCGCAAGGTACTGTGAGCAGCGCTAAACAACTTCGCATTGATCAGAAAAAGTAAGAATAAAAGATTTATTAATAAAAGAATCTAAATAAGAGAATTTATAGATTTATAAATTTAAAAACTAGAGCCATATATACATTATATTCAATGATCTAATATTTTTTTCAACTTGTTATTAAATAAAAAAAATTATAATATATTTTTAAATATATTATTCATAATGATACTAATCATATATTTTACATCTTCGCTTTCATTCTATTTGTTTTTTATCTATTCACGGACAAAAATAGATCAATCAGAAGAAGCGTCCGAAGTGGATCGATCAAACTCAAGCAGACATATGAGCATCTCATGGAAAACGGAGACATAGGCGGAATAAACAGAGTTAGTTCGGCGCGCAGCAGGCCGCATGATTTAGACATTAAGTTACTTCAAGCTAAGAGACAACAGGCGGAAATGCGAAGGTACGTCGTACATTTTTAAGACTTTTGTTAATTTAACATTTAACATTTTTCCTTTTTTGTATTTCCAGAAATCAACGAGAAGATGATTTGCGAGAGAATCATCCGTTCTTCGATACGCCATTATTCGCGGTGCCACGCGAGAGTAAATTTCGAAAATATTGTCAGCTGTTCGTCTATGCAAGATACGATGCGAAATTGAAAGATCCTTTAACGGGCAAGGAAAGGAAAGTGCAATACAAGAGCTTGCAGTAAGATTCGCAATATTAAAACATCGAGATGGAACTTAAGAGAGATACTTAAGCTGATGAATTTTGTATCTCTTTCTCTGCAGCAACTTCCTCGGTCTAGTGACTTATCTCGATTGGGTGATGATATTCATCACGACGTTGTCATGCATCTCGATGATGTTCGAAACGCCGAAATATCGCGTGATGGAAGAACCGGCGTTGCAAATTACCGAATATTGCTTCGTTATCTGCATGAGTATCGAATTGGCGCTCAAGATTTTGGCTGATGGTTTGTTCTTCACACCCAAGGCTTACATCAAGGACGTCGCCTCTGTATTGGACGTCTTCATTTACATCGTATGTATAACACATTATATGTATATCGAATTCTATTCTATGTTATAAAATATTTTTATAATTATAATAAAAATCATATAATGATTATATAATATTATATATTATAATTGTATAAATCATAATATAATGATAATTTATATTTGCTATTATTTTATTATTGCAGGTGAGTCTTGTGTTTTTATGCTGGATGCCGAAAAGTGTGCCACCGAATTCCGGAGCACAATTGCTGATGATATTACGATGTGTCAGACCATTGAGGATCTTTACTCTTGTACCGCACATGAGAAAAGTCGTTTATGAACTTTGTAGAGGATTCAAAGAAATTTTGCTGGTAAATGTCATTTCCATATTGAGAATTTTAAAACACAGCACCTAAAGTTTCGGTCTAGAAATAATTGGATATGGATTTATAAATCGCTATACAGAGTGATCAATGAAAAATTGCTTTATTTAGGTATCGACATTATTGATTCTGTTAATGTTTGTATTCGCAAGCTATGGTGTACAATTGTATGGCGGTCGATTAGCGAGATGTAATGATCCCACTATCTTGAAACGCGAGGATTGCGTTGGCGTGTTCATGAGAAGAGTGTTCGTGACGAAAATGAAGCTGCGACCAGGGAAAAACGAGAGTTATCCGTCCATTTTAGTACCGCGAGTTTGGTGAGCAAAATGATTAATGGATAGTTCTAGTTCTTTTTCAATTAAATGTATCATATAGTTAAATTTTATTAATATATGTACATACTATGCACTCAATTATATGTATATTTTTCATCAGTAATTCATATTCTCTTTCTCTTAATACAATGTTTATATATATATATATATATATATATATATATATATATATATATCTTTTTTCATACTAATATTGTATTTCAGGGCTAATCCCAAACGATTTAATTTTGATAATATCGGTGATGCGATGATGGCTCTGTTCGAAGTACTTTCTTTCAAAGGCTGGCTCGATGTGCGGGATGTTCTTATTAAAGCTCTCGGTCCTGTGAGTCAATACTTTTTCGACACTTTAATACACACACACGCACTACAAAAATTGTCATATTTTGCGGTACAAAAATGAATAATTTTTGTGATATTGTGTACTGTTTTTTTTTTCAGGTTCATGCAATCTATATACACATTTATATCTTCCTCGGTTGTATGATTGGTTTAACGCTGTTCGTGGGTGTCGTAATTGCGAATTATTCCGAGAACAAAGGCACCGCTTTGCTCACGGTTGATCAGAGACGATGGTGAGAGACTTCGAGATATTTCAAGATATTTCGAAGAATCTCGATCTTGATATGATCTACTAGAAATATAAATTTCGATGCAGGTGTGACTTGAAGAAACGTTTAAAAATCGCCCAGCCGTTGCACTTGCCGCCGAGACCGGACGGCAAAAAATTCCGAGCTTTCATCTATGACATTACGCAGAACATTTATTTCAAACGATTCATCGCTGTCATGGTGCTTATAAATAGCGCTTTGCTGTGCGTTTCTGTGAGTTGAACAAGGCTAATCTTGCAATTTAGATTTAGATATAGAACCCGTAGATACTTTTTAGGATTCCGCGTGATTACTTCCAAAATTATTCCATTTTTATTTATATATTGGCGTATTTAAATTGCTTTCATTCGCCTTAGATAGGCTTTAGATAATTTAATTACGGAAGTATTTATATAATAATTAGAGTAATATGCATGATCATGTAAATTGAACATGCTAGCTTAAAATTTTTTACGACAAAACAATCTTGCTTAAAAATGCTAGCTTGAAAAAACGCGAGCTTGAGAGAAGCTTTTGTTAGAGTAATCTTTCTTCCTCTATTTAGTTTTTTACAAATTTATTAGTCATATCTATAGAACAAGCATCCAACGATAAGATTAATAGGATTATGATGAGCATTCGTGTTGAAAAGACAAAGTGACGTCCAATTTTGAAATAGAAGATAATAGAAAAAAATATTACACACGTATAGAGAAGCCCCACAGATTTGGAGACTGTTACTTTGAATCATTTGTTCCTTGCCGGCTACCATTAGACCGTGGCTAAAAGTTAGTGTGATTAATCGTTTGCTCATATTTAATCTGCGGTCTTCTCCTCTTTTTCTTCTTTATCTTGCTCATCCCAAGTGGAGAATCGAGGAGGAACACACGGAAGCGCTGGCTACGGTCTCCACGATTCTGACACTGGTCTTCCTCGTGGAAGTAATCATGAAAAACATTGCTTTTACACCACGTGGCTATTGGCAGTCCAGAAGAAACAGATATGATTTGCTCGTGACAGTCGTGGGCGTTATCTGGATTGTCATACATTGCACGATGAAGGTACGTTCGATATCTAATTAGATTTTCTCTTCGCCATTTGCTTTCCTAAAATTATAATTTATTACGTTGCTTTCAGAATGATCTATCCTACGTGATCGGATTTATGGTTGTGATCCTCAGATTCTTCACTATCACCGGTAAACACACGACTCTCAAGATGCTGATGTTGACAGTCGGTGTGTCTGTCTGCAAGAGTTTCTTCATCATATTTGGCATGTTTCTCCTTGTCTTCTTTTATGCACTAGCCGGCACCATAATTTTTGGTACTGTGAAGTACGGAGAAGGCATAGGAAGGTAAGAAATCATATATATTTGTACGCAAGTATATAAAACTTTTAATTTACCGTCAATTAAGGTTTTCAGAATGTATAAGAAGAATACATATTTTTTTATTTGGATTTTTTAATGGTATTAAATCGTTTTTTTAAATTCATGATCTTTCTTCGTCTTATGTGTTATTTTCTCTAATTTAATATATAAAAAATAATCTTTTTTACAATTCAGACGTGCTAATTTTGAGTCACCAGTCACCGGCGTGGCAATGCTCTTTCGCATAGTGACGGGAGAGGATTGGAACAAAATTATGCACGACTGCATGATACAGCCACCTTATTGTACACCAGCGGGTAATTACTGGGAAACGGATTGTGGCAACTTTCACGCTTCCCTGATTTATTTTTGCACCTTCTACGTCATTATTACTTATATCGTCTTAAATCTTTTAGTGGGTATGTATACGATATACAAAGAAACATTTATATAAAATAATCACATGAATATTATTTATATTTAAAAAGAAATTCCGCAATTATTTTGTTCTTGCTTTACCTAAGAAAAAAGAGAAACGATATTTAATCTAATTTTTATATACATATATAAGCAATATTTTTTAAATTAGATTTTTGCATTAATTTAATTAACGAACATCGAAGACAAGAAATGTGAAAATTTTCTTTTTCTTTTCAAATAGCTATTATCATGGAGAACTTTTCTTTATTTTATTCGAATGAAGAAGATGCGTTATTATCATACGCCGACATAAGGAACTTCCAGAACACGTGGAATGTAGTTGATAATCATCAAAAAGGTGTTATACCGGTGAAGCGGGTATGATCTTGCTTATGAACTTCGAATCAATAATTCCATATCCAGTGAGAGAATATAATAATCCTTAAGAAGCGCAAATAATAATATTAATGTATTTCAGGTGAAGTTTATCTTACGGTTATTGAAGGGTAGATTAGAGACTGATCCACAGAAGGATCGCCTACTCTTCAAGTACATGTGCTACGAGCTGGAACGATTGCACAATGGTGAGGACGTCACTTTTCATGACGTTATTAAGTAAGTTTCGTGATTTTACTGTGATGAATATTATAAACACGTTTATTTCCTTTATTAAGTTTTCAATTAAATTTCGACAAATGTTTTGTGAATTTATCGGATATTTGATTTCATAAAATGCTCTTAGATCCTTTCCTCTTTATTTTTTATCGTTTCATTTGCGAATTTCTCAACTGTATATAGATGATGTGTGTGAAAAAAAGTTTTATATCATTCAAGTGTAATTGTCAAAAAAATGTTTCCTAAATTGAAGAATATTTCAGTATGTTATCATACCGTTCAGTGGACATAAGAAAAGCGCTCCAATTGGAGGAATTGCTCGCCAGAGAAGAGTTCGAATATATAATCGAAGAGGAAGTAGCCAAACAAACTATTAGAACTTGGTTACAGGGTTGTTTGAAAAAAATACGAGCGGTGAGAATCGGTTGACTTCAAAATCGTGTCAAGAAAATAATCTTTTCCTTTTTTTTTATATTTTTGTAGAAGCAGCAGAACAGTCTTATCGCCGGACTTCGTGCTACGAATAATGCGGCTGCGTTGAAGGAGGCTCAAGAGGAGAAAAGCAAAGAGGAAAAAGGCAAGGAAATTAGCGTCGATCGTGAAGAAGAGATCGAGACAAAGGTACGTGTTATTTGCTTCATTATAATTCAAGCATTTCTGGAAGAAAAATTAAACTGAGAAATTTTCCTATATTTTTATATCAAAATTAATAAATCAATCGTAATTTTTTTCTTAAAGTTTTTAAAAGAAATATATAAAATAAACGAGTGAATCATAATAAAATTATAATAAAAATTACACAATAATCATCCTATGTGAAATTCGAGTTATTTTATGCTAATTTTCTAAATTAGGATGTCGAAGCTCCGAAACATAGAGTTAAAAAACCGGTAGTGCTTCCAAGATCAGACAGCATAGGAAGCGCCTCGGGAAGAAAATATCTGGCTCCGACATTATCGGATCCCGCATCCGTTCGATCGGAGAAAGATAAGATTGCGGTATCGAAGAAAAGAAACAGTAGACCGCCGTGTAAGTCTAAGTTATAGCTTCCACATTAAGTATTTTGAGTTACGCTTTCCTTCTTTTTTTCAGCGATGGTGAAAAATAATTTACCCCATCTAACGGAAAATACGGAGCAAAGCAGGCAACAAAGGGAAACGTTGAACAACAAGACAACTGTGCCTAAAGTTTCCAGTGTTATGTTGGAAGTTCGAGAATGGTGGAAGGAGCAATTAGCTTACAGCAGTGAATCTAGCGAAGACGAGGTTTAAATCTTGTAAGTCGTATCATCGAGTAGGAACTAAATGACCAGAAGCAGATGGTAAAAGCGAGGATTCCTATTTTCAGCAGTAAAAAAAATCGAATTTTTTTCTCTATTCATACAAGCCTAAAAATTTTGCATCGAATAAGGAGAAAGAAATCCGAGGAAGAAAATGTAGTATGTGCCTAATACTTTTAATTTTAATGGAAACCAATCACAAACTTTAACATGTTGAGCTGCTACGTTAGAATTTTGCTACATCAAAGAACGGTTTCGTACGCTTTTCGAATCTTCCGTTCTATTATTATTAGCGTGGTTTGAAGCTCATCATGTTAAAGAAATCGATTTCTTAAAGAAAAAAATTGTAATCGAGATATACATACTCATTTCGTATCAAATGTCGGGGCATTATGTGTAAGTATCGAAGATTGTCCATACGAAAATTTCCTTAAATTCTTGAATATCGACATATTTAAAAAAAAAATGTCGATATGTAGAAAATTTCCTGTGCATTATTCATGTAGCGTCATTCATAATCGATCATGTTGTTGGACACAACATTTTGAAGGTATAGTGTATAGTAAACTGTATAGTGAATTTTATATGATATACAAAGTTAATCATTGTGCAAGTAATATTTGGATAGCGTTGTTAATGGCAGCTGTGAGTACAATTAGCGCAAAATGCGATTCGTCGTAGATACTTTTGTCACGAAGATGGTCCCGATGATCCCTGTGAAAATGATATCCTAGATTGTCTCGATTCTTTTTTCCTTATTATAAAAATATGTCTCGAGAGAGGGCCTATATCGTAATAAATCTACGCGAATTGATTGATTTGATATTGGCGGTTGTAAAATGTTAGCACACTTAATGTTGATGTTACACTGTCTTTGTTACAATTAGCAGTAATGCTGTTATGAATGGTGCTTTAAGATAAAACAGTCGTGCAAGACTCGGAGAAAAATTACTTGACCAAAGATGTAATTTATTTTCAAATGAAATCCGACGACTACGTTGTGCATGTTGAACGTAGGAAAGATAATTGGAACATTTATATATAATATTGTCGTGAATTTTTATAATAAGACGAAGAATGCATGTGTGTGTGAGTATGTCAAATAAATCCGTCAAATTTTATGCGATCGATATTGATGCAATAATACGCACATACAAATGAATTGCTATGTTATGCATTTATAGAAGCGGATTTAATGTTGGAAATCGCGTTATATTTACGTCAATGTAAATGAATGTTGATGATTGTTGCTAGTTTATGTGCCAATGTGTTGTCTTATCGAGTATGGGACAAATAAATGTTGTTTAGATATCATTATTCGTATGAATTTCGACATTATATTATTATTCGATGATTAGTATAAAATGCAAACAGTAAAAAGTCATTTTTCGAAAATTTGGATAAAATTGTGGAAAGTAAAACTAATTACATATATAAATCGCATGATATGTCATCACTACATATCTCATATAAAAGTTTTGATTATTCATAATCATGTTGGATGAGTCTTTACTTGTAATATTCTAACAATTGCATCTTGCATCGAATGAAAGTTTTTATTTCAAATGATATCCGCGCACGTGTTTCAATTACCTAAAAAAAAAAAAACAAAAAAAAAACAAAAAAAAAACATAAAACATTACCAGTAAGATGTTATATTAGGAAGATGTTGCCTTCCGCTGCCATAATTTGATTTGCTTCAGTCATGGTGTTGATGGCGGCGTTAATCTCGTCGTTTGTAAAATTCAAAGATTGTGTTGTGTTTAGATAACTGGTGACTTCTCTTAGTGGAATTGTCTGAATTCTTCGATCTTGGAACAATTTGTGAAGCGATGACTTGAAAATTGCAAATCTAAAAATTAAAGGAAAATTAATTTAGAATGCTGTTTCTTCAATCAATCTTTGCTTTTCTGTTTTATCACACATTAATAATAAAATAAAAATATAAAAATGGCAATATATTCAAAATATAAAGATACAAAAAATAAAAAATGGAGAAAGTTTTGATACATTATTCAAATAATGATTTTATAATTTCTCTTAAATTATTTTATTAATATAATTTTAAAACAAAAAAAATCAATTTCTTTTCGAATAAAATTACCTTTCCTGCGTGATTGTTGGCGTCGCCGTTTGTGGAGTGGATGTCTCCACGCTTTCCATAGTTTCCATAGTTTCCATAGTTTCTGGCGGCGTGCTAATCCTTTGCGACTGTGTCCTGGTTGTTCTTCTGGTTGTCACATCGAGAGCATCGTCGCTATCATATTCGTACGGATCATCTGAATCTTTTGTCTTTTTACTTCGTTTCGGCTGTCTACTCTCTTCAATATCGTCTGCATTCTCGGATGCATCGCTGTCACGACGTCGTCGCTTCTTTTTTTCTTTTTCCAGTACGCGCTTGAAATAGGCAAATTGCACCAGCTCTATTGCGGCGCGCGCATCTTCATCTTCAACGTTCTTCGAGAGCCGTGCTTTTGCATGCGCCGTCGCCAACCGGATCAAAGTCTCCAAAGTTCTCGCGGTTACCGGTTGAGTCTGAAAATTATGCAAAAAGAGATATCTGTATAATTTCTTTTTTAAGATTTTGATATGTGGCATCAATTGCAATCTTTCTTTTAGCTTATAGAAACAAAAGTATCAAGACTCACTCTCGCAACATCGTATTCCACCATATCTTCCGATCGAAGTTTCGAATATTCCTCTGCAATAACGGCGCTGGCTTCTTCTGTGAGCTTGGGTTTCATGCATCGTGCGATGTGAATGTACTTTCTCATGAACTGTATGGTGAGAATCTGATCCCTAGGAGAAATTCATATAAAAAATCTCTATATAATATCTTTACACAATCAGCATTTAGAATTAATCGAATAACTGTTAAAACAACTGTTAAAACAACTATTTAAAATAATATATAGATTGCATAATAATATATAGATTGCAGATTATATTTACTTTTTGGAACGCGTTTGTCCATGTAGAAGCGGATCGTATTTCTGATAAACTTGGGTCTGTGCCTCCTCGATAGCCACATCATCCGGATTCTTCGTGGTTAACATATCCAATTTAGAACCTAAACTCAAAGCTTCCCCATCTTGTTCTAGAGGATTTCTGTATCGATGCATCCTGACAACGTGATCACTGATTACATGATCCTGATCTGAATCGATCACATCTAGCATAACGAAGAGCAAATCGAAACGCGATAGCAGAGAATCCTGTAGGCCGATGTTCTCCATAGGTGTCTTGTACTGATCGTACTGAAAACAGAAAAAAAAACTTTCATTAGTTATAGTTATTAGATATTTCATTTTATTTATATCAATATTACTCCATTTATTTGTTATATATTAATCTAATTATTATGTTATTTTCTACATGGAAACAAATTTTAGTTTACAGAGATTTTTCTCTAAAGAAATAAATTTGATTCAAACTTATCTGAAACTTTCTATAAATGATAGAGAATCCTTTAAAAGTTTGAATTTTCTTATAATTATTTTTATGTTTTTTTCTTGAACTCTTCTTCAAAAGGATGCTACAAGAGTACAACTTACTCTTCCGTATACAGGATTCGCAGCTGCCAATACTGAACAACGAGCATTCAGACTGGCGTGAATGCCTGCTTTGGCAATCGTGATTCTGCCCTGCTCCATCACCTCGTGTATTGCTGTCCTGTCGATATCTGACATCTTGTCAAATTCGTCGATACAAATGACACCGCGATCCGCCAGCACCATCGCTCCTGCTTCTAGCCTACGCTCGCCAGTTTCCTGGTCAACCGTAACAGCCGCCGTCAGACCAACACCAGAGGATCCACGTCCGGTGGTCGGAATTGCCCGTGGAGCAGTACACAACACATAACGCAGTAGCTGTGACTTAGCCACTGATGGGTCTCCAATTAGCAACACGTTTATATCTCTAATGAAAATGTCCTGATTATTATTTCATGATCATTAATCAGTATTAAAGAGAAAAATTTTCATCAAAATTGTTATCAACTACAAATTTTTCTTTTTTCTTTTACTAAACTCAAAATTATAAACATTTCTGTAATATCAGATCTCTCAAATCAAATTTCTTAAAATCTATCAAAACTTATTAAAAAACAAGTTATCTATTTTTTTACCACATTTATTAATCACATTTTCAATATTCAAAGCATGAAGAACTTTGTAAAATCTTACCCTCTTAGCCTCGTACCGTTTGGCAAAATCTTTTCAACTCCGCCTAACAGAAGACATAAGATCGCCTTTTTAATGTATTCATGTCCATGTATAGATGGTGCAAGAGACTTTGCGAGAAGTTCGAAAATATTTTTACAGGGATTGTTTTTTGCCATTTTTTTGCACATGGCCACGTCGTCGTGGGAAATCGCGAGATTGGCTTCCTTGCTCAGTTGCATCACATTGTTGGCGATTAGAACAGTCCTGATTATATATAGATAATTATAGTGACAGAACACATTTAGATGAAAATAAAACGGATCCACAAGTTACAAATTGTAGAAATAATTCTCGATCTTCATCTAGGACATACTTAAAAGTGCCAGTCGTGTATCCGCCTTGTTTTCCAGGGAGACATCGATAATTTCCAACAATCTGTACTCGATCTCCGGGTTTGCACAAGTCCACCAAATCGTTATCACAGATTACGTCCACGCTTCGTGGTAGTTGTCCGGCTGGAGCTTTCTCTGGCATCTCCTGTATAGTGAGTGTTTGATGATCTTTGTAAGTGGACAAACCAAATTCTGTTTCCAGTGGATTGCCATCTTCATCCTACAATCAAAATGATAAGTTTCTCCGAGATTGATAAATAAATGTTTTTTTCTTATTTAAATAATGTAGAAAATTACAGTAGTTGGATAAATAGCGGAATGTGGAAAAGCATCCAAGGAAGTTAGATCCGAGTAGGCTCTTTCTAGAACTGTTTTGGTCACATCACAGTAATGAACGCTTCTTACAACTTTTGGTCGGACCAATGAACCTACAAACAATAATTTTGTTTTTATGAAAAGATAAATTTATGAATAAAAATATCACTTCGATATAAGTATATATTCAAATAAATGAAATCATTCAAAATTAAACAGATTTACATAAATTTAATAAATCTTGTGGAATAAAAGTTACATATAAATTTTTTTTCTGTAAGTACTCACATTTTGTGACAATACCCTCCAGGCATACCAAGTTACCCAGATAATGTGAGGTAAGTGTTCTTGGTGTAACATGTTTGTTTCCAAAGCTACCTTCAAAAGCTACGAAGAAATCTTTGTTGCTCTTGGCATACTCAATATCTATGCTCGAAATATATTGTTTTAGAGCATTTTGAAATGCCAATTGTTCCTCAAAAGAATTATTTAACAAGCTGTAACATATATTCATAATTCTTTTTAAAACTCTTCAAAACTATGATACAAGTTAATAAAAAAATGAATCTATCGTACCTTGCTGAACGTACAGGATTTTTCCTTCTCAAATCATTGATATTTACAACTAGTCTATATTTATTTTCCTGAACCATATTTTTAACCATCGTGGCATATATGCCTTGATCTTCCTGTAGACAAAATCAACATATAATATGATATAATACTTATAATTTGTCTTCCAATAAAATATAATTAAATTATTTATATATAAATTTAATTTTTTTATACAATCTTACAAGGTATTGTAAGAATTACAAAGAATCATGAAAGATACATTGTGTATAAATTAAATAAAATTAATAAAATTAAAATTTAAAAAATAGCCGGTATGAAAAAAAAGCATTGTATTGACAAGTGTCGATTATTAAAATATCTACCATGTCGTCCAAAAAATCAACATATTCACGCGTTATCTGCTCCAGATTCTGATCGATCTCCGTATCCATCTTAGCAACAATTAATTACAAAAGGCAATATTTATTACGCGAGATCTTATACGGGAAAAAATTTGAGGAAACTCGCAAAACTCTTTGAAAGCTACGCGAGCATGGCTCGGTTCTGTTTGCGCGGGAAAACGACAGATTAGCCATGTTAGCGTCTCGAAAAGTCACTAGCAGAGATCACGTGCCAATTTTTAGGGATTTATTTTTTTATACTGCATTGTAACGTTTTAAAAATGGCGATGGGATCTTGCGATGATGCTCAAGAAATTAGGTTAGATTAATATCCGTGAAGACGAACCACCGGGTCTCCGAAATCGAATTTTTCTTATAATCCTTGAAAGGACACACTATGGCGCAGAGCAGATTGGAAAAAGTTGGCACGATTTATACCAGGTGAGTGAAACGCACCCTTCGTAATCCTTATCGACAGAATTATTTTTGAATTTAGCGATTGTTTTTAAAGATACAGAGCAATTTTTTTTCCAAAAGTATATTTTATTATTTAAAAGGATATTTTATTAATTTTTAAGTGATATTTAATTAATTATTTAATTAATTATTTAATATATAAATTTTACTTGTAATTAATTGAATTAATTGAATTTTTGAATGTTATTTAATAATTCATTGTGTATATTTTTGTATATTTTGAAAATTAAATAATTAAATATATTTTGGAAAAAAATAATTAATAACATTTAAAGCTAATTTTTATTTTTATTTTGAACAATAATTACATATAATGGGAAAACAAATTTCAGAGTTATTTCACTACTAAAAGGCAAAGCTATGAAAGAGGAAGACAAACCATTATGGTTGGCAGTATATGAGGCTTTTCCTCCAAAATATGAACCTAGATTTGATAGACAATTGCCAAAGAAAAATATCAAAAATATTTTTTACAAAGAGGATCTTATTCGAGCGTAAGACTTTTTACTACATTACATTGAATAAGGTATTTATATCTCTCTATATATAAGTTATATTTGTTCTTGCAGAAGGTTCCTCAAAGATCAAGACTTCATACCAGCTATTAATTTAGCCAATGAAAGTGTCCCATCTGCAACACAAAATTTTCTATCTATATACAAAACAATAAAAGAGGTATGTACAGTAAATTATTCGATTTATTGATTCAATTGTTTAATATATTGTATTAAAAGTATATTGAATTTGTAGCAGGAAAAATTATCGGGCAATGAGACCTATAAAAAGGCAATGCAACAGTACACTTCTGAGGTAAAAACAAGAATGTTGAAGAAAGTAGAGACTAATACAGATAATAAACCATTTGATATATTTAAGTGATAGTAAAATATTTTTTTTCTGTAAATAAAAATTTTGTTATTTAATGGGTAGTAATATTTATATTAATTGAAATATGAATATCACCATATGTGTTGTGCTGAAGTAGAAATGATAATAGAGTTTTATTCAACAAGTTTGTATTTTGTGACAGTCAATACATTAAATAACAATAGATTTCTATAAAGTTACAACTTATGAGTATGAGATGATAATCATAATAATCTTCATGATGAGAGTAAACATGAATTTACAACTATGTGTTCCTAATGTGTCGAGATCAATCATAGAATTTTCTCTTATAATCGAATAATTATAAATCTTACACCATCAATCACTTGCCATATTCCGAGGCATACTTAATAATAATCTGGAAAGTATTATATAGGATAGATGTATAATTTTTTTCTCGTTTCTTCATAATAATTATCGTCTTAGAAAAAAGGGATACAAGCTGCGTTTATATATCACACTGTGGTTCGCTTCACGAGCTGCAGGTACAAGTAATTAAAAAAATAAGTATAAAACGTGCGCACGCACTGTATAAATTAAAGATATATATAACACGTTGAATTTTTACTAAATTTTGCATGTTTTGTCGTTTGCATGTTTATTCTATTTTACATAATTATTGTAATATCAATATTGTTCAAATGTTTGAGAATATTTTGTTTTACTTATTACAAGCATGTTCACTAATTTGGATATCACTGGTAAGCCTTTACGGCATTCAACATGTTAATGTATATAATATATATCGAACGCGCTGGTTTGGAAATGATGGAGAACAAGCCATACACACATTTATATATATCATTAGAAAGACTTGGTCGGTCTTGTCACATTTTCTAGAAATAATATATTCATCCAGCGCTTTAAATGTTATTTTTTTAAACTGTTTTACATCCGACGTATGTAAATATATTACACTCTGTTCACTTTCTTTTCTTATTATTATTACGATACTAATAAAAGATTCTGAAGAACGCTTAGTCTTAAGAGGCAAACATCTCTCGAGATAAAATTTCTATCAAATCTCTTTAAGAGCTACTTGCCATTTAACACAATTAGAGAGTATCGTTATTAAAAATAACTGCAATAGTTTTCGATATTTTACGTTTTTTTTTTTTTTCGCTGAGTACCTTGTATCACATTGATTACGCGCTTGGGATAACACTAACCATTTCTCTGTAATTAAATCATAAGTGAAAATTTAATGATTTAATTGAGCAAAATGCTTCTAACATGTGTGTGTATATGTATAATCTCGTGTCTAATAACGCATTGCTGATATATTTATATAAAATGTGTCCCACAATAATCTTAATTAGACTTGTAAATCTTTACGTATATCGATTAGATTCGAAAGATATTTTACACGTGATCCAACTAAATCAAAGAAATATATGAGTATACATATGATATTGTATTTTTATCGATTCAGGATTGTGAATTTTACATCAGTAAAACACAAATCTCGATGTGAATATTAAATTAATTGATAGCATCAAAAAATATCTAAAAACTCAGATCCAAGAGCTCAGATAATAATATCAAGAATAATGAAGGATGTTTTTCTTTCATTTCTATCTTACTGCGATATAAGTTACATTAATATTGGACTCTTTCCTTTATTATTTAAAAAGCATTATATAAATATTCAAATATCAAGAGTGGTAACATCTGACTATACTTATGCAAACGAAAACATACTTTATTAGAGTATCAATTCTATGGATCTTTAAGATTTGGTTTTATACAAAATAAGATTCCCAGATAGCCAACTATCTATGACATTTCTGTCATGTTACTAATAAATATTGATAATAATATAATTGTTGACGATACGATATGATTAATCACATTAATTAACATGACATCAATATGATTAATCAATATGATTAATCACACTTGGTTATCTGGATTAATTCTCTTTCTCTCTCTTATACTCTTGACGCGATCATTTCTGCAACCTGGACTATAGAATTAGCTTGTAACGCGATACATAAGATATTTTGTTAATAAGCGTGCTTTGAGAAAAATCGAGTATTGAAACTTGCAATATTATTATCTTGTTCAAATTCTGAGACGGTTTTTTCCTCAAGCGCGCTTATTCGCACCACGAATGCCTGTTATATACTAGGTACTATATATTGTTGGACGTATAAGATTCACCCGAGCGCAGAGGGACTCGTTTATAAACTTCGCATCACGTAAATGCTTCATTACTTAAATGTCGAAGAGAGAAGAGAGTCTGAATAAAACCTCATCGCTCTTCTCCAAATGTCTACATTGGCACCGACCAAACCTTGCAACCTTTTTCTGCCGGTATTCATTGGAAGAAAGTTGGACTGTTCTATATCTTTCTCACCGCGCATTCAGCATTCAATGTAATCAGGTGTTGCTATACGAGATAAACGAAACTTGGAGTCGAAGCGTTGAACGCGAGCGAGAACGCAAACGTTAAGATCTTCGGAAGAATCAAGCCGACGACCAGTTCTCCGATCGCCACAGCAAGGTATACATGCCGTGCCTGAGTTCCTCATTCTCCAGACTCTTCAGCGGGAAGTCGGTATATCGCGCGATCAGACTGCGATAGCCTTGGCCAACGGTTGCCAGTAATGCCTTCTTCTTGTCGGTGGATTTGAGGGACACGATCTGGCAAACCTTGCCCTCGAACGGCCGGAACACGGTGATGGGTCGCAGAGTGCCGCACTCGGCGACGACGATGCAGCCCCAGGTGGTGCCGATGTACAACTGACCGGAGTTGGCCTCGAGCGCGGTCACCTGACACTTGTCTGTCGACAGGTTCTCCTCGATAGAGATAGACTTGAGACTCTCGGAGCACGGCACTAGTTTAGACATGTCGAGCTTATTGACGATTTGTCGGCTGTCCACGTCCCACTGGTACACCACGCAACCAGGATAGGTGTACGAAAAGACAAAGTTTTCGGCGATCGCGCCGGTCAGATACGTAGCGAAGAGATTCTTCATGGCGACGTCGCTGGCAGTCCCGGTGGAGTGAGACAACTGTACCGTGTCGACCAAGTTGGCGTCCTTCAGCGTATAGACAGATATCTGGCCGAAGCTCTGGCCAGCCCAGAGTTCCAACACGCGTCTCTTCCGACAGACCGCCGTCAGCGAGTAAGTTTTGACATCATTCCCATGACGTGTCACTTCTGTCACGCCGCCACTGCCGGTGACCTCGGTCTTCTTCATCTGCGTGAATGAGTTAGACAGCAGGAAGATGCGACCACTATGCAACGCCACAGCGAACTGCTTCAATTGCTCTAAATGGATCAGTCCGACTACTTTGGATTCTCTGCTGTGATCCGCCTCGAGGTTGTAGCTGGCCACGCAGCCAAAATTGCCGCACAGGTAGACGTGCACCTGGCCGGCGTTATCGCCGATCCAGATGTAGCCATCCACGCCGTACATGGCGTACGGTATTACTGGCGTCTCAATACGCACGTGACGCAGCCAACCCTTTTGAGTGCCCAGCAGCATGTCCACCTCGCCGTTGTTGTGGCCGAACCAGATCTCATCGCCGTTCAAGCTGTCTGCCTCGCTATTCGAGCCATTGCCGGCTCGATTTGTCATGGTAACGGCTGTTACTTGCGTGCGCTCTGTTAGCAAGGTAACATCTATCAGATGCGTAAACTCGGGCGCGGAAGCGATCGAAACGATCTGACTAGCTGTCGGCCGATCTTTTGGATTTTGCGCCCAGCATATTACCATCAGATCAAGCGCGTAACACGGATGGAGAGTTTCACGGTACATGATCGGTGGTCTACCGCCTTCCAGAATGCATTCCTTCACTGCCTCGTGACCCTCGAACGGTTGGCGCAGTGTAATCAGTTCGTAGATGAACATGCCGAATGAGAACGAGTCCACCTTCTCTGTGTATTCCTCCTCGCCATTGTATTTGATGATCTCAGGCGCCATGAAACCTTCCGTGCCTCCGAAACCCTTTGCTCCCGTGGGAAGTGTCAATCTTGAAATCCCATAATCGGCGACTTTGACGTGCACCGGTTCCAAACTCTCCTGAAATGGCAACGGTATTTGCCACACTAGCACGTTCTCCGATTTCAGATCGCGATAAATGACGTGTTGCTGATGCAGATACTCCACCGCTTTGGCAACCTGTAAGATTATTGCCTGCAGCGTATAGGGATCCAGTTTAGCACCAGAACGACGATAATTCTTCAAGACGCCATCTAGCGCGCCCTGAGGAGCAAGATCCAGCACCAGAGCCAACGGACTGACGACTATGCCAATTAATGGCACGATATTAGCGTGTCTGAGAGTCAGCAAGATGTTGAGCTCCTGACGCGCCATGCAATAAGCCTTGCAGGCGTATTGCAACGGATCGCGATCCCATTTGCTCTGCGATGCTTTATAGGCGAGGATCGCCGACTGTGTCGAGTTCGGACCCGGCGAAACTGGTTGCAGCATCTTAATGGCCACGTCGGCGCGAATGTGCGTGCTCGGTAACCGGCAGCTGCCGCGAAAGACGAAACCAAAAGCGCCGCGACCTAGCAGCTTGCCTCGCTTTAGGTCCTCAGATTTAATCAGGTGCTTAGCGCCCAGGTCCATGAAAATGATATCTGGAGCGACATGCGACAAGGGAATCTCCGAGTGCCTCGGGCAGCTGATAGATTTGTTACTGTACGCTGCCAATATGCATTCTTCCACCATCCAAGAGTATGCGAGGATACCTTCGGGATGTGAGGAAGGAGTCTGTTGTCTCGATACGTCTGGATGGCCTTCGAGCGATGGCATTCTGCTGGATGTTAAACTATCATAGCCGACACCACTGTCGCCGTCGGATTTGTAGCTGTCTTGGCTTTGCCTTTCGCTGCGATTTACAGCGCAATACTTTTGGATGTCTTCGATAAGCCGACCATCGCTATCGTTGGATTCGATGTCGCTGCTGTCAGTATTGTCGAGCAAACAGCGCGGACACGGTATAAGTCTAGTGACTAGTAATTTACCTTCTGATGTGTGAACAAAGCGTGTGCCCAGCGTAGGATACCAATCTTCGAGAAGGATGTCGATATGATCGACAATCAATGCCATTAGTTGGGGCATACTTTCCAGCCGCGGTTCTACTACGATTGCCTGGTAACCCATTGGTTCTTCATCTACAGAATCGGACATGATAGGTTGCTTAATCACTAGAGTATCCACTGGGAACCAAATTTCGAGGATGGCGGAATTTCGCAGATCCACCGTGCACCAAATCCCATCTTGTTTAAGCTTGAATTTGAACTGCCTGTAGTCGTATGGTGAATTCTTCAGATTATAATAAACCTCCTTCAGACGCAACAATGTAATGCCCGAATATCGTAGCTCGATTCCTGTTTGCCATAGCACCCACTCGGCCTGTAAGTCTAGTAAACTGGCGAAGATGTTGTCGTCGACAAAATCCTTGAACGGCGCCAGAAATGACATGACGATCTCGACAATAGCATCGTCAGCGAGAATTCGAGTAATCAGTCGGGACCAGAAGCCGCTAGGAAAGTATGACATGAGTAACAGCCTGGTAACGGAACAATCGGGCTGCGACCTCGATGTAAGTACACACTCAGCGTTGTTCTTATCGCTGGATGGCGCGCCTAGGCATGTAAATGTGGGCGACGTGATCTTCTTAGCGCGTACGTGCCAACCGCGCGTCTTTACTGGTACTTTAATGATTTGATTATTGCGCAGAATATCTTCCTCAGTCGGTAGAAGAGATGGTATTAGCAACGTACGGCAATCCCATGTCAGTGCAACTTCGAATTTATTGAGCAGACTGACAATATAGCCCTGTGTATCGATCGACGATATCGTAGAGGATTTGAAGACGTGCTGGATATCATCTAATTTCATTATACCAGATCTGGCGAATGGATTAATCTCTCGTATAGTTACTACATGAGCGAGCATGTCGCAGAGCCATTGTGGATCCAAAAAATAGAGATCTTTCAGCGTAGCATCATCGTAATGCAAGATTATACCATTTTCGTGGAGAAACAGCGTCGCCTGATGCAGCTCGGCAGGATCTCTAAATGATCTGTGTAATTTTTGAAGTTCATTGTTGACTGCCGCGTAATATTGGTCAGCTTTTAACACTGGATCTAGGCCGGATAACTTCCTGTCATGCGCCAGTTGGATTACCACGTCCTCTAGAGCGAGATAACTAGCTGGAACCTTCTGTTCTAGTAACAATTCCTTGCTGCCGGGCGATCTCAGGCTGAAGACAACGTCGTAAATAAGATTGCAAAGCATCTTGATATTGTGGCGTGTTTTACAGCTCACTTCAATCGTTTCCATGACCTTGGGCAGGCCACATTTCTCAGCATCGACCACATTAATAAACTTGTCGCGAATATATTGCTGTAGACCCTCACTATGTTCGTAGAAAATGTCATAGTGAGTGCCAATAATAATGACCGGTGAGTTGGGCGCTCTACTCTGAATGTTCACTAACCATTGAAAGATCTCGGATACGCCCTTGAAACCGTCTGTGATCCGCCATACGACCAGATAGAGACTGCGCTTTGACAGGAAATATTGATGCGTTGCATAGTACTCGCGCTGGCCACCAAAATCCCAGGTCCTGAAATAGACTGGACCATGAGACGATTGTCCACGTACTTTCTTCTCATAGAGCCAATCGCCGATATCCACACCTACTGTCGAAATCGTCGTGCCCTTAGCAGTCTTTGCATTAATGTTCTTGTTACCCATTCGTTTGGCCCAATGTTCGGATGCCTTCTTCTTATTCGGCACCTCACCTTCCTGCCGCAACTGTTCCAGCAAACTTGTCTTGCCGATCCCTTGGATACCGACAATCATCAATTTCATACGCGCGTATGCCTTGGCGTCTTCCAAGATTGACTTCAGGTAACCGATCACATCCATCGTCTTGTATTTTTTTGACTCGATCATCGACTTCAGCGGCTCCTGTAACCGGCAACCCTGTGTGTTCAGGTTCCATAGACGTCCCAATAAACCCATCTGCGGCGGCAACTCGACGATCTCATTGTTGCCACTGATGTTCAATACCGACAAATTGCTAAGCTCGTAAATGTTGTGGGGTATATCGCGTAATTGATTATTACTAACGTCCAGCATACTGACATTGGGAAAGAGTAGGTACGATTTGGAGCTGGAATGTCCGATTCCTTTTGAATCCTTGTCCGAGTCGCTTCGTTCTTCTTCTAAACTAGGCATCTCGCCGTCATCGCACGATGTTAACTGAATGCGATTCAATAGATTGTTCGCTAGAATCAGCGTACGCATATTTTCTAACCGTAGATGCCGTCTATGCACGCACACCGACTGCAGCACAATGTCGCGCATCGACGTAGGTGTTTGCCGATTGCCGGGCACGATGCTGGGCGATTGCGCATTGACAGCTGGACAGTAGCAGGCCGTATTCGCCTGTTCCATGCTGTCGGAACTGTCGACCTGCGGCAAACTCGGCCATCGCGTAATCTGATTATTCGACAAATCTAGTTGTTTCAGGCTCGCTGGATACGAGGTGATGTGGCTCATCGATCGCAGAGAGTTGTACGCCATGTTCAATCGCACTAAGCTTACTGCCAGACATGGTAACGCCACGGGAATGCTGTTGAAGAGATTGTGTGCCAGATTCAACGATGTCAAAACTGATTTGTTGCCATTCTCCGTGTCATCGCTCATTCTTTCTGATACTTGAACTGAACTGGTCCATACATGCGGCCGTTCCATCTCGATCACCTGCGCGTTCGCGATCTTTGTGAAAGAATCGAATTCCATGGACTCTATCCGTGGTACAACGGCCAGTCCACGAAAGTTAATTTGTTGCGTCTCCTCGCAACTACGCTGCGACTTCCTCAGGACATTCTGCGAAGCTTGACTGGGTAGGTCGCGCAATAGATTAAACGACGCGTTCAGTTCCTTGAGTTTGGGCGCGCGCCACAGATTCTGCGGCAGGCACTGCAACTTGTTGTTGGACACATCCATAATCTCGAGGGCTGGAAGATTCATAATGAATTCGGGTAGTTGCTCCAATCGATTATCCTGGAGATACATCTCCTCCAGAACCGGGCACAACTTGTCCTTTGGGTTCTTCGAGTCGGCCGTGAGAGTGTCGATCTTGTTCTGTGCCATGTTGAGATAACGCAGACTTTGCAAGTAGAACATAGCAGACGGCACGGAAGTTATGGAGTTGTGGGAGATATCGACTCGTGTAATGGCATATAGTACCAGATCGTTATTCTTTGGACTCAGTTTCTTGTTGACGTGCAGCACCGCGTCGATTAGCCATTGTAATCGGATTTGAGAGAGACGACATTGTTGATTATGCCAGTTGATCATCGTAGGCGTTTTCGGAAACAGCGTGGAATAAGTGACATGGCCGAAAGACGACAAGGCGGAGAAATGCGAGCTTTGTGTGCACTCGGTCATCGCTTTTTTGTTGATTTTGTACTCGGAGTCCGGATGCGCCTTAATCGATAGCAATTTTGCAGTCAATGTCTCGTCGCGATTCTGTGCAGCAATCTTTAGCGCCTTGCACTCATTGTCTACGGCGCCATGCTTCAGCAGCAAATCCGCGATCTTTACGTCACGATTTTGACACGCTATCGTCAACACGCTCGAATAACTACCTTCGGGATCGTTCTGATCATACAGAACTTTGACAGGCAATTCCAAATTAGCGCCAGCTTGAAGGAGAGCGTTTACCACCTCGGCATGTCGACCTCTAACAGCCGCATGCAATGCCGTTTCGCTGCCATTGTTGCAATAAAGATCCAGATTCACCGGATATATCATTTTATCATCCTTCTTGTCCATGGGCGTTTTGCTTCGAAAATTCAAAGATGACATCAGTCTCTGGATACCGCTGGAGATTTTGCGCTTCGATACTGGGAGTTGCTGCGCGCCTCCCACACCATCCTCCTCCTTTGTGGTTCTCGCTTTCACCCGATAACCCAACAGCAATTCGACGCACTTGACATTACCCAGCATGCTGGCTATATAGAGCGCATGCTGGCCAGTAACGTCTTGCGCATTGATATCGAACGGCAGATCGTACTCGAACTCGCCGGACGGGTCCCTATAGCGCTGATAGACATGTTGCGGATATTCGAACTTAAGCAAGGCGTCGATTACCGAATGATGACCGTTTATCGTGGCCGCGTGTATCGGCAGCCAACGCTCCACTGTCAGCTGCTGCACCTGCTTGGGAAAATGTCGGAGCAGCAAGTCGACAATCTCCACCTTGCCGTGATAACACGCTATGTAGAGTGGACAGTATTTGGTGACCGGATGAATCCTGCAGTCGACGCCGTGATCCAACAACAATCGAACGATGTCCTTATGACCGCTCTCGCAGGCGACGAAGAGCAGAGTGTTGGCACCGTTAGGCGCCATGTTTATCACGCACTCTAGATCGGTCGACAAACCCTGGATGATGCTGCGGGCAGCCACAGTGTCGCCCTGGATACAAGCTGCGCGTAAGGAAGCGTGGGTCGCCTGTTTCGCCAGTTCATACTGTTCGGCCGCCGCTTTTAGAAGATGAATGCAAGAGTCATGCTTGCCTTTCTCGGCGACGTCGAGCGGCTGCAGGCCGTCGTCGTCGCGGATCATGAGATCCGCTTTGAAGCTCAGCAGTCTTTCCACGTTGCCGGCATGACCGTGTTCCGCACACACGTGCAGCGGCGTCCGATGGTGGCCGCGAGGACCACAGACGACGTTCGGATCGGCTCCGGCGGTCAGCAGGACGTCCAGACAACGGGAGTTCTCCGTGATCGCGGCCGCGTGCATAGGCGTCCTACCCCACGAGTCCTTGCTGTTAATGTACTGCGCGTGCTCGCCACGCAGCAGATCCTCCAGCAGCTCCGCATTGTCCCAGAGCGCGGCCTGGTGTAGCAGTCGGCCCGGAAAGTCCTCGTCGATCGGCGTGTAATCCTCCATGTCCACGAGATGTCTGCGACATATACATGTTAATCAGACAGAAAGACTGGTAAAATATGAAATATTTAAAGACGCTTATTTTTTATACAATATGTAATATATTAATATTAATATAGTATATATCATTAATATACAGAGTGTTTTAGACCACCCATTTAAAAACTAGAAGAAGTGGTTATTTCAAAAAAGTAAAAACATTTTCTTTACAAATCGGGTGCGCTCTATCGAATGGTGATATTTTCAACTTCTGGTTCCGGCCGGATATAGGCAATTCAGACCGGAAGTGCATTTTTTAAATGGAACCCCCTATTTTTCATTGCATATTCTTAGCTGCATATTCTGTAGCTTACCTCGAGAGCTTTCCAAAACACTATAATAAATTATTTTTCCATGAAGTACTTTTCGAGTTATGAGGCTTGAAATCATTTCTTAATTTTACATAAACTATAAAATATCTTGTAAAATATTCATTTTTTGATTATCTTACCTTAATACTTTTATGTACAAAATAATGAGAGGAATCAATTGGTGTAAAGAAAACACATAGTTGTTTCTAAGAAAAAATATGTAATTTGCAATTAACAATTCCATATTTTTTCTTAAAAACAACTGTATGTTTTCTTTACACCAATTGATTCCTCTCATTATTTTGTACATAAAAATATTAAAGTAAGATAATCGAAAAATGAATATTTTACGAGATATTTTACGGTTTATGTAAAATTAAGAAATAATTTCAAGCCTCAATTCGAAAAGTACTTCATGGAAAAATAAAAGCCTTAACTCGAAAACTTCATGGAAAAATAATTTATTATAGTGTTTGAAACACCCTGTATACTATATTATTAGTAATATATTCATAATAATATATTAATATAGATATTATTAATATTAATATATTATAAATATATATATAAATATTTTTTAAATAATATATTTGCTAAGAGGAAGAATTTTTCCTTCATAGAATAATGAATAGAGTCGATTTGACTTTTATATAAATGCAATCATGATTTTACTTGTGCACATATGCAATTGCACATTTTTAAAAATGTAATCATGTTTTTCTTTTATATCGATCAATTTTATTTTATTATTTAACTTTACATAAAATGCCAGTTATTTTCAGTATAGAAATATAAAGGTACAAAAAAGCATGACGAAAGATTAATGCTTTACGAGATATTACATATTTTATGTCGTGCAACTTATGTGTGTGTAAATTTATGCATATGTATATGCATATATACACACACACAGACGCACACATGTACATATATAAAATACTTACAAGTTTGTTTACCACCTCGTTACATAATTTCCAGTGTCAATATCATTTCTTCTAGCTTTATTGCTTCCTCTGGAATGACTTCTACAATGCATCAATTGCAGTGTAATATATATATATGTACCGTCTCATTATCAATGTATTTACACAAATATTTTTTAATCCTATACATTTACCTCGACAACATGGTGCGAATTAATGTAATCAAGCTTCCCCTTTCATATGAGATTTTTAATTCGAATTCAATGAGGTTCCATAAGAGTTATAGCTGTAATTTAAACAAGATTTCGACTCATTTGACTCGCTTGAATTGTTCTTGTATTTTCTCATTGACATGTGTGTATATGATATAAAATATATATTTAATCTACATAAAAGGAATTAAATAATTTGCTGTTTATAAAAAATATATACATATATAAATAGTTTCACACATATACTTATATACATATATAAGTAGTTTTTCATATATAATTTTTATATATAATCCCTTTATATTTGATTAAAAAGGAAAATCAATATATAACATACATAAGAACGCTTATCGGTTGAACGATCAAATTAATACATTTAATAAAAGTAAAAATAAAAATTTCTGATAAAAATATATATAAAAATATAAAAAATATCTCTAATAAAAAAATAAATAAATAAAAATACTTATTTTTCATAACTTTTTTGTAAATAATCAAAATAATAAAAGGTCACATTTCTCTTCTAAAAAGGAAATAATGAAAGTACATTTATTTACATTTTATTAATTCGTATCTCTTCGTATTTCTTAACGTAAATTATTATTAAATTTATTATTCTTTTTAAAATAATAGTTGCATTTCAATTCCGGAATTTCTTTTTTTCAATTGTTTACAATTGTAACTTTCATTTCGAAAGTTTTATTTCCATAGAGACAAGGAAAGCAAAATCGTTTACGTAATTTCGAATTGTGATCATTTTCAAATGACGCTAGGTATCAAGTTCGCTATCTATTTCACGCGCACGCGTAAATATACGCTTGCACGCACGTTTCGTGACAGAGAGCTGTCACGACAGAGTTCTTAACCTCCATGTTTAATTGTTCGTGCGTCTCGGGGGAAAAAATGAAAGCGAAAGAGGTATCGCAATTAAGTGAATGAGAAATCTTACGCGTCGAGTGTATAAATTTCTCATTTTTTTTCCTCGCTATCTCTCTTTATATATTTTTCTATTTTTTTCACGGAAATTGTCGGAGCACGAAAATATAATCACTGAATTGTTAAAAATTCGTTTATTAAAAATCTACGATTGTTTTTGAGTAAACTACACGTTACGTGCCTTGTCTCGCTCAATGTGACATCGCAGAAAATTTCTCTTCGAAAATAAAATCTCTCTTCTCAATATCAAAATTATCAATTAATTAATTAAGCTGAATTTTCTATTGTGGCTCTTTCTCTCTCTTGCATCATTTCTCAGAAACACCCCATTAATTCAATATTCGCGGTTTGTGCTCCGGGGTCTCGTTTACCTTTGCCAGAGTTTACATTAGCGGGAGCATCTCGGTGGAATCAGCGTCAATGCCGAAGCGTCACTCGAGCGATAATTTTCGCGCGTATCGCCAGAAACGGGGACTCGCATCGTAATTAATCGTCTCAGATCGCGATGACACTTGCCGTCACGCGAAGACGAAGCACCATTGCGATCTCGCGCGGCACTACTGACTACTGACAGATTACGGAAAGTCACGGAGCCGGGTAGCAAACAGAATCACTTGACAGCCCACTTGCGCGTAACTGCATGCACAGATGACATACGGAGAAAGTAGATAGTTAACTTATATTCCGCCTTGGACCATAATAATTCTGTCCAATGCTGGCGATTTCTATAAATGGTGATGTTGTATACTTTTGTCGTATGATTGGCTATCGACTAGGGAATTTTTAAGATTCCCACAGATTTCTGCATTTCGTAACCAATTAGATACGTCCGTTCAAACTTATCACGATAAAATATTAGTCAAGTTTTTCTCACGAAAGGCATATCTATATATTTATAGTTTAAGGCTGATGAAAAAAGGGGGAGAAGATACGCTACAGTCAAAATACATGTTCGATTACGTTCTCTTGTTAAAGAAATTTGGAAGAAGAAAAGAATAAAAAAAGAGATATTGTAATATTGTATTTGATAGTGAATAGGAATCCATAAAAGAAAAAGCAAGAGATATACCTGATACGTGTTGTAAATAAACGAGGTGTACCTTCGATTTGTTGATTGTGATATGATGATGCCTGGAAAAACTCCAGTACAAGGTAAGGATCAATCTCTCTCAACTATAACTAATACGGAATACTTGATATAAATATACGAAATAATCGTTTTATCGGTGAGGAAATGTGATTATCATGTATATTCATCCTTAATATGATTAATACTTCATAATTTTTATTTCGGTTTTCAGAAAATCCTTTAGGCCTATCCTGGCATGACAGTGCTTGGATTCCTGTCCTTAATCCAAGTAACATCATGGATTACTTTTCCGAAAGGAGTAATCCATTTTACGACAGAACTTGCAATAATGAGATAGTCAAGATGCAGCGTTTGAGCCCTGATCAACTGAAGTGAGTGTCAATTGATTTTCCTGTTAAATATGAATATATATCGTTAAATCATGTTGTAAAAATATTTATTGAATCTATTGTTTTATTTTTGTAGTAATATGACTGGCTTGGAATATATTCTTCTGCATGTGCAGGAGCCTATCTTATATGTGATTAGAAAACAACACAGACATTCACCAACTGTTGCTTCACCAGTTGCTGATTATTACATTATAGCTGGTGTTGTGTATCAGGCTCCAGATTTAGGATCTGTTGTGAGTTCTAGATTGGTGAGTAACAAAATATATTAATAAAAATATCAAAATTATATTTTTTGAAATTTTGTATGACATTAATTTTGACATGCATTTTACATATATATTTTTAATTTAATGTGTTTTTGTAATATAGTATTATAGTATTTGTCAATTATTATATGTAAGAAATATATATGTATCAATTGTGCAGTTATCCACGGTTCATCATCTGCAATCTGCCTTCGAAGAAGCCAGTAACTGTTCGCGATATCATCCCAGTAAGGGTTATTTTTGGGATTTCAAGAATGGCAAAGCTTTGGCCACAAAGAAAGAAACGCCAGTACGTGAGGAACCTAGCTCATTATTTCAACGGCAGAGAGTGGATATGTTACTTACGGAGCTTACTCGTAAATTCCCTTTACCAGTGCCAAAACCAGTGCATCAGGCAACAGAAGTTTGTATGTATCTCATTTATCTTTTTTCTATTTTATATATTAATACTTTATTTAATATTATCGATTTTAATTGTTTCAGCAACAGAGATTAAGCAAGAAGTGAAGACTGAGAAGAAAGACATGAAACCACCACCAGAAAAGAAACCTAGAGTTTCTTAATAAAGATAGAGAGATTGTTAAGAAATTTGTATAAAATTTTGCTAATTTGTAAGATACTAATGTGAGAAAAAAAGTGTGTCATTTATACATACACGTACAAATATCTTATTAGATATATATTCTTTAAGATAATAATATATTTATCATTAGATCATACGATTTATTGCCATATTTTAATTAGAAATATTTAATAATTATATTTAAAAGAAAAAAATTTAGTATTCACACGCACTTTACATTCGTACTTCAAAATTGCAAATCTACATTATTTTTATTTCTTGTGATAGTGATATGAATATTCAAATTAATCAAAACTTTTCTTCCCGATTTTCATCGATTCAGAATACACTTTCTTGAATTTGTATTTATCTCTAAATTTGTCCTTTTCATTGCAAGGAGTTGGAATGATATATTAATATTTTTTTAACTGATCTAATCTTATGTATCAGATATAATTTGTTGTCGAAAATTTAGCAAAATCTAATAATGACATTTTATAGTATCTCAGTTTCTTAGAAAAAATATTCAACTTCATCTCGCAAATGTTTTATTAAAAAAAAATAAGCAATTGATGATGTAACTTGAAATTATTATGCACATTGGCAATTGGATTTGACACAGGCGTATTTTATACTTGATTACTGTTAAATTTATGATCTGATAGACTATATGTGATGCCAGAAATAGCTATATTTTTAAAATTAAATCACAGCAGAATGCAAATTATAGTATCGACTAAATTGTTGAATTTATATATATATACATATATATATATATATATATATATATATATATATGTATATATATATAATTATTTAATTAGATTATAAATTAATATATAATTATACATATAAATTATATCATAAATAATTGAACTTATAATTAATTATATAATATTAGATTATGTATAACAGTAAAAAAATCTTTTATATTTTCTCTATCTTCTCTATCTTTGCGTGATACATTTTGTATCATGCAAACACGCGCTCATTTCGTTTTAGATACAAAAAATTTTTTATTATTATACATTTTATAATTTATAATTAATATTATTATAATTAGTTAATGTAATATTATACATATAACTAATTATAACTTCAATTATTTATGTGTATAATTTATATGTATAATTATATATTTAATTTATAATATAATTAAATAATTATAATTATATAATATTACATATATATAATAATATAATTAAATCATATATTATCGATTATAATTTCTTATATCATTTTTATATCATTTGCAGAAGATCATAGCAGAAGATAGCGTAAAAATACAAATAGGAAGAACAAATTGAAGGGATAAAGATAATAAACTTTCGACGTAAAAGACGATCGCGCTGTTCATTTTATAATATGATGATTCAGCCGTACCTTCAGCCGCCTTCGGCAAATTTTATCCTACAAAAAATGATCTCTTTAAATCTTCCTTCGCGAACATCGCGAGAAGTTATTTTATACAGCATAAAAAATGATATGCGATACGCATACATGCGTCGGTTGTCAGTATCTGGAGCAGGACGAGCAGACGACGAGTCTCGCGGTTTTCCTGGCCAATTGTCAACATGCGAAATGTAAGGTGGTTCGCCTGGTCCGTCAGCAAATGAGTAAACTACAGAACATGCAGGTACGAATCTCCGGGTATTTCCGTAATTGGATGTTATTGATTCCCTCCGAAAGCCCCTGGCAGTGTTAAAATTATCCTTTACACTGTTTGGAGAACGTCATTCGTGCTCTCTCTCTCTCCCCCTTTGTTTTAAGATACATCCTGCCGAACGGGCGTTTGCGAAGGCATGTTGATTTTGCCTTTGCATTCGATGATTCGAAGCGTCTCGTAATTGATAGTGTAATATTTAGGAAAGAGGAATTGTATCTGAAAACAAATTATATATATTGTATTATGAAAAAGAAAATTAAAAGGAAGATATCCTCCGAACTTTACAAGAAAAATATAATTTTTTTTAAAGACGGGGAAAGAATGCTGAAAACTTTTTATCGTTATATATTTATAATTGTTTAAATACTGTAATATAATGCACTATAAAAGCTTATTCATTTCTTATGTTTACTATAAGAAATGAATAAGCTTTTGTAATGCATTATATTACAGTATTTAAACAAACCTAACTATAACAAACTTTAATATAATATTATTTTTTTTTATAATGATAGAATGTAATAGAGAAATTATTCGCTTTTCGACAACTTTCTTGCATTTCTTCGCCTCTTTTTTACATTTATTTTAATATACTATAAAAAAATTTGCAATAAAAACCACTTGTATGTTTATATATATAATCTCATTTTAATTAGAAAAATATTTAAGATTCACAAACGAAATCCACGACGATTTGACGACAGTAAAAGTGTAAAAAAAATTATAATTTCCTATCCAAAATTTCTCCAATTTTTTTCGTTTTTTATCACATGAACAATAATTTTATATACGTAAAAAAATCATATGCAGCACGAACGCTACCTGGTCATTAGCAAAGCACGTGATGAGGTATGCGAAGAGACTCGTAGCGAAATGCCTGTTAACATGAGCGAAGTATCTTACGATGAAGTCCGCGAAATATATGATGAAATGCACGAGATGCCACACGACGATGAAATATACGAAGAAGGCAAAACACGGCAACCGTATGATGAAGAGTACGATGGAGTATACGAAACGCATAAGGCAGTTACAGTTGCAAACCGGACTGTCGAAAAGATAAACGCGAATGTAGAGGTAGATTTCTCTTTTATTATTAATCGGTTTAATCAATCGTTTTCTTTTTTATACAATGAAAAATTATGACAATAATATAACAATAATAATGTTTTATACTCGTATTATTATAATTATAAAACATTATTATAAACATTATTAAAATCTATTAATCGATTTAATCAATCATATTGCTTTCTTTTTTATACATTACAAAATTATTATAATATATTATAACAATAATATTGTATAATTATTATAACATTTTATAATTATAAAAAATTACTATAATATAATATAATTCTAAAAGATACTATAATTATAATTCTAAAAGATTATGTAATATATTATAATTATATATAATTATATTATAATTATATTCCACTTATATTATAATTATATATCATAGAAAAGAGACTAGTATTGTACAAAAATTACCTTCTTCTTTAAGTAATTAAAATGATTATACATAACCGGATATTCTCTGATAACCGCGCATCTTTGTAGTTCACATCCTTGCATCGTGCGACGTCTCTCAGAGGAGCGTTGATAGACCGCAAGTGGGTGCTGAGAATTTTAGATCGTTTTCGTCATCGAGCATATCTGATACTGGTGGCCGCTGCGGTTGGCGTAATAGTCTGGTCCGCTCTGGTATACGGGGTCTTCCTGGGTGCGACTGCTTGCGGAAGCAGTCGTACCTGCTTCGCGTCGACTCTTAGATACAAGCATGCCAAACGCTCTTTATTTTAAATCGCATGCTGTTCCTCTGGTGGTAGGAATACCAATATTATATTTTTTTATTTTATATTCATATCATATTTACCAAATTATATACGATACAAGATTTGTTAAATGTCGCTTTTGTCTTATCGTTAGAGACAAAACTCAAAGTTTCAAGTATATTTGATATGATACATATACACGTACATGCGTATGTCCTCTATAAATATTCCTTTATAAATATTGAATAAATATATATTTTTTTCCGATAAAAGATTCTTTAATATTTATTCCTCTCCACAAGGAGAGAGCTAAATTATATATATAAAATATAAATAAATATTATATTCAAATATATTTTCATATGTGATACACAAAGATATTTATTTTTAAAAAAATAAATATTTATTTTATTTTTTGAAGTCCATATATAACTGTTATAATACGAATCTAAGAAAATATGGCTAGACTATTTTATTAAATTAAAGAGTAAGTTAATTCTAGATTGTGTGCATAATTATAACAAACTATAATAAGAAATTATTTCTGAAGTGATAGAAAATTTATTTGGAACATGTCTCACACATATATACACACCAATAATATATCACTTATCAAGATAGAGCAGATATGCAAATTAAGAGATGTTAATGAATTGAAAATAAAAATCTAGAGGACAAAAATATAAATATAAATGATTTTGCGTTATGTGAAGGTATAAATATTTTTGTTTTAAATATACAAAATCTATTTAGCAATGCAAGGATGAATTAAAGCAATATATAAAGCGAGAGAGAATAGGATATGATGATGAACGGCGCTATGAAATGACGAGACGTTTCAAGACTTGACACAAAATATATTAAACTTGGAATAGTACACCACGTGTAGCGTTCGGTTAAATTATGCGACTAGGTCGTGTCGCGACGACTCGCGACTCCTCGTCCCGGTCTCGCGCTGGATCGACGGGGATCTAAACTCCCGGGAATCTCGGGAGAGATCGTGGCGCGCCACGATATATGCTACGATATGCTGATATGTATGTTATCTGCTACGATATCGTCATCGTGTGATATGTCACCGGCGCGCGTTAACAAGCGAGACACGAGATTCGTTGACTTTGCGTTGATAACCGCGTGTGTCCAACCGACGCGCGCGATACAATTTTCAGGCTTTCGGAATCGATCGTCCTGTGCTATGTAATGTGTACATGTATATATGTATGCGTGTACATGCATATATGTATGTGTGTACATGCATATATGTATGTGTATATGTTTGGCGTCTCGATTCACTCCTGCGATCGAGTTTACACGCAGCTCTCTGGGCCAGGTATGGAATTGGCGATGATGATCTCCTTCATCAGGTTACGATCGGCCTTGAAGCTGATAGGCTCCCAGGACTTTGCGGAGAATGGATTCAGCTGTCAGGAAAAGAAAAAAATATCGAGCGTATTTAATGTGGCTGACATCACGCAGAGAAATAAAAGAATTTAGAGTTTGAAGTATGTCTACACTGCTTGAAAAAACATGGAAAACTTGAAATTTTCAGAGAGATCTTTTGTACTTGAAAAAGTAAAAGAATTCTCATGGAATTTTATTGAAACTTAGTAAATATTAAAAAAAAAATTCTCTTTAATAAGTTTGTTTTTATATTATAAGTAGTTTTGACAAACCGAATGAATTATAAATTTAAAAATATAAATATACATTTTTTTTATTTGCTTATATATTCAATATTTTAATAAAACATTGAATATGCAATTAATATATATTCTTTATTGTAATTTTTAACTATTAAAAAATGAAAATGTTATACAAGTGAAAAATTTATTTATATGTATGTTTGCGAAAGCTATTCAATATATTTGAAAATTTAGCATTTAAAACTTAAGCTCTATATTTCTCTATATTTGTATGAAAGAAAAATATTAGAAAACACATAATAAGAAAATTTATTTTACAAATTTGCACCAAAAAAATCTTTAAAATATTCTTTTTATTTGAAATTTTATTCGAAAATACCTGAAAGATCAAGGAATTTTGAGAGAATTTTTTTACGAGATTTGAATAAACATTTTGTTGATCACAAAAATAATGTTGATTATATTTTTATTTTTTTCCAACTGCCTCAATGGATCGATATTATTCATAACAGACTGCGTTACAGTTGAATTGAGATTGGTTAGTTGAATTTAGAGGTAGCCGGTTTAATCTGGTTTAATTTATAAGCGATCGATAGAAATTCAATCTACGATAGATTAAGTTTCTAATCTTCTAAATCGGAGTCTCGAATTATATATATTGAAACTTTATTTCTTAAAGTGTCGAAGAAAGAATCAAAGACACACTTCACTTTAATTCTTCTACTGAGATATAATTGTAGAAAATATTATATAGGGAAATAATAAATCGTTAATGAGAAAGAATTGAGACAAAAATATGTGTCATACACTTGTTGCAAATTATTATTTTCAAACTAAATTATTATTATAAAGATAAATTATTATCTTCGAGATTATTTTAATACAAGAATTAAAGTAAAACTTTTCTTTTTCAATTACGATGCAACAGAATGCATTGATGTCGATATTAATAATAATATGACATTTAACGCGGAGGATCAATTTATTGATTGTAATAATGTGTCATTCGTTCTACACATATATACCTCAATTGTTCTTTTATTTAAAAAATACATAATCATAAAAATGTATAATTTTTGGAATGACTTACGCTGCATCTATTCGTCTGCAGCCCTTGCTTATGAATATCGTAGGGCGCAAACAACGTGTCTGGTCTCACTGGCAAAAACAGTTGTGGTTCGCGTTTGATCTTGTCTTGGTCTGAAATTCCACGCATTGTATTTTTATCTTATTAATATACAATTTCTAAATGATTTAAATAAAATATTGCGAACAGAAACTAGGTAGGCAGAATTAAAAAGTAAAACTGATTTAATGTCGATATAAGCAGTTCCCAAATTTGATTTTTTATTTGAAGCTTAAGCGAATGTAATTCTTACTACCGTCATGCAAATGGAATTAGAAATCGCTATTCGACAAAAATATCCATTGCAAAATTTCGTTGTGCTTCAAAATAGCACGTGACATGACGAATTTAAAATTTTTTTAAACAATGAAAGAAAGAAACAGAAATATTATAGTACTAATTTCTGATATTCTATAAATTTCTAAAATAGTTCTTTCTTTCTCATACTCTCTTCCTCTCTCTTTCTTTTTGTGACATGGTTTCCTTTTTTAGACGATTCGCCGCGATGGATATTGAACTCGATGGGATCAAATGAGATCGGGAAAATAAAAGTGGTAGTTCTCTGACAGCATATTACCTTGCGGCGACTGTATGATATCCGGCTGATTATTGAGCGCGTAATCGGTGACCTGTTTCAGCGTATACTCGACGAAGTACGTGTGGTCGCCATGGGTCACGTCCAGCATCGAATTGTTCCTCGAGTCCGGCGGCGTGATTATCGGCTGTTTCATGTAGGGTTCGATGTGCACGGGGGATGTGGTGCCGCGGCGTCGATACATCATCAGCATCACCGAGATCACCGTCGCGCCGAAAGCGAGCAGGCAACCGATCAGCAGGAGAATCAACGGCATCATGCTGACTCCGGTATCTGTAAGCGAATGCATTCTGTCGCATAATGGATTTGGCAAGTTTCTTGTCATGTTAAAGAATATTTTTTTCCTACGCGATATATGATATGTATATTTTCATAGAATTATATACGAGCTTAATTTGAAAAAATTGTCATTAAAATCAATTATATTAATAATTATGTGTGAACGATAGCGAAAACGTGTTAAATCTGTTGCAAAATCCTAAGTTATGATATGAACATTATCTTTTTTCCGCTGAATTAGGAGAGAAAAAAATATATATTACTTTACATCTTAAGCTCTATTCTAATTTGTAAAAAAAGTATTTGTGGACAATTGATTTTTTCGATTAAGAATATATTATATATATATATTCTTAATCGAAAAAAATCAATTGTCCACAAATACTTTTTTTATAAATTAAAACAGAGCTTAAGATGTAAAGTTTTAATTTAAAATAATTGATATGTATATTTCTAATTATTTACAAGCTTAATTTTAAAAAAATTATCATTAAAAACAATTATATTATTAATTATGTGTAAATGATAATGAAGACGTGTTAAATCTGTTGTAAAATCCTAAATTATACGATATACGATAGTTCTTAAGTTATATGATATAAACATTATCCACTGAATTAAGAGAGAGAGAAAAATAAATGTATATCTGACATATATATTCTTAATCGAAAAAAATCAATTGTTCTTTTTTGATAAAATAGAACAGAATTTGAGATATAAAGTATTAATTCAAAATAATTATTCAGTTTTATTAGATTAAGTTTTATTTAGATTAAAAAAGTTTTATTATTTGTTTTTGATAGTTCTGTCGAAAATTTAAATACAATTACTCATCAATTTCGAATTGTAAATTAAATTATACAGAATAGATTTTTATCCATTTTTTAAGAGAATTTTTTTATAGAATGTTATCAATTTTGTTTGATTTAAAAATCTTCTTAAAAAAGATATAGAATATGTTTATATTTCAAATCAAATCGATTATTCTTTAATTCTTTTTAAAAGAAAATAGAACTCTAATAATTCTTTTCAAAAGAAAATAGAAAAGTGATTATTTTTCCACAAGTTTTCTCTCTCGAAAACGATTTGATAGTACCTATATAAAAATGTTTTATCAACGTGTCATTTTTATTTATTGCTACTGTTATAAATACGATAGAGACCAAGTTTTTAAAAATATACAAAATTTATTTACTATATATTAAATGGAAATGAAAAGAGAAACTATAGATGTAATAAGCTACTAATTAAGAATTTAATAAATTTTGAAGTTGTGTAAAAAATACATTTTTTTGCACAACAACAATTTTCTTAAAATTCAATTACCTGTATGCTTCTCCGAATCTCGCAGCATTATGTCCTCCAGGAGCGACACTTCGCTACGGCCCTTGGCATTTACGGCGTACGTCACCAGGTAAAAGTGCGTGGCCGGCAGGAGATCAGCCACGGCGATTCGGAAGATCGGCAGATCGGCCGACACGCTGGACGCGTTCACCCGAAGAGTGCCAGTCAATACCTCGTAAGCTTCGAGCCGAAACTCCTGGTGGAGCCCGCCATCGTATCCTGGCACGCACTCGACCTCCAGGATCTCCGAGCTTTGATTGAGCGATGCCTTGATGGTGCAATTGTTCAGGGGATTTGGTTTCACTGCACAAACGCGTTTTTGTCACGAAAACTTGCGCGAAGACTTTGCGCGCCTTTACATACCTTGCCTTCCTATTTGAAACTTTTTATTCAAGAATTTACTTTTATTAAAATAAGATAGATATTTTCATCTTCTGAAGAATTCTCGATATATTTTCTCTGTTGAAAGGCAAGAAGAAAAATCAAGATATATGTGAAATAAAAAGGAATCTCCCTTGGCATTCAACGCGAAGGTATAAAGTAGAAACAATTTAAGTAAAATGTAATGGGATAAGTAGAAAATAATATTCCATTGCAGAAAACTAATATTATAATAAATATTTTCGAATTTACAAAACATCGTGTATGAGAAATCTACTATAAGCGAATCGGATAAAAAAAGAGCAGAAATATCCGCGCCGAGAATTTCAAATACGAGCATCTAAATATCATATGTTTATGTCACACATGAAAATATGTATAACATTTAAATACATTTTCGAGTCATAAAATATATTTCTCTCTAAAAGCGAAAACGAGACAAAAAGTTTTCATATTTCGATTCCGAGATATAAAAGGAAGAAAGATACTGACTTAAAAAAAAAAATGATGAAAACTCCGTCTTTCTCTTTTCGTGATGCGATAAATGTATCACCTGCCGGAATGACTTGATAGATGCAAGGCGTCTCCTGTTTCCCTATCGCGTTTCTACCCCAGCAGGTCAAAGCGCCGTAATCCCTCTCGGATACGGGGGTGTAAATGAGCTCGCTCAGGGTGCCGTTGTTGCCATCGAACCTGGCCGGCGCGACCTCGAAGTTCTCGCCACTGTTGTTGAACTCCCAGACAAAGTCCACCTCGCTGGGATCGGCGTCGACTTCGCAGCGCACCTTCACGGATTCCTCCAGGGAGGCCCCGATGATCGTTACCTCCTTCAACTTGCAAACCGGCGCGACTGGTCGAGAGGAAGGAAAAAAGAAGAGGTTCGCACACGTTATCAGGGGAAAAAAAAAAAGAGTTGTCGAAATGAAATTGTCGAAAGACGAAACAATTTCATCTCCGCTATCGATCGACAAAACTTCGAGTGGGATTATGCCGAGTTTAAGCGCCGTTTTATTCGCCCTTAATCGGTAGAATTATGTTGTTCGCCGTAGGGCTTGGATAGGAGGGTTGAAAATAAATTGGCTTCTAAAATGTAATCCTTCATATCTGACGTCCGTGATATTCCGCTACTGAACACAATTACGCGCAGTTGGCATATTGTGTAACGCGTATTTGGAGTTTACCGGAACAGAAACAGGAGGAATTTAACGTTGTACCTCACGTTGAATGTAACTTTTAGCGATGTGTGAAAAGGTCAAAGGTCAATTTTACCGCAATAATGTATCTTTTTAATCGGACGTATTTTAATAATTTATTTTTATATAGATTTCCCTGTTAATGCAAATATGTATTAAATATGCATAATGTACATAAATATTTATACGATAAATAACACGTATTTAGATATTTAAATCTATTTATGTAAAATATGTATGATGAATTTTTTATAAATATCTCTCTGTATTTAAATAGCAAAGCTTTAATTTTTAAAATCAATTATCTAAACTCACCGACATTCAATTGCCAAGTTATGTTTCCTCGAGAGGATCACTTACAAAATCGAACTTGCGTATTTACTTACACTGTACTCTCAGATTCACAATGGGGCTCGTCGTTTCTCCGCGATCGTTGCTGGCGAGACACGTGTAATTTCCCGCGTTGTCACGACCTATACCCTGCAGAACCAGGCTCTGGGTGCTCATGATGATACCAGCCGAATAGTTTTGCGTCAGCACCGCGCCCTGTCATTGATGGATTAGCGCTTTTAACACGGAGGTTGAAGGTACGATAGCATTCTATACTATAGCGTTCTATACTATAGCGTTTTATACTATTTCTTTGGTAATATAAGAAAAGGGAAGGTGGCAAATCGATATCGTGTAACATTTTTCGCACCTTTCAAACTGCTCTCATCCAGAAGGTAGAGAAAAGTTCTTCAATAGAATTCTTTTTCCCATAAATATTTGATATACATTACATATACTTGGGATTTAGTATATATATATTTTTTTCAAATCTCTCTCGCATTTTTATGGAAATCGAAAGGTAAACGAAGATGAAGATTTTATTTCTTATGAATTTCTTTATCGAAAATCTGGCTTTTTGAAAGTTACAAATAACATCTTAAAAGATCTGTTATAAAGTATCAAGTTTCAGATTAATCTTTATTGAAATAAAAAATCGCTATTGACTCTCTCTTATAACAAGAAATTGATATATCATGTTTTCAGACCTCTATTCTTTATTCATTGGAATTTTTTTTCAAACATCAAATACTCGATACTTTTTTTGACGAGGAAAATAAAAATTAATTATATCGAAATTCTAAAAAAAAAAACACTGAGACTTCATAGAGTATTTTAAATTAAATTAAATTAATTAGATTAAATAAATTAGATTAATTAAACTAAATAAATTAGACTTATTATTGTGGACTTACATTATGGCGCCAGGTGATTTTGTGATGCTCTGGATTAGCACGGACTTTACATTCGAAATACACGTCGTCGCCCTCCTTTATGTTCTCCGCGTTCAGGGTGCTGCCCAGATGCAGCTCTACCTTGGGCGGAACTGGAGAGAAGTTTTCGAGAAGCTTAATATTTTATGTAATGCAATCGTACGTTTGTAATGAAATATTTCAGTAGATCCCGAAAAAAGTGGCCGTAAAATATTAAAGCCGCCGGAACACGCGAAGAAAGCAAGAGGGTATCAATAAGACATATGACTATTCGTGTAATAGATTTACGACTTCTGATTGAGGCTGAAAAAACAAGCTTTACCGAATGTTATTCATATTTGCATTTTTTATATCTTTCGATGGATTTCAAATATTTGATTATTTCTCGAAAAAATTTTGAGATATATATTTTAATCAAGCGAAATTACAATTGATCGATTACATCGACAAGATTTTTCATATATTTAAACATTATCATCAATAACGTATTGCTTGCATAAGTAGATTTTTTTCGCAAAATTAAAAGTGTATACTAATTAATTTTTTAGAAATGTTGAGAAACATGATATATTAATTGCGACTGATTAATTTCGCGATATAACCGTAACCTGTATTCGCCGAGTTTTGAGAGAGTTCCTTACAGACGACATTTAGCTTGAAGAAGTCCTCCAAGTACGCATCCGTCAGTGCCGGATTTTCACCGCGGCACTTGAGGATCTTTCCATGGTCGTCGGGAACGGGTGAGAATATCAACGTGCTCAAAACCACCGACGCGTTGCCGCTCTCCATCATCTGCTGGCAAATTCGATGATTGGTAGACGGGATAATTTGGAGTCGGTTTCGAGAAAAGAAGGTGAAAAAAATCGCACAAGGTATTGCACTTTAAAGTATATCATTATATCGACCTTGCCGTTCCGAAATGTCTCGTTCCCCTCGATCCAGGTGATGCGAGCGCGGGGGTGCGAGCCTGTCGTCTCGCAGGTGATGGAGTAGTCCTTCTCCGTTTCCATGACCGTTAATTTCGATAATATCTTCACGGTTAGCGGTTTTACTAGAATCAATGGCGAATTATTTTTATTCTATATGATATTCTAGTGATACGGACGTTTTCTCATTCCTCCTAAACAATTTTGAGATCGATGTCTCGACGTCAAAACTTAGGAGTTTGCAATGCTTTCGAGGTCAATTAATGTTTAAGAATGAGAATTCTTTTTCCGATAGGTCTTTCGACTTTTTAATTTTCCTTCCATATTTCTACTTATTAAATGCTTTGATGTAATTTTTCATGAGAATATTTATATATAAATATTTACGATAATATCATTTCTCTAAAGATTATAAATATCACTTTCAACACAAAAATATTCATTTAAAATGATTGTAGGAAGCTATTATCTCTAGAAATTTATTTACGCCTGAATAAATAAAAGAAGAGATTAAATTTATTTTCACTGTTGTATATAAGCTATAATTATCCGTATAACAGGTTTACCTCGCTTCTATTTTCAACAAACCTGTCAATAATTTATCGAGTCGATAACGTAAATGCGAAAGGATTACTTTTCGCGGTCGAAATTTAACTAATGTGAATTATTAACAGGCTGAATACTACGGGGATTTTGATTAACTTTGCAAAAGCATAATTAGAGGTAGCATGACCAATATTGCGGCAAATAAATGCCATTTTTGTCAGATATACACATTATCCCAATTTAACTAAACTCTTCTTATTCATACATATAACTTTCAAAATACGCAAATGATTGCAATTAAAATGAATCGGCATCCTTCAATGGCTCTTAACATTTCAATATTTTTCATCGCTTCAAAGTTAAAAAACCGATCGCTCTCATATTTAGCTACCACAAGTGCAGAGGAGAATGAAAATAAATATAATTTTAACGCACGAATAAAAAAGTGAAAAAATGCACGAATATTCCTGTACATATATTTTTAAATTGTTGCAGCCTTCTATATCAGATTCGCCATTGAAGGAATAAGCGAAATTAACAAGTTTCACTTTCGCGTCCGTGAAAATATTTTTCTCTCATGCGAGGAATAAAGTCCGAAAGCGATACTCACGATAAACGTCGAGGATCACCGTCTTCTCCAGCGGCGGTATAAGGTGCGTGTTGGTCGCCCGGCATTTGTACGTCGTGTTGCGGTGCTCTCGTCGCAGCTGCGGCACCGTCAATTTGCTGACGACGATGTTCTGGCTCTCGAACTCCTCGAGTCTGCCGTTCACCTCCTTGCCGTCCACCAGCCAGCTCACTACCGGCGTGGGTTTCCCTTCGCGCCCGCGAAAGCACGGAAAGCAACGGAAATTATACGCGACTAATTAACTCCTCCTCCCCCTCTCTTTCCGTACCGTTGTCGATCAGGCTTGCGTGACAGCAGACAAATCACCTGGGGCCATAATTACCCTTAATACCGGGTGTCTCCGATCAGACACGCCCGCGTAATACCCAGTCTGGCCACTTAGTGCAGGCCAGGGCTTGTATTTAATTGCTAACAATAGGCCACCAAGGTATCTTTCTTCCTCTCTCTCTCTCTTTCTTTTTTTCTTTCTCTTTCTCTCTCTTTTTTCCGTCTCTTTTTATTTGTTCACGCGATCTCGTGAGAGAGGGAGAGGAAGGGATTTACACCGGAGGTTACGCGTGTAATGTTGGCCGAGTCGGGTAATTTGTCACACTCTCTCGCCGAGATTCGTATCTCCGACTTAACATATTAATGAGAAACCTGATTTCTCTCAAGGAGGGATTATACAACGGATAAAATCCTACAAACGGAAAGGTGTAACGAGAATCGCGCACGATAAATTCATTGCTGTTTTTAAAATATGGAGAGATTTGTTTTACCCTCTGAAACACCGTATTTTACCTCTCGTCTCTGTCGTTAACTTTAATCGGTCTCGAACAAGGATAATTTTGAGAAGAGGGAGATTATGAGGAAACAATTGTTTCACGATTTGCATGCGAAATTAATTAACTGTACGTTAATGCTAATTTACCGTCTTTTGATAAAGAAATGTATAACTGGAATACATTTAGACGTACATACAACTGAAAACGTAATTATAAATGTAAGTAACTCGCGAATGGAAACGCAAGATGTGTAGGATACGCCTCTGCAAATTTCTAAACAAATCCAAAGATACGAATTAGAACATATGACAACTTACCTCCTCTCACTTCGCAGGACAAGCCGAATTCCATGCCGACCTGAAACGGTCCGGCTACTCTTTCCACCTGCACCCCGGAGCTGTCATAGATGAACAGCTGATGCGGCGGCACTGCGAACAATATCGCGAACATGAAGCGTTCGCTTTCCATAATTAACGGATAATGGCCTCGAATAAACGGTTTCGAGAGTCTCCGTCTTTTTAGGAACTCGCGAAAGTTAATTTATTGAAATTACAAAAATGAAATTTCGATTAATTCGTCCCCCCTCAAAGTTTCTCAGAAAAATGGGTTAAACCGCGCCGGGTCCTTCAATTAGCGAAACCGCGAGAGACGGCGGTGAGATTGTTCCGGCAAGTTTAACTTTGCATCCCGAGATGAAAAAGGACCACCGCGTATCGGCCAACGTTAACTGCAGCTAATATTCCACCCTGGTCTCCCTCCGTTTTCTTACCGCGAGAGAGATCTTTGGACGATCTCGAAGCGTTTTACGCGTTAAGGAGCGCAGTTAATCATACCAGGGCGATGTTACGAGGAGCGGTCGTTACGGTAATGAGTTTTCTCTCACCGATCACCGTGAGATTCACTTGGAAGTTCTTGGTCGGCGAGTTCTTGAAGTCTACGCGGCATCTATAGACCCCCTCGTCGTCCAGCTGAACCGCCTCCAGGGAAAGGGCGGCGGGTTTCGTCACGGTGACGAAGTAGGCTCTAGGCCCTACGGCAGTGCTGTCTGACCAGTTCAGGGCCTTGTTAAAAGCTCGGCCCCGCACGTCAAAACTGAAAAGATACGTATAATTCTGTCACTTTTTTATCTTATACCTTTTTCATAATTTTTCTATCTGTAATGAATATTTTGAGCTTGAATAGTTTAAAAAAAGACTTCACTAATAATTATTTAATCGAGGATTCTATAAAAAAAATGATAACATTAAAGATATGATGGATTAAAGATATGTAATATATCTTTCATCAATTTTATAAATAACTCCATATATTATCGATTACATTGATTCTTAGACACAGATGGGTTTTTTATTTAATTGAGGATTCTATAAAAAAAAAATAAAATTAAAGATATGATGGATTAAAGATAATTGAATATTTTAAGAAAGACTTTTCACTTGAATATTTTAAGAAAGACTTTTCACTAATAATTATTTAATCGAGGATTCTATAAAAAAAATGATAAAATTAAAGATATGATAGATTAAAAATATATATCTTTTATCAATTTTATAAATAACTCTATATATTATCGATTACATTGATTCTTAGATACAAATGGGTTTTTTATTTTATTTAATCGAGGATCCTATAAAAGAAAGATAAAATTAAAGATATGATGGATTAAAGATATGTAATATATCTTTTATCAATTTTATAAATAACTCTATATATTATCGATTACATTGAGTCTTAGACACAGATGGGTTTTTTCCGTTGAATTTTTCAATTTTTTTGAATAGATTACATTACACTGTAAGATATTGCTTGCCTGTAAATGGGTTTCACCGCATAATCGCGGAACCAAAGTACCATGTATACGCGATCTTCTCGCGTGGACGGTTCAATGTCGCAAGGCAAAGTGGCAGTACGACCAAGTACGGCGCTGACCTTAGACGTGGACACTGAGAACATGAAAGAAAGATGATTAATATTGCAGTGGTTGTCGGCGAATGACTTTCCTGTCTGATTGATTTATGTCTAAATTACATCAAGAATCTATCTATCAAAAGATTGAATTTTTCCAAGTTACACGTTTGTCTATTTATCAGACGCTCTTTTCATTCAGGTTTTTGCAAAGTCGACTCTATGCGGCATTCAATGCGATAAAATCAATCATGTTTTTTCGCAATAAACGATAATTAGTGCCTTTGAATTTTTTCTTTGGCATAAATAATTTTTTTTAAACAACTGTATACTGAATTAAATAGTATTAATTTAATTTAAATGTCGACCTAAAGAGTTGAGTAAAGTTGTAAAGTTTCAGTCTCTTTGATTTTTAATAATTTCTTTGGAATTTACTGCAAACAACAATACAACTTTTATTTTCGTAGCTAAATCTCATTAACGTCAACATGCTTTGAATAATTTTACTTACAATGTACTTCCTCTGTTTTTCTTAGAACGAAAAAGCTAATATTACAAGTCGCTTAATAATTAAGTTAATAATTTTAACAAATGTGTAGAGCTACTATATAATATAATGCAATTTTAAACTTTAATGTAATTTTAAAGGTCATTTACATTTAATAACTTGACATTTTGTGAATTATCAATTATATGGTTAATAAGTTAAATGAGCTGTAACGTTAGCTTTCATGTTGTGAAAGAACTTAGAGGGTTATTAAATTAATAAGAAAAGAGTATTACAAGTACAGTTATTCAGACAAATACACACAAATTATTCAAATATACGGAAGAGAGAGAGATTTAGGTGAAAAAAAATTAGATTAAATTTATTCTTTAAACTATAGACTATTTGTCGCGATTCTAATTACGCTGAAGTAATATCAGAGGCTTTTCTAAATGAATAAAATCGTTTCACATTCATTTCGCGAAATGGAGCCGCATTAAGAATGTGTAGATATTTTAAGGGACGTTTCTCTTTTCAATTTAACGTCGCATTTGAACGCGAGAAAGAGTCCGCGTCTCGCGATATAAAAAGAAAGCCGCTTTGCTTTCTCTGCTTCGAATAAAGCGACCGGAAAGCAGCTTGAAAAATATCACTAATGAAGTTCGTTTTCGCGCATAATGGAGAATTTCCGCCCGGCGCAGCGCGAAATATAATTACGCTGTGTAACATTTCTTTGAGCAGGTTTCACGCTCTAAGTGATTTCCGGTCCGATCGCGCAACAAGCTGCGTCTGATTTCCCGTTTTCCGATACACCGCAATTTTCATCAATCGAACGACGTCTGTAACACGAATACGAACTCTTCCGGCAGGATATCGTTTTCACGTTTGTTTGTGACGCTCCGATGAAAAATGTACATGCTACGAGCCATTTATCTTTTTTTTTTTAACATCTTTCTCTCGTATCAGCGCGATTATTATCTGTTCCATCTATTTAAAAGCATGTCATTTTTTTTATAGAAAAGATATTTCAAAGATATAATAGAAACTGACAACTCGCGAATGTAAATAGAAATAAAGGTCCTTCAAATAGGACTTTAGAAAGAGAGACATTCGAATAATTGTAGAGGACAAATATATTTTGAAGAAATGGAACATTTTTATATAAATTGCTCAATAAGAGGCAGTTTATAAATTCAAAAGTTGAAAGCTCTTGTGAATGTGCTATTAACAGGACTTATTTATTATTCTACGTTTTAAGTTAAGAGTGCATTCAACCTTGGCGGTTACATATTTCGACCTAATTTTATTTAAAAAATATCATAACTCTTTGTAAATATAGATCCTAACATTTTCAATCTCGCGACTTTTTGTCAAATTTTCCACTTTTCAATATGCATTTATGAAAGACATATTGAGTACAATGCGTAAAATATTGAACTTCCATGTTGAATATGCTAAATGTGCGCAGCAATCGAAGCTAAATTAAAATTAATATAACTTTATTAAGTAAATTCTCTTTCTTCGTTAATATCGTATAACTCTATAATCTCAAAGGAAGCGAGAACCGCCAAGCTTGGCTGCAACTACTTCCTTGTCTGGCACTTTTGCAGGAAAATGTAAGAGTGATACTTTTTTTTTTATTATTCTCAACGTTCTTTTCTTAGTAATTAAAAATTGAATGCATTCTTATAAAAGTATAGCTATAACATACTTTTCATTATATTTTTGCATTCTTTCGTAAAAATATAATATTCGATAGTCTAGTATGTACTTCAAAAAATCACCGAATGAATTTTTAGCCAATGTATTTCCCGATTAACTCGGCGGTGCTTTTCCTCAACAACAATATCGAAACACGATAGTTTTCGAGTAATTAGCAATTGGAGAACTTCTGGCGAACTAAACTTAAGATATCTTCAATTTCAGAAATGAAATTCCATTAAAGTCCGTTGAAAATTAACTGATAAACATTGTTTCGTTACTAAATAAATAAGTATATTCATCATTTGACTTCATAAGCGGACTTTACTTTAACGGAATTTCTGTAACTCGAGCCTGCCGAGTTACAGAAATACATAAAGCTGGCAATTGCTTCGTCAAGAAAATGATAACTCACTGGAACTCCTTTGAGACACAAGGTCGGAAAAATTTGGACACGTAGTCTACGGGAAAGATAAACAACGTGAGATTCTGGCAAGTTGGACAGGGATTGGTTTGTCTCGATTGTTCGTGTCAGAGGATTCACGTACCTAGGTCATCATCCTTATCCCAGTTGCCGCTGGCATTTACGTAGACGACCACGGCGAATATGTAGCCGCTAATCACGAGTCTCACCGCAATCTCGGCCAGCGTCCCGAGTGCCATCCCACGTAAGGGATGGGACACCTTCGCCGGACACCTCGCTGGTGCACCGCTCAAATTCGTCGTCCTTCGCATGATAGCACCCCGCGGGCACGCCGTCCCTTTATTGTCATTCCACGACCGAGAGGAGCCCGTCCCGTCTCGTCTTCGGCTGCCCGTCCCGATTTTGCGTGCGGAACGAACACGCGGAATATACGCTCACCTACTCGAGCGCGAATTCTTCAAGTTCGAGCGCCCGTCGTCGGAGTACATCGAAAATACCTGGACGACAAAAATCTACACTTTTTTCACCGCGTTCTTAATCACTGTCGAGTATCACTGTCAAGTCGATGCTGTCACAATTCACTTTCTTCACTTTACTTTGTTTCGTTATGTTAATTATATGTGCTATAATATATAAAATTATGTATCAATAAAGGATTAAAGAATATTGTTAGACAATAAAATAGATTTGCTTTCATTAAATATTAAAATTTGAATTTGTGAATTATTTTAAAAATAATTAAACTAATTTAAGAAATAAAAAAAATATTTTTCTTCTAACTAAAATTGATAAAAGGTAAAATTTGAGTTTGTGAATTATTTGAAAAATGATAAAAATGCGATTAAAATAATTTAAGAAATAAAAAAATATATTTTTTTCTAATTAGAATTAATAACAGAAATTATAGAAAAATTAGGAAAAGAATTAATAAAAGAAATAATAACACATGTCTCTACAAATAAGAATTTATGTGGACACAAACCTTCTGCACCAACTTGTAAACGTTTTTTTTAACGTTGTCTCTCGTCTATTTTGCTGTCGCTATATATTTGTCCTGTCCCGATCGATTCGTTGCTAAAATATATCGTCGTTTTCGATTATGTCACGGTATCAAGTTCAACAGCGGCTCATGTTTCCACGTGATTGCCTTCGATTATCCTCTCTTAGCGTTATTGTCCTCGGTCACGTTGTTACACACAATCGCTCTCTCTTCTTCTCCCTCTCGTTACATGTTTGCTTATCATTTTACGTTATTCTTTCATCGTTATTTTTCACCGATTCGTCCTTCGTGAACTATAGTTTTTCTGTCGCGTCCCAATTCGTCGCCTTTTCCGCAATTTTTCTCGCTGACTTGGTCGTGATTTGTTATCGTTCGGTTATCGTCGTCGATTACATCCCGGTATTCGTCCAGAAAGATGCATGGAGGTCGAGATTACTCACTGCGTTTCAAATTGACGTACGTCGCGGCACGAACAAAGACAGATATTACAAAAACATCCGAGCTGCATCGAAATTCCGATATTTCCCCTGCGATGATACGTGATCGATTATTACAAATTTCCCGCAATATCATTAACACGCGCATTGACGTATTGTTATCGCCGTTGCCATCATCGTTAATTTCATCTTGAATAGAGACACACGCTCGTCGAGAATATTTTTTGGCGTGATTGTAATGCACAATTTTATGCGAGAGACCGGTGTAGGCGCTGTATATACGTGCATGTGTGTAGAGCAAACACAGATCTCCTTAAGCAAACGAGTTCCTTTTAGTAGTGCAGCCTGGCTGGGGCCGGCCGGCTCGCCTGATCAAGCGCCGACCCTCTTCCACTGGCTGCACACGATTCTAATTTCGATCCACTCTACTTATCCCGTCTCCCCCCGAAATCATTCGCGTTATTGTCGCATACGCCTACGTTTTCACGTTCGCGTCTAGAAAGTTCGCCCCGAGATGCAACGAAAGGGATTAATCCGAATCACTTTAAATCAAGGGATAATCGAGCCGGTCGTTAATCACAATCGCCTGATTAATCGTTGCACTCGAGGGTTCCTTTTTGCACGTTGAACCTTCTCCACAGGTTGATCCGATATATCCTTTTTTTATTATATTCGCTATTTTTATTAGTTTACTTTAATGATCTTGCGTTCATTCATACACAATCGTGGAAAAGTGGATATTACAATGCAATTATCTCAATCGTCACTCGCTCGTTTGAATAGCTATATTTACGACCAAGTTACAGTTATATTTAGCCGGTTCTATAAGCAGCCGAAACTTCTTAACACTTGCAAAACAATCCGCCGCTTCGAGCGCGACGACAAGACTAATTCTCTCTTTCTCTCTTTCTCTCTCTCTATTCCGTCGATTAATCAAAGGGGAGTCTTATTGTCATTCCATCCGAGATCAGACAGTCACTTCCTCCACTTCCACCCGAATGGCGAGGTGGCGAAGGCAGGCAAAAGGACGATCCGGCAGAGGATGCTTCGTGGTCTGATCGTCTCGCGAGCGTTCGAGAGGAGTGATTTCACCGCGACGGCATTCTCCAACGATTTTCCACCCCTAAAGGCCTCCCATCCCCTCTCCTTTCTCTTTCACCCTCCCTCTCTCTTTTTCTCGCTCCCTCTTACCTCGAAGGTAGACGGCCTCCTCCCACCGCCAACCCCGCGGCGATGTCCTCCGGCTAGGATCCTCTTGAGGGGACGGGGAGGAAGGGGGCGGCGGGGAGCGACACGTCGAATAGTACGAGAATCTCGAGGAGTCGTTCGGCAGCCTTCCCTAATGTTTCTTAATTACCCGCGCTCATTAATCACCGGGTCTTTTGATGTTCGTTGAATTTCTTTCTTCGCCCTTCGTGTAATTCGCGAGGAAGCGCACCTCGAAGCACACTAAAGCACTCGTCGAAGCTCGCAGCTGAAATGGCGCAACGCGTTTTGACGAGAAAGAGAGAGAGAGAGAGAGAAAGAGAGAGAGAGAAAGAGAGAGAGAGAAGCAGAGAGAGAAGCAAAGAGAGAGAGAGAGAGAGAGAGAGGCCACCCGCCTTTCTCTGCGGGGATTATCGTCCCTCCGGGGCTACTACCTCTTTGGGGTAGGTAGGTTTAGGGCCGCCGTTAGGCGATTCGACAATGGCGATGACAGATCGCTCGAGAGACGTGCACCTCGATATTCGCACGATACTTGCGTTATTATCGTGCTGGTCCTCAATTTCCGCCGTGATCAATCATCCCCCGTATCGTTTCGAGGACCTTCGCGAGGGAAAAGACACTGTCGGGGGATATAAAATGTATAAGGTGCGCGTAAATATGAGAAAATTCTATACGATATAAAACATGTAGAAACGGCAAAATATTCGAAAGTGACAGAATTCGTGAAAAATTTACTCTTATATATAAATCTGACTTTATTTTTCAACAGCGGAAAATGCGTCTCACTTTTCAATGGCGCGAATTGTTTTACTTTTTGACAGAGAGCAAAAATTTCCGCGCGGTAAATACGAGCAGTTGCATACATACGGCCGTCGTTCTCTTCTCTCGCTCCCACGTTTCATTTTCACCCTCCGGTTCAAATTTTCTCTCTCTCTCTCTTTCTGTTGCTCTCTTTTAAAAAAAATACTTTTAAAAGGTATTTAAAATCGATTGGTTCAGTTTTTCAGTCTTTTTAACAGCGTTAATCGTTTTGCTTAACAAGCGTAATTGATAGCTCGGTGATTTTTTTTTCGCAGAAAATAGTCATGCACAGCCAATCATTCGCATGTTCCCAATCTCCTCTCCCCTTGTCTGAGTCGCTCTCCAATTTGTATATTAGTCAGTTAAAGCACCGATTTTTATTATACGCACACTCGTTGCCAGCCGATTTATTGGACGCCGAATTTCGACATTCCTCGTCGATTTCATCGTCTCTCACGATCTCCTATTCCAGAGGAAAACTTCGCACTTTCCTCCACAGCTAGAGAAATCTGGCAGCCGGCAAATCGAGGGCTGAATCTCCCAGACGAAGTCTCGTCTTTCCGACGAGACGAGAGCCCTGCGTTTTCTCAACCCTCGTGCCTCTTGGCGACTTTCCACACCGACGACGACGACGACGACGGAATTCCCGATGCTCTCGCGACGCGTGCTGTCGCGTGCACGCTTCCTCGTCGCGCGGACACGCCGCTGTAATCGCCGCCGCGGGTTTGAGAGAGGACGACGACGTCGACGACGACGCGGGGCCGCCGATCGATTCGCGCGAGTCAGTCCGATCCGGCCGCCTCGCGTTTCGACGCGTTTCGATGCCCGCGCGATGTACAGCCCCGTACGGAGGCGGTAAAGGCGGCGGAGGTGGTGGAGAACGTGCTGCCGCGCAGGGCTGTCCGTGCAGGGGGTGCACGACGGGGTTGATGGTTCCCGCAGGATGTCCCGGAATGCGACGAGAATCACGGAAATGCGTCTCTCCCTCGCGAGATTTCAGGCGAATTTTTTATCCCTTCGCAGAGATGCGAGGAAAACGATTATTATTTCGGGCTATTATTTCTCGCAAATTTCAATATTCGATATCCATCAGATTGAATTCTAAAGAGCTAAATTGGATTACACGACAAACTCGAATTTTTGCTCATTATTTATTTCTCTGAATCGAATAGCGGATTATAAAGTCAAAACTGTTAAAATTATAATCTAATCGTTTCATTAAATAAAACCGATTGAATTGACCGATGAATTTATGACTGATGAATAATACTATCATGATATTTTCTATCTTGTATTCCGATTCTCGTAATTAGCCGTCTGTGGCACAAGCTCTTAAGGATTCCTTTTTTTAAATTATTAGAAATTTTTTTCAGTTAAAGTTTATGGATCTTTCAATTTCTTCGCATGTTCCTCGCAATATTATTGCTACATAATTTGTGTAATTGATTACAAAATATTATTATACCAAAAATTCTACGTTCTATATTTTTAACAAATTATGAAAAATATGTTAATTTGACGTTTATAAATTTCATAAAGCTTCGTTTTTTATGTTAATTGGTGTTACTCACTTTTAATTTTTATTTCTTTGCGCAAATATGTAAGCGAAAATTAATAAAAGATACATATAAAATAGAAGGGTGGCGAAAGCTTACTTCGGAATTTTAATTCGTAGACTTTCCTGGCGACTGTCTGTATCTGTAGCGAGTGCGACTGCGCGAATGGTGCATTCACGCCGTCGTCAGGATCGGAGGAAAGTATTCATGAGAAAACAAATTGGAGGTACCGGGACCTATCCGGTATATGGGGTGTTTCGCAAAGTTTACGTCAAACTTGAGAAGCGTACGCTTGGCAAATTTGAGATCGGTCTTTTCTTTCGGAAAAATTTAAGTAAAGATAAAGTTGCGAAGCTTATTTAGTCTTTTAAATTCAAATATAAATTGTATTATTATTTTAATTTTAAAGATATTATTTTAAGATGAATTTATATAATTAAGAATTTTTGTGAGATTGTACAAAAGTTTGAAAGCTATGGAAAAACGTTGATCAAATTTTTATTGAAATAAAAGATTAATTAAGAGAAATATTTTTAGTATTAATAAATAAATTAAAGTTTAAATTTGAAATTAAAGTTGGGAAAAATTTATTACAAGGTCGACCTATACAAATTTTGTAAAATTGAGCAAAATCGAGCTCTCTTTAACAAACCGTATTAAACATTCTATCAAGAGGAAACATATTTATTTATATCACATATATTATACAATTCCCATATATTATGTAATTCGTCAGTTTGACAATACCCACCCTGTATTTAGCGATTCGCGTGTAATGACCGGGTCATCCTGATTTTACGAGACACTATACGAGGACGAAGGTGTTGAGGGGAGCCGAAGATAACATAGTGGAAGTGCCTTCAGGTGGAAAAAAATAACCACCGTGCTGATCCAATGTTCTGGAAGCCAAGGTTTTTCCCTTCCGCTATTTAATCCAGCCTTTTATAGTAGTAATAGTCTCGCCTTTACTGAGGGAAGTCACGATGCGTTAGGGGTGGGCGATAGACGCAGGGGCGTATATAACGCGACACCTCTGCTAGCGCGTTATTACCTCACGAACGAACGGACGAACGAACGAATGAACGAATGAACGAATGAACGAATGAACGAATGAACGAACGAGAAAATTTCTGTTCTCGTTCGTGAGGTAACGCGTATCGAATCACACGCAACGTGACATCCGCCTGCGCTATTACGATCTTCATACAAGTGGGAGAATTTTTCGATCTCCTGCCAAACTGCAACTCGTAAAATAATGAAATATCGTTTGCGAAATAGAATTGTGGAGTGCTAAATTGAAAGATCCAATTAGCATAAAACTGATAATAATATATCAAGTGACAAGTTGCGCGCGAAATTATTCATATTGTCGTACAATGTTAAATAAGTCCTCGAGGATCTTATTCTAGATTGTCATATTAGCGCAGAGATTGTGAAAAAATACTTAATTAATCCATCTCCGTGTTACTTTGCTTGAGGAATTAATAAACACTAATTTATTTTTAATATAAGTCATATTTTTCGAGAGTTGTCCCCATTCGATGTGCTCGCGATTGATTTTAGTACGTTTTCCCTGCTTCAATGCTTGAAAATATTTGTATAAATCTTTAAATCTAAATAAAAATGGAACGGCATACTTATATTTCTAAAAATGCAATTTTTATATCAGTAGAACTCTAATTATTACATCCGATACAATAATATATTGATAAGTGAGCTTCTTTTTGCGATATAAAATTTACTCAAACTCAAACTTAATTAGACAAAAGAAGAAGGAAGCCTAATAAAATGGAAATCATACGCGATTAAACATTTGTAACAATATAATTCTTAAATATTAATAAATTATTTAATATTTAATGTTTAAAATAATATTTAAATATTAAAATATAATATTTAAATATTAAAAAAATATTTAAAAAATGAACATAGTATATTAAATGAGCCATGGATATAAAAATGGATTAATCCAATGTCATTAAATATAATCAATATTTATTATGAGTCAGATGATATCATTAAATTAGTGTTACACTAAAAATCTATTATTAAATCAATATTCAACTCTTCTCTTTCCTCTTGCTAACTGAATAACATGAGATAGAAATTTAAGAGATACAAGAAAATAAACAGATAATTCTGATTATCTTATAAATGTCGTTAAAATTTTACTGATATTAGAAAATAGAAGGAATCATTCGAAATGTAGAAATCATTTACAACGTTTTCGAGGCGTATAAGAAAGCGTAACGCGAAGGGTTGCAACTTTCTTTGTGGAGCTATGTCGGGAGCAGACGATGTCGGAGGAGGAATCAGGGATGGCTCAATATTTGACTGTTAGGGTGGCTCTTCAAACTGCCGGATGGCATTTATCCTCGATATCAATAATGCCCTTATTCTATATTATGTTCTGCTTGGAAGCAGATTTGAATAGGGGGAGAAAGTTATCCGAGAGATAAGGGAGAAAACACGTTTTTTTGTCGTATTACAGTATTTATAACTTCAGAGGATACTTGACGAGGAGAGACGAGATACTTGCTTTTGTTTAAAATTTATGAAAATGTTGTGACATAATAATACATAATTACATATGATAAAAAATATGATTATTTTGTGAATTATTCATAAAAATCAAATATGCGTAAATAATGAAAATTCCGAGAAAATAGTTTGGATATTTCGCAAACAATGATTAAAGATATAAATCTTTTAATGCAAAGAATGAATAATATCGAGAATATGAAAACTCCCTTCTCCTTTCACGCAGTTGTATTCGAACAACGTATTAAATATTTAATAAGGGAAAGTGTGTTTTCATGTAACACGAAAATAATTAATATTAATTGACTGTATCAATATTTATACCGCATTAAACAACCGACGTGTTGCCGGTAATATTGACTTTACAATTACGCGTCCGTCAAAATTTTTTCGCGAATGCAACTCTCATTGATAACTTCTTAATCCTTTCCCCACTGAACATTTGGCATTGAACTCCATAATCAGCTACGCAATTAGAATGCAAATCTCCTCCCACAAAAAATTCATTCCTTTCGATCTCAGTGGACGCTCGGCAACGCTTAGTTTCGTAAAATGAGAACGTACGATAGTAACCGTAACCGTTATATTCCCTTCTCTGACAGACGGTTCAACTGCGGGAGCATGTGGGTTAGACGAAATCACTCGTGAATTGACCTGTCTACCCGGTGCATTTCGACTTGTTACCCGGTCCATTTCGATCCATTTCACCTATACCGATACTCGGCATGGGATACGCGTAGCGATGCGCGTGTCCGAGAGAAAAGCGACGGCGAGTGTCGCGTGCATGCGAGGGTGCGTGGGTGCGTGCGTGCGTGCGTGCGCGTCAGATTCGAAATGTGGCCCCCGTCGCCTTTGGGCGTTTCCGCAGGACGATCGTTAACGCCGCCGTCACCCGTATCCAGAAGTGTCGAATTCAAGACCCGATCTTTTCGAGAGATTCATCCGTCATTTCGTTGTCCGATGTAAACCGGCGGGGGAAAAAAAAAGAGCGAGAGAGAGAGAGAGAAAGGGGCGGGAACAGAGACAGAGCAAATTCGTTAGCGCGAGAATAATTACGTGATGTAGATGAATTAAACGACGATTGCGTTTGCGCAAATTAACGTTGTTAAATGACAGAGAGGAGAGAGAGCTTCCCTCGTACAGCGAGAAATGCAAAAACGCCGTTGCAATCGACGTGCGACCATAAAAATGTAACTAATTTAATTGTCGCGATAATCGATGTTTTGTTGCATTCGAATATAATAATGTCGAGAAGATGATAATTCCCCTCTTCCTCTTTTCGTCTCTCGATAGAAAAATAGAATATAATAAAAAACATCGAAATATCAAATAGGATCGAATAAAAAGTAGGACAAAATAGACTAAAATAAAAACTGTTAAAACAAGAGAAAATGAAAAAACCGAAATAAAATAAAATTAGATGATATAAAAAATGGAGAATAAAACTGTATTACATATATATAACGTCAATTGTACACAATAAAATTAAATTAAATTAAATAAAATTAAATATATATATATATATATATATATATATATATATATATTCTTACATATGAAGTGAATCGTACAAAATCAAATAAGATTAAATTAAATTACGCGTTGGAATGCGACGCACAGACGCGTGAAATATAATAGAAAAGTAATAAAGAAAAAGGAGAGATGAAAGGACGGGATGAAGGAAATATGTCAAAATCGGAGGGAGAGGAATC